GAAGCCTTACCCAGAGGTGGTGGAAACAGGCACAGAAGACTTCCTGTGTACGTGTGTGTTTTTTTAAAAAAATTCTCAGTTCGTGTGTTAGCAGCTGTTACCGGAAAAATCCGAGGGCTCCCTTGGACAAAAACAAAGACACCAACCAGGATAACTTGGAGCAAAACAGCAGCCTGTAGGCTAGGCCTTTATTGAACTGTTGCAACAGGGTGTTCCCCTCACTTGCAGGAGAGAGGAAAGACACACAAAAATGGTGTGCAAGACCTTATAAAAACTTTGAAATTCCCCTCCTGTAGGTCAAGCCCACCCCCAGAAACATCATGCATACATTACAGAAAGGAGGGATTGAGGGAGGAGTTGCGGTGGTAACCTGAGTGTCCTGTCACCTGGCTGGTTCCCTTCTCCCCCTCCCCATGAGTCATTTTTTGAAGACAAAAGGTAGTCGCAGTTTCCTGCCCCCTGAGGGAAGATCTGATCATTGTCCTTTGTTCCAGTCCATGCTGAATCCACTCCCATATGGAAGTTCTTTGTGATCTTGATGGTCTTCTGTCTAGGACCATCAGGGTTGGCATAGCAACTGAGCAGGGCTCCTGTGGATGTGCTGGGATGGTGAAGGGATTATGGTGGCCTGTATCAAACCTTCCCCATTTTGTAGTCTTTCCTTCATGGAGTAAAATAAAAGTGGAACAGTGCAAATCCGATGTATGGTTGATTTTCTATGAATTTATAACAGAAGCGTAGCGTATGTAGTGTGTGAGTGTGAGTGTGAGTGAAGTTTGTACAAACTGAATGATGGGGGGGGGGGTTTCCTGCTACACAGTAAACACAATAAAAAAGAAAATAAAAAAGCCAGACTAATGCCCCACATATGCTTACTTACATTCAGTAACTTGGGCTGGAATGTTATATAGACAGTACTGGCATCCTACAAAGCAATAACCGAATGTACATATAAGACTCCAGCAAGCAAAATAAAAACCTTGTTCCACTCACCCACACGTTCGTATTCACACAGGGTTAGTGTTTACGACTGAGGAGCCAAGATCTCACCCTAGCCATCAACCACCAGTTCCCAGCTCCCGCTTGTGAAGTGCTCAGACTCCCAACATGGGACGAGTGTTTGCTCCAGGCCCCAGGAATTGCTGCTACCAGGTATGCCTTCAGAAACAGACCACATAGATTTTTGTAAGTGCAGTCATGCAATATTTGTTCAGGTAAGGGAGTGCAGGGGTGGGGAACCTGTGGTCCTCCAGAAGCTGCTGAACTACAACTCCCACCAGCCCCAGCAAGCATGATCAATGGCCAGGGTTGATGGGAGTTGTAGTTCAGCAACTGCTGGCAGGGCACAAGTTCCCCTCACCTGCTGTATGGTATGACTAATGTGATAGGAATTTTATGGTCTTAGATATATGGTAATGTTCATAACCGCACATACATAGATCAGCACAGGAAGACCAACCTGGAACCATTTTGATTCCTAAACTGACCAAATGTTTTCTCTGCATGGTCAAAATGGAAAAGCCTCCCCATTGTCTTTTCCTTCACAAATCCTGTCTTAAGGGTATGTCTGTGTTTGAATAAGGGTGTGAGCCTTATCATTACAAAAGACTGGCCAGGCTCCTCAGGCAATCCAATCAAGTAACCTGCCAGACAGGAAATAAACAAGGACAAGAGAAAAACAATATTGAAATTTCTGTTTTAAGACCACCTTTTCTGTGATGTATCTGAGGGGTGGTCTTAGGTTACACCCCTCCTGTGATGTATGTATGATGTTTCTGGGGGGTGGTCTTGATCTACAGGATGGGAATTTCAAAAGTCTTTATAAGCCCTTGCACAGCATTTTTGTGGGTCCTCCTCCTTTCCTGCGAGTGAGGGGAGCACCCTGTTGCAACAGATCAATAAAGATCGAGCTTACTAGCTGCTTTGCTTCTCAATATTCTCTGGTTGGCCTCTGTTATTTTCTCCTACCAATAGGGAACCTGTGTAAGGACTCTATATGGGCTCTTGGATACCCCATAAGGGAAAAGGGCATATTTTTATTTACAACACTAGACAATTAAAGAAGGGCTGTCTACACCTTTCTAAAGCCTTTATTTGTGGATGGAAGACTAAACTATGGATAGTGTTGGTAATCAATTTTGAAGAGTAACTGTGCGCTGCAGACATGAACTGCACAGAAGTGCTGCATGGTAACTTTGGGATGAGGAGAGAAGCAAGCATTAATACAGAATTTACGACTATTGCTGTGTAAGCCTCTAAGCAATGACTTGTACCTCTCTGTTTTGTGTTTCTTTTTATGTTGTTTCCATTACTTCATGATACTGAAAAAAGATAAACTATAAAAAGTGGCATGTTAAAACTGTTTTGGATCGTGCTTTAAGTAGAAAGTGTGGGAACTGTGAGAAAATACCACAGTGATTCCCAGGAGGGATAGCTAGGAGGTATTTAAAGAACTCAGGATCTTTAAATTCTTCTTACTTCCACCGTGCCTATCTTTGCTGCTGAAACATCCAACATAGCAGTTGATTATACCAAGAACAAACTTAGTTGGTCTCTAAGGTGCTACTGGACAATTTTTTAATATATATTACGACTGTGTCAGACCAACACGGCTACCTACCGGAATCTAGAACCATAGCAGTTGATTGTTTGTCTCCACAAAGCCCATCTTTTCTGTGAAGCCTTAAGCTCTTACCTAGATGCAGAATCGGCCCAATACATTTTGGCACCTGAGGTCAATCCCCAAATTATGACCCCTCTCCCTGCCAGGGAAGAAGGGGTGAGTGAAGATCTACATCAGGAACAAGGGGGAAAGAAAGATCAACATCATGATCTGCTGCCTCTGGGGATCCTAACCGAACAACATGGCTGGGCTGGCCCTGCCTAGACTGATCCTAAGCATGTTTACTGCATTCTTAGGCCTTTAAGCAACTATCAGTTCTAAGCACACTTCAATATACATGTTTAGGATTGCAGTGCAAATATCTTTCAAACAAATGTTTTATCTCAAATATACAATATATCTCAGACGTACTTAAACAGATGATGTAATAGGGCAGAGTTTCACAGCACCCCATGGAATGGCTTTCTCATTTAATTTGCCCAGTATAAAATGACTGAAACAAACAACAACAACAACTATAAAGGGCTGTGGTAACCTTATGTATGGATCATTTCCCTTGTATGCCTCATATGATTTGAGTGAATATTTTGAATCCCACCCTCTCTATATAGCTTTGATCTTATATTAGTGCATTTTAAACATTGTCATTCCTTACTGGCTTAGGCAATAGGTTCCCAAATGGTGGTCTACGGCCATTAGTGCCTCACAAACACAATTCAGGTAGTCAGCATAAAGGTTATGGAACAGTTGACAATAATGCACTTGACCCTCCACTTATTATTTCTGACAAATATGAGACTATTTTGACAAGGGACAGATTTATCCACAAATACCCATGGATCTCAAGTTTCTGGACTTGGAGCAAAACACACACACTCACACACATATAAACATACCTGCTGTTTTGTGCAAATCTGGTAGATTGAGAAACTTGTATTTAAAAAGCCCAGAAGGTGCAATCTAGATGGATTTTATTTATAAGATTTTGCAGACTGTGGCTGTGAACTGGGGCCACACACACACATCAAGTTGTGCCCCATTGCTTCAAATTGGGCCCACTGGCTAGGCCTGAGTCTCATAGTTGCTAGGCCTGAGTTGCCCTGCGCTTGCATGAAGTCTTGGGTTTGCAATTTTGGGAGAGGGGAGACTGCGGCTCTGGGGAGAGGGCAGTCTGGTGAGGCCCCCTAGATTTAGAGGCCTGAGTTGCCCTGCCCTCGCATGAAGTCTTGGGTTTCCTATTTTGGGAGAGGGGAGACTGCGGCCCAATATTGTTTATGTACAATCTTGTTTGTCCTCAGTAACCAAAATTAAATTATCAACATATACAAGCAGAAAATTTGTTTTCTTTCATTTGCAAGGAATCATACAAAACAAAGTGGCACTAATAGAGTAAAGTTCCAGGGTGGCAACAGAAAGCAAACTAAAAATGCTTTTGCAGTTCATCAAAACTATCCAGCAATATCAAGTTACAGGAAAACTGGTGCTGTTAATAGTAATTACTATTATACTATTATATTATAATCCTTCTAGTTGATTAATTGGTTCGGCCACTTCCATGTACATGACGTGTGATGCTAATTATTTTCCTCAAGAGTTAAATGATAACTAATCAGAGGCAGCCACAGTTGCAAATGTCAACAAAATATCTGTGAAAGGAAAAGGAGCAGGTTTGCTCAAGTGTGTTGCAGGTAGAAATACTGTTTGTAATGAAGTGAGGGCAGTAGTTTACTTGCTCAAATTAACCATTAAGTAAGTTTTGAGAATTCAAATGCTAGATTAAAATTGATTACTTAATTGAGAAGGGGGGGTAGTTACAAAAACACTGGGGCCTAATTTGAATAGTAGAGTGCCTGGTATCTGGTGGGCAGACCAAAGCACTCGTCAGGAGAGTTATGAGATTCAGGTGAAGGTCAGATGCCTTGTCAATCCCAGCAGGTATATAAGAATACGACCCGGCCTGCGGCCTACATCTGGAAAACATCTGGAAGAACTTTCTGACAGTAACAGACTCCCACGAGAGGCGGTGGGCTCTCCTTTCCTTGGAGGTTTTTAAGCAGAGGTTGGCTGGCCCTCTGTCACGTATGCTTTAGTTGAGATTCCTGCATTGCAGGGGGTTGGACTAGATGACCCTCATGGTCCCTTCCAACTCTATAAGATTCTATGATGATTATGGAATAGGATGTCCCGCTTTTCATCGGGGAAACATTGGAGGGTATGCACCTCTACCTCTTCCTCCTCCTCTTTCTGTTTCATTTATTACACTCTCTCCCTCCCTCCGACTTCGCGCATAGGAGAGAGAGAAAAGTTGGGGGGGGGGAGGAGGAGAGAGGGAAGAGGGTACGTCTCCCTCTCAACGAGCGCCCTGACGTCAGCGGACGTTTTAAGTAGAGGGAAGGCTTACGTATTGGCGCGCGCCTGCTCTTCTCCCGCTCCCTCCTTGTCTTCTCCCTCACCCGCGCGCGCGCGCGTTCTCTCTCCTCGGTGGCGAGGGCGTCGACGGGAAAGCAAGCGCGTCGTCCCCTTTAAGGTTGCCCGGGCGACGGCTCGGCGAGTGAGAGCGAGGCCCATTGACGTCACGCCGGGCGGCGATTGGCGGAGGGAGTTGGGTTTCCGGTGGGAGCGATCGCTGAGGCGAAAGAGGAGGAGGAGGAGAAGGGAGGTGGAGGAGGCCGCCGCCACTCGGGACAGCGGGAGGAGGAGGAGGAGGGGGGCCCGCCCGCGAGGAGAGGCCCAGGCAGGGAGGAGGAGGACCCTGAGGTAAGTCGGAGCCGGTGGGCCTAAGGCGCTCGCCGGCGGGTGGGGCGAGAGCGGGAGCTGCGGCGGCGGAGTGACGCGGGGGCGGCGAGGCGGGAGAGCGAGGGGCGGCGCGCTTACCTGAGGCGCGCTGCGGGAGGAGGAGGCGGCGGCAGAGGCCTCTTCCTTCTCCTCAGGTGAGGCGGAGGATGGGAAAGGAGGAGGATAAACCTCCGCCGAGTTGTGAGGGCGGCCCTGCTGAGAAGAGCCCTAGCCCGGCGGGAGAAACGGGTTGCCCGAAGGGGGCCTTGGACGGGGCCCACGGGCGCAGCTTGAGAGGAAGAGCACATGCGTGGTGGCTTTATTTTATTTTTTTCTGTGTCGGGGAGGAAGGGGGCTCTTACGCTACAAGGTGTATATCCCGGGGGGGGGGCAGAAGAGGGTCCAGGGGGCCAGACGCAAGTAGAGGGGCTAAGATTAGGAGGAAAGTGCACCGTGGAAGATGACGCCATGTAGACACAGAGAAGGAGCGTAGAATAAAGCCGCCTTTGTTTTTTTAATTATTATTTAAGGAGAAGCCCATGAGGAAAGTGTGGTTTTTTGTGGGATTACTTCTAGTAGACGATTTAAGAGAGAGGCCTGTAGGTTTTTGGAGGGAGGATCCTTTTACAAAGAAACCAGATTTGTGATCTTGGGGGAGAACTTTTAGACCTGGGGGGAGGTTAGGATTAAAGGGGGAATAATAGGTTTGCGGGGGGTACCCGATCTTCATCTATTTTAAAGAAGTGGAAAGGTTACTGCTGAAACGTGCCTAAGCCAGAGTTTAGCTGGGTCTTCTTATCTTACAAGCAGCTTCTTAGGGCCCTCCAGAATATTTCACGTTATGTATGGAGGGGAGGGAGGAAAGGGACCCATGTCATTATCTTGGCTTTGTAGTCATTACAGTGTAGTGAATAACCTTTTGCAGGATAGGGAGAGTGTCATTTTCCCCATAGTCAAGGAACAAAACAAGCAAGTGCTGCCTTTGAAGTAGCCCATAATTGCTGTGTACAGTACTTGGATTTCTGGGTATTCCTATCCTGGGGAAATGAGCTCCCAATCAACTGTGCTCCCTTCTCACAGGAAGGAAGCATCTTAGGGCTTTCCTGTTGCTTTTATTTATGGAAGCCACAGGGAGATAACTTGAAAGATGATCAGGGTAAGTTATTCAAGGCTGCTATAAATTACAAATGCCCTTTTGTGATAGAGAGGCTCTTCTTTGTGATTAGAAAATGTGTGCTATCAATTGCACCTGATATTTCAATAAAATGTGAGGACCCCTACCCCCACTTAGAATTTTGACGAGCTGTTTTGATGTCCTGTGTTACCATCTTCAGGTTGCTGTTTTCCATTATTCAGTGTTTAAAGATAACTTAGTTATATGAGGAATTCTAAACACTCTGAGTTTTCTCGGCCAGAAAAGGAGCCCCTGAAAATTACTGCAGTGATCTTAAAATTCCAAGCATTTTACCTGGAAGCTACTTGAAGCTACTACATATCTACTTTGCAAATACCTATAGCAAATAAAAGTCCTTTATTAGCTGTTAATTGCCAGTTGGTGAGAGTATCTAGCTACAGAATTAGTTTGGCCTTCTTTCTATTAAAATGAATGCTCTTTGAAGCTCTGTATGATGAAGACTTTAACATGCTTCAGACAATTAAGAATATTTATTTGAAATAGAAACTTCATGTCTGCTACTTCTTTAGCAGTTGTGTTTGAGCACTGGTGTCTGATGCTGTCTATCAGCAGTGTGAATGCTTTTTCCACAGACTTATTTGCAGGCTGTCACAGAGCCATGGCATTAACTCTTGGACAGTTAATTAAGGCATTTATTACTGACCTTCATTATGCAAGTTGTCAAAACAAAAGAAGTAACTGTAGAACTTCAAGGCAGCTTAATGTAAATGCCAGACATGTATGTGTATGTTTTTTGAAATGGAACAGGTGTATTGTAATCTTTAGATTCTTTACAAGCGTTGCAGATGACAAGGATGCCATGTGTTTGTAGTGTGGGCACTTCACAACATTATATTTTGTTGTCATGCCTGTTTCCTGTTGGGAAGGGTTATATATGTTTATCTCAAGTATATTGCCATCTGTGTCATGTATCTAAATATCTCACCTAGAAAAGTATGTATTAATAGAACAGTAACACTTGGGAGTTATTCACTTTCTTCTTCCTTCCTTTTTGAAAGGCTATACTGGGATCAGCACCCCTTCCTGTAAATTCTGTGCATACCTGTAGTGGTTGCAGCTAGCTGCATCTCAAGTAAGTGTTGGGCAGTTGGGAAATAATGTGTTTTATTTCCATAAAACTTTATTTTTACATGCTATTACAGACACAGTTCTGGATATGTTTGTTTGCCAGTTGTGGAAATCTTGCATCCAGTAAGATTTTGCCTGGGAGCTGGCATTAATTGCAGTATTTTATTTTTACTTTATTGGGAGCAACTTAGCTTGATATAACTCCTAAAGTAGCATAGACCTCTGCTTATTTCTGTTGTTAACATTCTGTTAATCCAGAATGCAGACAAATGCATTGAGCACCGTTTCAGTTTAGAAGCATATAATGTTTTGATTTCTGCTAATTAGCTATCTCTGCAATTAAGAGTGGCTGGCAGCTATGATCATTGAATATCATTAATGTAATATGGTATAGCAGGGTATCTATCTCTTGGGGTTTTTAAAATACGTTTTAATTTCAGATAGCAGCAATGGCCACTGGCAGCACTAACAGTGAAGAGGAGCGCAGCCTCCGTGAATGTGAACACTATGTCCAAAAACACAATATCCAACAACTCCTGAAGGATTGCATCGTCCAGCTATGTACGGTGCGACCTGAGAGACCCATGGCATTCCTCCGGGAATATTTTGAAAGACTGGAGAAGGTAAGAATAAGCTTCAGGAATGGGTGCAAGTAGGGAAACCATTTGCAACTTCTCTAGAATATTGGCCGAGAGTACATCAACAGTTTAAATGTTCCAAGGGGAAAGTGCAGCAGTGTTTTTGAGTTTATTGCCATGTGATTTCTAGAAAAGCATCTGTGCAATGTTTTCATAAAATTAATTGAAAAATAAATAGGTCTCATGAGGGGTACAAGGTCAGATTGTGTTGCTTTGTGAGATACAGGACTCTTGACTCATGCATGGCCAAATTTTGCCCTTGTGCATCTTTGAGAGGTTTTACATATAATCAAAGTAGAATTTCATATCAATAAAATGGGACAACCCTCTGATAAACAATGCTACTGGTATGCAAATTGGGCATCAACAATTCTCTGGTCTTAAGTGGAAGCAGCAGCAAATCCAGAAGCTAGACAGAGACACCTGGTAATTCTACTTTTAGGAAGGAAAAAAAACGGTTTTTAGAGTAGAACATATTTTGCAAGAAATAAACTCTTGGGCATTCTTATGAAACTTGACCATTTAAATATGGTAGTCTTCTTAGCTGGATTCAACCCATAGCATCCCATATAAGTCATTGCACAAACAGAAGAACTTCCAGTCACATAGTGAACGGGTCTTCTCCATCTCCTCTCCTGACACCGACCCCAGATTTACTCAGGAGGGTTAAGAGATGGCAGGGAAAGGTGGCTCTGTTGTTTGAGCAGAACTCTCTCTGCTTTTGTGGTGACTGGCAGAGCAATGCAACCTGCCTTTACACTAGACCATGGCTGGGAGTGGAGGTTGATGGAGCAATTATGTCCCTCCACTTTGCTTGCTGGGCTGCTGCCAGTGGAGTAACATAGATGTCACTTGTTGGTGGGTAGATGGCCCGCTGATAGGCTCCCCAGTGGTGGAGTCCAGCAGAAAGAGGCGAAACTGTGTGTTCTGAGGGAAGTGATGGGACTGGATCCCGAGTCAGATTCCTAATTACTGCCAGCTGCCATCAGGCCTGATCTGGATCTGAATGCTGTGCCAGCCTGGAGCTGACACAGGGCGCAGGATTCCCCCGATTTGAGCTGCAATGGCAGAAGGTTTGGATTGTGCCCTTAGTTGGATCATCCCAGATCTGATTTTGCTTTCGGTACACTTTGTATAAAACTCTTATTAATCTAATCACAAAACAGTCCTTAGCTGAGTAGCCCACTAATTGTCTTGCACTTTTTACAAGCTATGTGACTACCCAGTAAATTTAGATGGCTGTGCAGCAAAGCTACCCAACAATTTCCCCCTCTTGTTCTTTGACTGCTGTGTCACTAACAGCTTCTCCCATCACTGTGTCAACATTCTGTGGAAAGAGAGAAGGTCAGCAGCATTCATCCCATAGCAGCTGACGACTTAAAGGCAAATCATAAGACCAATATTTAGTGATTCCTGCAGTCACTGCTAATTGTTACAAATTAATTCATACATTTTCCCTAAGGCACAATGTCGGGATAATAACATACTTTGTTTTGTATAGAAGAGTCATTTTTTTCAACTCCCCAGTTTTTGTATATTATGCACTAGTACTTATAATTCATAAGAATGCACAGAGATTCAAGTGTTCTGTCCAACTAGCATTTTGGCTTGATCTAAATGCCAAGTTATGCAGATCCCTAAAACTAGGCAAGTGATTTTTCTGAGTTTATACGTTATTGGCTTGGATCCAAAAGTGTGTTTCACCAGCAGAAAAGAAGCTTCCACGTATTCTGACAATTCCACTGTTCTGCTGCAATTCCCCATGCCCAGTCCCACACCATTTAGAGGGTCCTTTGACACTTAGGGGTGGTTTTTTGGGGGAGGGAAAGTGTAGGGAACTACAGTGGGAAGAGGAGCAAGGAAAGCTGGATCTAAGCCACTGCACTTCTAGATGGAATGCTACAGTTTTAGTCTAGTTTTGTTTTAGTTGACCAGTGCAGGTCTATTGAATAATAGAGGCAGAAAGGTTAGGGTCATGCATGGTAACTTTTAAGACTATTTTGGTCATCTTTTATTGAGTATGTATATTAAATATGGTTTCCTTTGAATAATGAGTGGTAGCTTTTATTTAATTGAAAGTCGGCTCACAAAGCTTAAGAGCTTTATTTAAGATAATTTATATTGCACACTTTCACTGTAACTTCAGTGCTCTGTGGAGCTCACAGAACTGTAAGGTAAACTGTATGAAGGAATAAAAAAGACAAAACAATGGACTTCCGGGGTGGCGCCATCGGCAATGGCGGACTCCCTCTGAACTGGAGGGACTAGCTCCGCGCGAAACGGGTCTTTTCCGCTACGGCGAAGCGGGGACCCTTTTAAAAATCACAGGCGGATGAAGCCTGTGACCATGGGACTCGGCGGGCACCCTTAGCGCCCCCCCCAACCCGCAAAGGAACCCACTAACGGGCTCCGAAGCGAAGAGGGGGAAGCGCGGTGCTGTGAGTCAACTGCTATTTCCATGGAGCGAAGCCGCACAGCCGTTGCCGGAGAGCGCTGCCTTTTTCCTGGGACAATTTGGCTTCTAAAATAAGCACCCGTGAGTACTTAAACTTTGAACAATTGGACTTTAAATAAGGACTTGCGAGCAGAAAGGAATTGGACTTAAAAATTTTACTTCAATTTGGTACTGAAACGGGAAGGTCTAAACAGGAAGTCAGCCTTCCGTTTCTTTGTAGACAGAATAAAGCAAAGACAACATAAACTAGAGCTCAGAAAATCGCCTCTAAAGGATTGGCTTTCATCATTTAAAATTGTTGAACCCCCCTTCGGCAGCAGGAGAAGAAGGGGGATCTTTTTTGGACTGTTTAAACCTGCAGAAGTGAGTTTAAAGTAAAGTAACTTTCCACCGTCCTGATGCTGGAGCGGGGTGTCAGGACTGACGTTTGAAGCTCATTGACCAGAGACAAACGCTTTTGACAGATAGCTAAAAGAAGAAGAACATAGTGATTCCATTGTTTCCTTTCGCACCTTAAAGGAACAAATATTGACAAAATATCTGAAAAAAGGAAACTCTGTTGCTAGACTTGTCTTTAAAAGAAAGATCAAATAGAAGTTTTCCCCCTAGAGGGAGACTGTGAAACTGTAACCAACTCCTGGGAGCTGGCACCTGTTACAGATTACAATCGTGGGAATAGACATCTGACCTTGCAGGACAATGTATTCAGAAGCTCTGTTGTGTGCTTTCTATAAAACAAATTCCCTACTGGAACAGCTACATGAGAAGACAAATTTGATGGCTGATTCGATTAGAAATTTTGAACAGGCAGTGGGAAATTTTGAACAGGCAGTGGGAAAATATGTGGAGCCCACCCAGGAATTAAATCAGGAGTGTGCCCTGACAGAACTGGCCCAACAGGAATATGAGCTTTCGGATTTGACAAATGAACTTGGAAAAAGCCAGATTTGGAAAGAAAAAGTTTGGTTTGGTTTGGAAATGGGGGGTTGGATAGACCCTCCTATGCAGGGATTTTTGGACTTTTCAAGTCTGGCAATGGGCCGTGAGATGTTTGGGATTGTGGGGGCTCTCAATTTTGGAGGGTTTTTGAAACATGTTTTTAAATACCACATGGAATTTAGTGTCGATTATGGAAAAGGGGCTGATCTGTCGAGAAGGGTCAAAAATATTGCTAAGCTGGAGTTCCCACGAGTGAAACGAGCAGGAGACAAGGGAAAATACAGTTACAAATATGAAGAAGAGCTGCGGAAGGGACATGGAAGAGACTTAAGGGCCTCGGATATAAGGTCACCAGGTTAATGCGCCAGATCGATGGGATAATAAGGACTGACAAACCCGGGACCAGGAGGAAGGGACGCTGGATGAAGATTGGATTTGTTTTTTATTTCTTTTTTTCATCACTAGGACTGTTTTATAAAATTGATGAATGTTAGAAAAATGTTGGAATGAAATTATTTGGCTTTAGTAAAAATGTTTAAAGAATTATGTAAGAATATTATGGTTATGAGAAGTTGGTAAAAATAAGATTTAAGTTTTAAGTTCCAAGGTTTTTTATAGTAAGATAAGATTAAAATAGTTTAAGGTAATGTAATGACAGAATATTATGAAATATGGAAAGGATTTGCTGTGACAATTAACAACCAGGACACAAGGAAAGGGAGGAGGAGGAGGAGGTCAAGGAAAGAGGGTAATGACAGTTGAGGAGTTGAAAATAATCGATTTGTTTTTAATTGTTTTTAAATTTTTGTGGTGTATTTTTGTTTTTTCTCTTATTTTGTGTATTTGTATGGTTGGAAGTGGCTTGTTTTTCTCTTTTTCTACTTTGTTTTCTTTTGTAACTTAAAAAAAATTCCTTCAATAAATATCATTTTAAAAAAAAAGACAAAACAATGTTCTGCTGTGTTAATCTGGAAAAAAATATAGTTGGCTGTATGCAGTGTAGTGCTAAGGTGAACGTTCTGTTAGTGCAAGGGTTTCTCCTTGCTCACTGGAATGCACGCCCCATACCCCCTAAATCTGTTCTGGCAGTTCCCCCAACCATCTAGAACAGATCTGGGATAGCAGAGGGCAAGGGCAGGAAGGAAAGGAGCAGGATCCGTACTGCCTTTTGTTTTTAGACTGCTGAAAATAGTTCACATTTTTCTCCTGGATATAGTTTTATTAACTGTTTTGTGTCTGCATTCTGGGATATGAAAAAAGACTCCACTGTTTACAAACCAGGTTTTTGACAAAATGTGTTTTTTAGAGCCAGCTCAGCCCAGCGGTTCCATCAACCAACACATAGCTTAGATCCTGCAATCGCCCACAGCAGTTTGAAACCCGTTGGCGCTGCCTGGCTCTCAAAAAAAAGAAAAGAAGTGTTTTATATTTTTTTTTGTTACCTTAACAAAATGATGTGTTGTAGAAAAAACTGTGTATATTTTAAAATATTAAAATTTAATTTAAAGATGTTCATGCCTTTTATTAATGAATGAAATACAAGGGCATTATGAGTAAAGGAACTCGCTGTTTTTTAATTTGGTTTATGGAAAAGGGCTTGGGAGTTCATTGGAGCAGGCAGAATTGGCAAGTACAATGCTATGTTTATGCCTACTTGGAAATTTAGAAATGTGCCATGAAAAACCATTTTTCCGGCAAGGAGTGTCCTGTGTGGCACTGAGCAAGGAGCCCTTTTGGTTAAGCAACATTAAGCTGATAAATACAGGAATTAAAAAGTAGTTTTTAGAGGAGTTCATATTAATCTTAACCAAGAGGAAGTGTGTGGGTAATCAGGCTGTCAGATGAATAATAAGTTGGACTTTGTGTTAATGTTCAATGCGTTTCCCTCCCCCCCTTCACATCACTTTATTGAAAATTGTGAATAATTGGATTAAGTGTCCTCATTTATCAACAGATCTCACCCATGTCTGAGACAGACATATTAGGATTGTTAAACAAGAATCTCTCAATTATGACAGTTTAATTCAAGTCAGATTTTGTGTAACATTGTTTCAGGAATACTTAGAGACCTGTTGGTTTCTGTTGGTATCCTTCGGAAATTCAAGAAAATAGAATTTTAAATACATTATGCATTTGGAATAATTCATTTAGATAATGAAGCTTTCTGTGGATTCTGTTGCTGTGATAAAGGAACTGTATGATCTTCGAAGAGCAGCTGTAATGTCATTATCTATGTAAACAGTATCTGAGCTGTATTACAAAGATGAACTATTAAATTCAAAAGTTGACATGGTAAAGAACAATACATGTGTGTGTGTGTGTGTGTGTGTGTGAGAGAGAGAGAGAGAGAGAGAAAGTAGAGGTATAGGATCTTTTTTTGAGTTTCAAGACTCAAATTTTATAAACGTCTTCATGATAACAGACCCCTCCTCAGAGCAATATGCCAGAGCAACATCTGAATCACCAAAAATATACTGCGTATGTTGCATGCCTGGTGCATTTCTTTGAATGCAATAATTTAACATTCAAAATATCCAGCAAATGGCCTCAATTTCATGTATTGGACTCAACACTAGTATGATACATGATAGCTAAAGCATCAAAAGCATTTAGAAACTTCATCCAGATTTTTGTACTAGGTATAAGTAGCTGTTAAAAGTGTGCCAATTTAAAAAATATATTCTGTTAATTACAAATGTTTGAAATACATCAAATTCCTCTTCCCCAACACAAGGCCAGCCAGATGGGATTAAAATTAGTGAAATGTTAAAGCATAAATCCTATATTTTCTGCCTCCTTGCTTATAACTCCTTAGGACAGGGATAGGGAATCTCTGGTCTGTGAGCCAGATGCTCACATGCAGATTTCATCTAGCTCCCTGGGTCCCCTCACATCCATCAGCTGTTCAATGAGGAGCAGCTGAGGGAAAAAGGGGTTCTGTTGTGCAAAGTGCATAATTGCAGCTCTTTTCTCTGCAACACCACAGCAGAGGTGAAAATCTCTTAGCAAAGAGGGAGACGTGTGTTCCTTGCAAAATCCATGCATTTTTGCAATTGTATACATGGAATTCCCATTGTATTTCAAAGTTTAAAACTATGCAAAGCTTTAAGGCAGGACTTGCCATTTAGTTCTGTATTGACATTATTTGCATTCTTCTGGGATTACTGAGTTCTCTTTGCTTTCTGCACAGTCAGGACAGATAAAGGGTGTTTGAGACCTTTAGCTTGAGTGGAGTTGCTAAGAATTAAAGATATTGATCTGTTGCTGTGGAAAACAGCTTTGTGTGGTGGTCTGGCCCCTCCCATTTCTGAAATTTGCTCAAAAGCCATTGGAACCTTAGCCCGAAAGAGGTCACCTAATAAACACCTTTCAGGCTTCTGCTTGTACAGTGGGGCTTTCTCCCCTTTCCTTACCCCTGTGTTACCTTTCACAAGCTTATGGAGGGCACAAACATTTTAGCATGGAAGTTATAATCTGAAATTGCACAGTGCAACTTGATGGCCTGTGTTTAAATGAGGATAAGTGCAAGGGAGGAAACAAGTTCTCCCAGGAGCATATGCATGGATGTGAACTTTCTACCCTTGTGGATTATTAACATAGAACTGTTTTATTTCACTGCAGGAAGAAACAAAACAGATCATGTGCCAGCAGAAAGCCAGCTCCCGTGCAGACTCGCGTGAAGATGAGATTTCTCCCCCTCCACCCATGAATCCGGTGGTAAAGGGCCGCAGAAGGCGTGGGGCCATCAGTGCAGAGGTTTACACAGAAGAGGATGCTGCCTCTTATGTCAGAAAGGTGCTGCATCCAGTTCTTTCTTCCTGCAAGGCATATTTTGTGTCTTGTATGCACAATTTCCTTCTTTGCCTATCCCAAATAAGGTTGTATCAGGCCTTTCCCTAGATAAGTTGTGCTAATGCCTTCCTAACTTGCCTTTATATTGCTCTCATATAAGCCTGGATTTCTGCTTGGTTGGATTGACATAAGTTGAGGAGTTGACAGATATGGAGGAAATAATTATTAGAAAAATCTTGGCTGGAGGAAACAAACCATTTCTCCCTGGCTCTGCAATGTCTGCTCAATTAATATCGACTATAACTTTCCCAGAGGAGCAACCAGGTCTCCTAGGACATTCTTGTGATCCTTGTGACTTCTGTGTAGTTTCCAGGAAGCCTGATACTAGAGAGTTGACCCTTGGGGGACCTGTAAGCATAATTACAGCTCCTCAGAGGTGTGATGTTAGTAAGAGGGAAGTATCCTAGGATGGTAGTTATTCAAGATTCCCAATCATTGTGTAAAAGCACCATTAGCTTATGTGACTCCTAAAACCTGCATCAGTTTCAAGTACAGTTAGTACCTCGGGTTACATACGCTTCAGGTTACAGACTCCGCTAACCCAGAAATAGTATCTCGGGTTAAGAACTTTGCTTCAGGATGAGAACAGAAATTGTGCTCCGGCGGCATGGCAGCAGCAGGAGGCCCCATTAGCTAAAGTGGTGGTTCAGGTTAAGAACAGTTTCAGGTTAAGAATGGACCTTCATAACGAATTAAGTACTTAACCCGAGGTACCACTGTAAGATTATTTTGAGTTCTGAATGACCATTTGAGGTACTGGTGTGTCTAGCAATTTGGTCTATAGACTTATCAAAGGCTGTGGTCAAATAATTTTCTACATATCGAGGCTCCTGATAGTTGTGTCTTATCTGAAAAGATACTTGTAGATCGGCCATTGAATCAGCACTTAGCCAGGAAAGATACATCTCATTCTGGACACTTTCCCTTTTCTGGGCATCTAGAATGTAGGTATAATTTCATGAACATGCTTCTTAAAGAAGTCTTGAGAAGCTTTCCTTACCACTTGAATGACTTCTTCACATAGGAGAAAACTCCTGCACAGAGCTCCCTTCCAAGAAAGGAACTCCTCAAATATTGTTGGTAATGGGTTTGCTTAAAGAACATTTGCCTCTTAGGTCTTTAATTGGTATTGTTTGGGTGTTTCCATTCCATAGGTTATTCCAAAAGATTACAAGACTATGGCTGCTTTGGCAAAAGCCATAGAGAAGAATGTGCTTTTTGCTCATCTTGATGACAATGAAAGAAGGTAGGAAATCTGTGAACCCGGATAGTTAAATAAACAGAATTGAGCAACATGTAGAAAGAATAAATAGGCTGACTGTGGTCCAAGTTTTGGAACCATGCATAATGCTAACTATAAATACAATACCTCAAGGACCACCTCTCCCCATATGAACTGCACCAGATCCTCCACTTGCCATCTGAAGCCCTTCTTTGTGTGCTCCCTCCATGGGAGGTCTGTTTCAGTGTTGGCTCCCTGCTTCTGCAATGCTCTCCCCAGGGAGGTTTGCCTGGCGTCATCACTACATATCTTTAGACACAAGGCAAAGCTATTCTTTTTTTGTTTCCGGTCAGACCTTTGGCTTTTAAATGCCTATGTCCTTTTTGCAGAGAATGGTTGTTTTAATCTTGTTTTTTTAAAAAATAGGATTGTCTTTTGGATTTTTAAAAAAATACTGGTTTTAATGTGTTTGTGTGTGTGCTTGCTTAAAATATTGTAAATTGCTTTGAACGGTGGCAGAAAACCAGCTAGCTAACAAATAAAAATAATGCAGTATAAGTTGCCTAGCCAGGCCAGTTAAGTTGTACCGAATGGTTTTTGGGCCCCCACTTTCAGACATTGTTGTGGCTTTGATTGCCAAAATGCCATATAATGGGCTCTACATTCATACAATTATTTGGATTAGTTTGGGGCAAGGAGAAGAGGGGAATGTTCATGTTGATGTCAGCCTATTTATGTTGCCCCTCTGTCTGTCAATATGGGAAGAGATAAGAATAACCTTAAATTTAATTCACCAAACCTAATGTTTATGCTGTGAACCGCCCTGAGATCTGTGGGTATAGGGCGGTATACTAACTAACTAAAACTTGTGCGAGCACTGCTGTTTTGTCCCCTCTCCAGAACACATTGAGCAACTCTAGTCTAGACTTTTGAGAGATGCAGCCTCCCTAATAACTGCATGCTAAGCTTGTCTGTATTAGCTCACACATGCAATATGTTAGATCTTTTGTTGAGTAATTCTGAAATCTTTTTCAGTGATATTTTTGATGCCATGTTCCCTGTCACCTATATTGCTGGCGAGACTGTGATACAGCAAGGCAAGTGATTGATTGTGATGTTGGTGGAAAAATTACTTAGCGTTTGAAGCATTGAAGATAGGCAATTGCTTTCTATTCATCTCATTCACAAGGTTTGCTAAAAAGATCCCAAGTATAGAATTCCAGCTAGTTTTTCAGAGGTGGGTGGGCAAACATTTTTTGGTCACTTACCTTTTAGAAGGGACCAGGGCTTAACAGTAGGGCATGTGTTTTCAATTCTAGGTAGAGCTGGAAGTGTCCCCTGAAACAGTTGAGAGCTGGTGCCAGTCAGTGTCAACAATACTGAACTAGATGCACCAATGGTCCAACTCATTATCAGGGAGCTTCCTATGTTCTGACCCCAGTGGTAGCTGTTTGGGGTTGCATTCCAGTGGTGGGCTGGGCCAGATGTGCACACAGTCACACACTTCTTAACACAGGCATGCACCTGTTCTTCACTTTCTCAACTCCCCATCTCATATGATCCATGTAGATCAACTGAGAAGGGGGCATTTTCATTCCCACTGTAGCATGTACTGTGAGGAGGATTAAACATCTCTATGGGATGTTAGGAGAAGGGTAGTACCTCTGCTGGGGAACATTTTATGCTCGTTCTGGGGTAGTTTGTCCACCTTTGGTCCCCACCCTGCACGCAACTCTCACCTGTGGCTCCTAGAAGCCATCAGCATGCAACAGCAACCACACCCCAGGAAACGACTTTTACTGGCCGACTAAACCAGGTGAGGGCAACCAATGGGTCAAAACCCTCAGTGAGTTAGGGACTTCCTCTGTATGCAAAGAGAGGCTCTGGCAGATTGAGCGGATGAGACCAATAGTGCGTTAAACGGTCTAGAAGGCGGTTTCTGCACGTGGAGGGGCAGATGGGGCTTGTCAACCTGGGAAGGTAGCCCATCTATGAGAAGAAAAACTGATCCTACACCTCTGCTGCCTTGCGGGATATCTTCAGGAGAAGAAAAAGCTAAGGAGTAAACCCTGCACAAATGCGGAATGGCAGTTGGGTGACGTCTTGTACACCTCCTTCTGGCAACTCTGGCTGACAGCCAAGCTGGACCACACCAGCAGTGCCATGAGAGGAGTGGGGGGTGGGTCATATCATCTGGGATATCCCAGGAGCTCCATACACACTGCCCAGGCTTGCATCCCAGGAAGGTCACTTCAGTGCTGCTAACGGAGCAGTTTGCCTTTGCCCCCCAGGCACGCATTCCATTGTCTCTCAAGACAGACGGATGCCAACAAAGCAAGAACAACCCTGCCCACTGTAATGGGGATGAAAACTGCACCTTCCCAACAAATCAGTTGAGAAGCCAGGAAGGGCCAGTTTTTATCCCCATCACAGTGTTGGGTGGTGAGGTTAAAATCTCCCCACCCAGGTTAATAAGGGAATACCTGTGAGGCGGGGGCATAGCCTGAGGTGGGTCAGCAGGGAAGGAGGTTCCCTGTCACTGAGCTTAGACTTGTTTTCCCCACATTGTAACCATGTCAGTGTTCTATTGGAGTTTAGTGGTCAGGTGAAAATCCTCTGCCAGCAGTGGCTTTTGCAATAGGGCTTTGATCAAAGAGCACTTTACCTAGACTAGTTACTAGTCTTATCTACCCTGTCATACTGATAGCTGGGTAAATAGCTTCCTTCATTTTAATTACATGTAGGAGTGAAGTGGGAATTATAAATATAATGAATATATTTGACTATGAAGCCTAAAGGAAAACATGGCTGTTCCAAATGCAAAAAAAGCATATGTGAGCTTTTGTATGGATGTCATTTTTGCTGGATGGTTCTAGAATGGAAGAGGTTGATAACTGCCTCTTCTAAACCTATAATTGTTTCTCAAACTTCTATTTCAATTTTTTTCTGTAGGTGATGAAGGGGATAACTTCTATGTTGTTGATCAAGGAGAAATGGATGTAAGTCTTTTCTAAACTATATTACTGCAGTGCTCCAGAATATTTTAAGCACATACAATGCTTCACATGGGTAATAATGGGAACATGGTCTATGTCCGTGCTTTTGCATTTCAGACAAATATCAGGGATCTCCCATCTTTCCCTCACCACAGTTTCCCTTTCCTCTAGCCTTGTCTGAAGCTTATTTCTTACTGCCGTTTGTGTAGTCAGCTATAGGAGGGCAGGGCAACTCCAGTGTGATGACAGAACCACAGGCAGACCAGCAAGCAAGCAGCATGGGTGGCAGGCAGCCCAGGCAAGCTATTTAAAGGAGGCAGAGAGGTGCTTTCTGAAGCGCCTCCAGAATTAAATACCACCAGAGGGGCATTTAAAGGAGCAGGTGAAGGCACTTCAGAGAGCAGCTTGGTTAGGTGTAACGGGAGGAGGGGTTGGTGAGCAGGAGTGGCAGCCCATCATATGTCATATATTTCTCTTCTGCCTTTCAAAACTTTAGTCTTCCCAAGATGGCTTATATTAAAAACAGGTATACAATTTTGTTAAAAAACCCCAGAAAAAACACAGTATAAATCATAATGCAACAGCCATTTAAAAATAAGTCAATTACAATAACATTCAATAACAAAAATGTACCAGTGATCAGGCTAAACTGAGACTCTGAAATGTAATGTCTTAGAACAGGCACCCCCAACCTTCGGACCTCCAGATGTTTTGGACTACAATTCCCATCTCTGACCACTGGTCCTGTTAGCTAGGGATCATGGGAGTTGTAGGCAAAAACATCTGGAGGGCCACAGGTTGGGGATGCCTGTCTTAGAACTATTAAACTGAAAAGCCCTTGTTTTTAGATTGCATTTTTATTTACAGTTTTTAACCAGCTTTTCTAATTATCAAAGTGGTGGAGAAGCAATTAAAAACATTGTAAGTCTATACTATACATGTTTATTCAGAGTTCAGTCAAGCTTAAAAAGGTAAAGGTACCCCTGACCGTTAGGTCCAGTTGCGGATGACTCGGGTTGCGGCGCCCATCTCACTCTATAGGCCGAGGGAGCTGGTGTTTGTCCGCAGACAGCTTCCAGGTCATTCAGCCAGCACGACTAAGCTGCTTCTGGTGAACCAGAGCAGCACACGGAAACAGCGTTTACCTTCCCGCTGGAGCGGTACCTATTTATCTACTTGCACTTTGACGTGCTTTCAAACTGCTAGGTTGGCAGGAGCTGGGACTGAACAATGGGCGCTCACCCCGTCACGGGGATTCGAACCGCCGACCTGATCGGCAAGCCCTAGGCTCTGTGGTTTAGATCACAGCGCCACCTGCGTCCCTTCAGTCAAGCTTACTCCCAGGTAAATGGGTATAAAATTTATGCCTTACGATATCAAATCAAGACGTAAGTTGCTGGCACATTAGGTAGTACACCCTGTTAAATAAATCACTTATTTACAATTTACGTTTCAACAATGTAATAACAGTACAAGAAATTTTCCCCACTCTGGAACAGAAGATTAATGTATAAAATTTTGCCGTAAGTCCATGTGCAAGGTTGGTGGATGCCAATCATCAGGGTATTCATTTGAGTAGTTTGCAAATGGGTACCAAACTTCAATAAAATAGTCTGCATCAATACATGAACCCTTTGGGCTAGTTTTTCAGATAGGGCAGTAGTCCATGCATTCTGTCTCCATCATATGCAAATGTTCAAGCCCTTTCCAATTCTGTGCCATAAGTAAGTAATCACAGCATTAACAAGAAACTCCTAAGATCTTTATATAATAAAGCATGTTGATCTACCATAAAAATTCTTAATAAACCCAAACTTGGATTATACAGTACATTGTGATTTGTAATATTACTTATGTCAGCTAATACTCCTTCCCAGAATGAAATCACTTTTTTGAGTATTATGCAAGGGCCGAACAAATGGTGCCCAGTGATAAGCTTTTCTCAAAACAAAAACAGAAAACCTCTTGGCACACGTGTTTTGTGGAATATTGCTGTGAAAAGGAATTAGAATATTATCCAAAGTGGAACATTTAACCAGTTTTGAAATGTTCCGTATCATATTTTTTGAACCATATTGTTTCAGGGGATACATTTCCAGCAAAATTCCTGTCCTCAACTTTGTGTGTTGCATCCTTAGGTATATGTTAACAATGAATGGGCCACCAGTGTTGGAGAAGGGGGCAGCTTTGGTGAACTCGCACTGATCTATGGAACACCCCGAGCAGCAACTGTCAAAGCAAAAACTAATGTGAAACTGTGGGGCATTGATAGAGACAGCTATAGAAGAATCCTTATGGTAAGTAATTTTTTATGTTTTTAAATAAATGAATTTGAAAGAGAGAGTGGCTTTTTTGGTGTTGAGGTATTGTGACTTGAGTTTGTATAAATCAATATGAGCATATAGGAAAGTTGAACAGCAGCGTTGGAGAACTCCTGAATACAGCTCAGTCGGTAGAGCATGAGACTTTTAGTAATTTCAGGGTCGGGGGTTCGATCCCAACTCTACAATTCTGTGATTCTAGGTGCACCCACTCATCTGATCCTCTGCTGGGGGGGAGGGGCTTTTCATGTAAAGTGTACTGTTGTATTTCCTTCCTCTGCCTTGATCTTCATGCAGAGGAGAGGATGTCTCGGCAGACTTGTGTTTGCAATTAAGCAAAAAGTAGTTACGCATTTTGCAATTGCGTGCATGCAATTTTCAGGATGCAATTGCAATTTGAAGCTTGAGACTTTCAATAGCAGTAAATCTGGGCTTTCAGTTGAGCTTATTTGCATTCTTCTTTTTTAAACACACACACACACACACACACACACACACACACACACACCCCTGCTGTTTTTCCAGACAAAGCCAGTCTTCTGCTGGGATTACTAAGAGGTTTTTACACACTCAGGACAGAGAAAGGGTGTTGGAATTTAAAATTAGCGCAAGAGAACTATATTTATATCCAAGGCTTAGATTCCTGAAGACTACTGCCAGAGAGTTTGTATTGAGTATTAAATATGGGAAGGTGAGACACATCTTTTCTTCACACACTGATAATGGGACTTGTGGGTTTCTAGTTTACTATATCCCAGCCAAGCTTTTCTTTTCTTTTTTACTAAATAACTTTTAATGGACAAAAGGTCTTGCCTATTAAGTTGAGCAAACAGACACTTCAGTAAGAGTGAATATTCCTGCTTACTCTGTTGTAAAGGCCAAAAGAGACCTGAGTGGCATTTATGGACTGTCTGAGATACTGGGACAGCATAGAAGCTGCTACCATGAAAGGAATGTGAATTCCCATTGCTTGAGCCCAGGTTCATTCTCTTTGTGCAAGCATATGCAAACACGGCCCTCCAGATGTTTTGGGACTGCAATTCCCATCATCCCTAGCTAACAGGACGAGTGGTCAGGGATGATGGGAATTGTAGTCCCAAAACATCTGGAGGGCCGAGTTTGCCTTTGTGCATTGACAGTATTGGATACAGTCCACCATTTGCCTATTTACAGTGCAAGCCTATAGGTCCATTCTTTGAACTAAGTTCAGTGATTTCAGATAAGGCTTACTCTCAGATAAGTGAGTGTATAATAAAAATGATGATGATAAAAAATAATTTATACCCCGCCCATCTGACTGGGTTGCTTCAGCCACCCAGCCTTAGCGTAAATTTTAAGGGGATATGCTGTTCATGATCATTAGCTAATTATGGTGGAAAACTGGGCTTACAGGCAGTTTATGGCTTATATTAGAATAGCGTACACAAGACTTGAACCATTTAAGTTTGCAGTTCTATATGCAGTGGTTTTCAACCAGTGTGCTGTGGCACCCTGGGGTGCCTTGAATGATAGTCAAGAATGCCACAGGCAACACTGGCCGTTGTCCCTCTTTCCTTTCTTCTCTCCCTCCTCTGATGCCTTGTAATAACTCTGCCTCCCAGAGGCTTGCATTGCTGTTTGTTGCAGCAGCCCTGGCTACAAGCTCCCCAGGCGAATGGTGCCACTGGGGCTGGCCAGGGGGTGTTTCCCAGACCCCTGTGGGGCAGAGTGAGGAGGCACCTCTGTTTGGGGTGGGGTGGGGGTCAGCTCAGAGATCAAGGGCAGCAGCAGCCGCTGCCCAGAGGACTCTCAAGGAGAGGAGGCTGAGGGAACACTCCACAAGGGATGGTTTTCAAAAAAGGAGTGACATAACTGGGCTTCTGAGCACCTCAGAAAGAATGTAGTTGGTCACGGGAGCGGTAGACTCAAAAAGCTTGAAAACCTCTCTTATGTGCACTTATCTGGGAGTAAGTTTCATTTAACTGAAGAGGACTTAGTTGTAAGTAGAAATGAATAGGATTGCATTGTAAACATTTCTATGACCTGTTCCATTTTTCCTGGTATTCTAAATTGTTAAACAGAAGAGTAATTTTCAGATCCGTTTGTGTGTGTTTTTCTCCTCCAGGGTAGCACATTGAGAAAGAGAAAGATGTATGAAGAATTTCTTAGTAAAGTGTCAATACTGGGTGAGTGCGAAGAATTTCTTAGCATCGCTGTTAGAATATTTGAGTCTTGCCCTACTGTGAACATCACAGAGGGAGCATATAATGCTTGAAGCTACAGCTGCTAAATCACAAATTGTGAATGGATGATTAATTTGTTTATGGCAGTGGGAAGAAGTGTGGTAGAAGGGTTTGCTGTAGGAAAACTGGAGGAGCGTATCCTTATGTGAGATGAACTGGGGATCTAATTCTAAATCTTTGGGATACAGCAAAATAAACCAACTTTTATTTTTATTTAGAATCCCTTGACAAATGGGAGCGTCTCACAGTAGCTGATGCTTTAGAGCCAGTACAATTTGAGGATGGACAAAAGATTGTGGTGCAGGGAGAACCAGGAGACGAGTTCTTCATTATTTTGGAGGTGAGTATTTATAACAATGTTGTTTTGGAATTAGCTACTAGCAGCAGTATTTGTCGCATACATTTCAGTTACATCAACCTTCCCCAACCGGGCGCTTTCCAGATGTTTTGAGCGACAGCTCTTACCATCTCTGACCGTTCGCTATGCTGGCTAGGGTTGTGGTTCAACATCTGGAGGACACCTGTTTGGGGAATGGTTCTGGATATGATGAAAGGTGGTTCTGTGTTTTTAAAAAGTCATTTGCAGACTGCTTGCATCAATACTGGTTCTTTGGACATAAAACGTATTTGCAAATTATTTTCTGTGATAACAGATTTGATCATAGATGACAATAAATCCCTTTAGCAAATCCTGTGGTGGCAGAATTATACATGTATGAATGCTTAGTTCAATTGTGAAATGTGCTTCTGAATGGTATTTTATCATACTCTCCCCTTTTGAGGATATTAGGATTAAATGGGATAGGTTAAGACAAGTAATTTAATGGGGATGTTTCTGCTTTAAGTCATGAAGTTGCTGCTTTTTGCATAGGATTGCTAAAACAAATCTGGTTATTAACTCTTTAATTCATTTAAAGGGTACAGCTGCTGTGTTACAGCGTAGGTCAGAGCATGAAGAATTTGTTGAAGTGGGCAGGCTTGCACCATCTGATTATTTTGGTGAGTTTTCTTGCTGTTTTAAGTTGACAATGTCGTTTAAATACTTAAGGCATAAGACCAATGCAAATGGCATAATGGTATATATTTTTAAAGCAGCCCCCTTCCTGGTCCCCTGAGACTTGGCTTCTCTCCTGCCCTTTGCTCCTTTCCATCTCATGAGGCTCACAAAAACACGTAGACTCCTATAATACTACCCTTCCTGGAATGGAGAATAAGCCACGAGATCATATTGTAAAGTAAGAAAACATTGAAATTGGCTTGATATGATTTTAATCCATGGGAAGCTACAGAAGAAAAAATAGTTTGTAATTTAGTAACAAGTAAAGCAAACTTCAGGGAAATTTTTCAAGTTGGATGCTGGCTTCTGCAGTTGCTTAATTGCTTTTTGGACATAGACTGTACTTGCACGATCAGATTCTGGCTTAATAAGCCAGGATATACATGAACTTCATACACCCACAGTTGTATCCTTTGTTCCTCCCTTCATGAGACCAGAGAAACAAGTTGCAAATACCCTTAGGTTCCCATGTCATGCAATCTGAGAACAACTGTTAATTTCTTCCAGACCAATGGGTTAGGGATCAGAAGCTGTTTTTAAACCACGGTTGGCATCTGCATCCTAGCTTGTTTGGCGATGTTGAACTAAAGCTCCTGGTTCGTATGTACCAGAAGCTGTGGTTTATGACTGCTTCCTGGTTTGTTTCCCTATTTACATGAAGAGATGCTGCACGTGGGTATATTAAGCTCATGCAAAACTTGTCTCATCAGTCCAGAATATGATCATATGAATTGGGCCATTTAGTAGTTTAGTTGTACTTTAACACGCTTCTAAAACTTTGGATTCAACTTCTGCAATGGAAAACTTGAGTTCGGGATGATAGAAACATTATTGCTTATTAATTAAATAAGCTGGGGATTTATTTTTATTACTTGCTGTAAGATTAAGTATAGTACTACTCTGAACAGAAAAGACTACCAAAGACCTGAAATGGGAACCTTGAACCTTGTCATGAATCTTACATCAAATTATGGAGATACTTTTAAGTGTAACATTTATGGAAATGTTACTTCCTTCTTGAAGATCATGTAGTACATGAGGGATAACAGCATATAGAATTGTACTTTTTTTAAATATTAGAAGTATAAATTCCTGAGTATTATTTAAACAATAATTGCAAGGATACCTAGTGTTAGAACTGGAATCCGATTGCACAGCCAATCCCTGCAGAAAACAGCTTTTCCAAGCATAGGGTGGCAAAAGCCCCTTGCGCAGTAATTTCCAAGTGTCTTGACAACCAGCTGGCTACTGATTGCTTGGGAAGCGTAAATGACTTTGACACTTCCCTTTCCTCTGCTCTTTCCAAGCACACTCCACACTTTAAAGCTCTGTGTCCAGGCACCCCTCCTTTTTTTTTAATCCAGAGTTTCCCCACAAGAACCGCTCTTTAGCACTCATTCGAAGCAAACAACAATCCACAGAAACCCCGAATTGATGTTTGCTCCAATTGAGCACTGAAGAGCAGGTTTTCGCAGGGAAAGCCCCAGGGCAAAAAAACAAAACATACTCAGATACGGAGCTTTAAAGGGCAGACCTGTGCCTGGAAAGAGCAGGACAAAGTGTAAGTGTGGATAAGCCCTCTAAGCACACTTCTCCCACAATCTTTCTGGCCCTCCACATCTCTGTCTATAATTCTTAACACTCTTACACTATGCAATATTTTGGGATAATTTTAGAGCAGTCCTCTATTTTGGGAAAGTCTGTTGATCTGTTTCAAATCACCTCTCCCCCCCCCCCTTACCCTGTTCTCTTTGAAATGAATATTTTGTTTTTTAGGTGAAATAGCCCTGTTGATGAACCGTCCTCGTGCTGCCACGGTTGTTGCTCGTGGCCCATTGAAATGTGTAAAGCTCGACCGGCCCCGATTTGAGCGTGTCTTGGGTCCATGCTCAGATATTCTCAAGCGGAACATCCAGCAGTACAACAGCTTTGTGTCTCTGTCTGTCTGAAGTCTCCCTTCTTCTTCAAATACATGCTTCACAAATGCAGACTGCTTCATTACTCTTGTGCAGAGCCACATGGCCACTGGCTATTGCAGCTTCCTGTCTGTCTGAGGGAGGGGAAAAGAAAAAAAAAGGAAAAAAAAGAAATCAGTTGCTTTTCATGGCACCATTTTAATTTTTAGAGCATTTATTTTGGTGCTCCCAATACAATTTAAAATAAATAGAAAATTATATGGAGTCTTTTTGCTGTTACTGCTTTTCTCTGTGCAATGTACAGTGTCCAACTCGGGCAGTGACTGCCATTCCTTTCGCTGGGAAAATTTCCTAGTACCAAGGTTATTGCCATAGAGTTAAGGATGTAACAGTGGAAAATTATTAAGAGGCACACATTTCTCAACTGGTGAGTTCCTACATTTATTTCAGGGCGTGGTCACTTTCTGCTGTAAGTACTTCTCTTAGCAGAGGAACTTACCCTCTAAGCTCAACTTCTTGGCATAAATGTTCTGGATATGGTTATCTTTGGTTTGGTTTACTGAGATCAGCTCCTTAGTAAAACCACAGTTAGAAGTTTGATAGTTTGATGCATCAGTATCCATTTCAGTTGGTTCACGACGGGCTTGGTTATCGTTTGTCAGGTTTTTGTGTACAAGCTTTTGTTCTGGCACCTGCTGCCAGTGTTGCTGATATTCTTGCCACAGTTACCCTTCCCCTTTGCCTGTTCTCAGTTGTGAATATTCATATTTGCCCCTTCTATTTCCCCCCCTGTGCAATTTCTCAATACCCATCCAAAGGATTAGACACCTATATATTGGTGGTGGTGTTGGCAAAATAATTGCACTGCTCCTTAGCTAGTGCCAAATAGTATACCCCACATGCAGTGTATGTAGACCAGGAAACTGAAGGGTGCATCCTGTGTGTTCAGTCTTCTGTCTGACCCTTTCAAGCTTTGCCTTCCCTGTTAACTTCAGCACCAGATATTGAATGGTTCTGTTGGCATTCAGTGCAGGACCGGACTACACACTCCTTGTTAGATGACAAGAATCTGGCTCATGTGGAAGACTGGAAACAGAAAATCAGTGTCCTGTAAACTCTTGTTACTGAATCTCTTTTGTCCAATCAGAAGTTTTAGTAACTTCTAACCTTTCTCAGATATTCAGTCTGAGCAGATGTTCAGTCTCGAGTCTTGTTCTCTTTGGTTTGTCCCAGATTCTCATACCGATCTGACAGAATAGCTTTTGGGAAAGTTGACCCTGTTGTCAAGTCTGAAATGTTTTTTCAGTATTTACCAGGTTTGTGTTACAATATTTTGTGTGCACCCTGTGCTGCCTACTATATGGAATGTTGCAGGTGGATAATGTAGGCAATTTGGTTTCCTTATAACATGTAAATTATCTAGAACTAGTCTAGGGTTTTATTTGGGAGTGACAGCAAGTTTTTTGCATTAGTTGTGCAACTATTTCTTACCAGTCCACCTCCCTGCCATTCCCTCCTTACTTTCCCCCCAGAAACTGGACCTGGTATGTACCATTCTGACTTGTTGGCTGCTGGAAAGAATGCTTAATTGAATATGATTAGCAATGTCTGGGGAATAGGAGCCTTAGTATATATATATATATAAGGGGGAGGGGGGTATTGACATGTCCTCATTTCTAGATGCATAGAAAATGTAAAGTCTACATTGTGAATTCTTTCTGTCCGTGCTGAAGACTTTGATGAGGATATGCCTTTGGGAATTTCCACCTGTGCTCTCTTTGGGAGTCCATTAATGCTATTTTCCTCCAAAACTTCATTCAGTTTGAATCTATCCAGGGATTCCTCCCCCCAATACCTTTCTTACTTTTGAAGCTTGATTTGATCCTTGTTAAAGCACCAAAAAGATTTTAAATCTTATGTAAGCTAGTTAGAGCGCCACAAAAATGCACATTTTTTTATATAAGGCTTTCTAATCAAGTTTCACTACTGCGTCTTTTTAGCTTGCTGTTTACTCCCTTTTGTAGTTTTACCAACAAGATTTTAAGATGAACCAGCTACGTCTGAGTTAAATATTAATCACAGTTAAAGCTTTACCTTTGTGTGCAATTTAAACATGTTTGAATCCACAGTTGGTATAGTTTGCCTTAGCTAACATTCAGGGCTTTAGAGGTAATCTTTTTTGCTAGGACACCTTAGCAAATAAAAAAATTTAAAAAATCTACTGCCCTAGAGTGCTATAGTCAACCAGAGGACCATTTTTGTATCGTTACCTGACTATAAGTCTGACTTACTGTATGTGCTAATATATTCCTTTTGTTATAGATTGTCCTAATGGCAGGTAAAGCAATAAAATGATTTAAATTCTTAAATGTAATCAGCGTTTTTATTATACTGGTCTGCAGTTTCTAAGCTGGTGCGGACTAGGCAAGGACGGGCTGCATAATAGCACTAGGCCTTTCTTTGGCAGAAAGTGAGTTTCATAGACTGCTTCCTACATGAGATGCCTTCCTTTCATGTGAATGACTTGTGGGTTAAATAGATGTGATATGGGATGCAGTCTTCTTAATGGGTGGCTGCAGGTGTGAGCTTTTTTCCGAAGTGCCAGACTTGTGGGTGTTTATGTAGAATTGTTTGCTGTGGCTCTGTGAGCAGCATCAACTCTTAGGTCATGTTTTCTACTTTTCTATTTAACTAGCCAGCATTGGCAGGTATCTCAATGTGTACATGACAAAAGAGAAATGCAGCAATTTACTCTGAATAGTTCTGCAGTTTATTCCAGATTTTCCATGTACTCGACATCTTTCCAACTTGTTCAGCTAACAGTGGACTTTAGTCCCAGGTGAAATTGATCTGGGAGTGCTTGATGTCACAGTGTTACTGAGGCTCAGCCCACGCTTATCTGGCTCGTGAGTTAAAAGAGTCCAATGTAAGGGCAGGTTATAAGATAAATAATAATAGTGTCACCTCCTGTTGTAAGTGGCAGCCATGTCAACATAGAATCCATGTTAGTTGAATTTCTAATTGTAAGTGCGTGTTGCAGTTTCTCTTATTGTATGAAAAATATACACACATCTTGCTGACCAACTGGTAAGCAGTCATTAAATCTGGGCTTTGTTAGGACGGCTGACCAAATGCCAGCCTAGTTAAGATATAGAGACTACATCACGGACATTGATTAAACTAGTCTTTTCTACTGTCTCAGCCACAAAGTGACTGCATTAGTGCCCTTCTTCCTTGGATCCTCAGGAATGGGAAAATCTTTGCCTTAAACTGTTAATACATGGAAGCTATCAGCAGAGGGAGCTCGACAACAAGATTTTCAAAGTAAGTAACAAAATATAACCCATTTAATACCACTTCATAGTCCGTGTAAGAGAAAAGGCATTCCAATTCTAAAGGTCAAATGGAAATGGAAAATAAGATCACATGTTTAATGGAAAACACTGCCCAGGCAAAATTCAAATGAAAGATTAACAATTGTGTTGGGCTGTTTTCCAGGGTGGCTGATAAAAGGTCTTCCTGCGACTTGGCCAGAGCAGCTGATAGGGCTGAATTGTGCCCTTTCACCCAGGTGTAAATACTTAAGACAGGCACCATTACAGACTGCAAGTGTTGCCCTGTAACTTTGGGAGTTACATAATGCACAGATAAGGTTTACTTCAATGTATTAGCATTCATGGTGTTGGAAATCAGTTAGCAGCTGAACTTTGGAAATCCTAAATGTCGAAGCTATTGGGTTGTATCCAGTGAAGCTGTCCTCATAGTACAAGGGTTTCCACCTGTGCAATGGGTCATCCTCTCCCTACATGCGCCTTCATTCTGCCCTGAAATCTCTGGAGGTGGGGTGGGCAAGGGATTTTTTTTTAAAAAAACCTTAATAGCCCAATGAGAACTGTGCATGATGATTGGATTGGGGAGCGAGGCAACAGAGAAGGGTGGGGAAACTGGCCAGCCAGGTATTTGCTGGACTACAACTCCCATTATCCATGACCAAGCTGACTGAGGCTGATGGGAATTGGAGCCCATCAACACGGGGAACACCACACATTCCCCCAGTGGCTAGTAAGAATTCCGGTTGCAGGTCTCACTTGTGCCATTTGTATTTCAAATTGCTGTAGGTTGAGTTCACTGCATCTCGACTATCTTTATACTTGTTTTGGGAGCCACTATTGTTTTATAGCTGCTTAGAAGTCTCCCACTGTAAAATATAGATACTTTCCCTGCTCTGATGCAGTTGGGGTGTGTGGAGAAGTTAGCATGGCTAGGGGTTGATACTTTTCAATATATCTGCTCAGTTCTTAGACTGTACCTGCCCAGACTGGATGGCAGAATTTATATGCATACTCATGTAGTGGCTCCTTCATGTCGCTGCTGTAATGTGCATTTTGCCCTTACATCTTGCATGTCAGTACTGCCACTGTCCTGCATGCTGTGATCTTGAGGATTATCTGAAGCCCTGTGGCCGGATTCGACTAAGCTGTTGCTCAAGCACAGGGGTCAGCAACCTTTTTCAGCCATGGGCTGGTCCACCGTCCCTCAGACCATGTGGTGGGCCAGACTATATTTTGAAAAAAATATATGAACGAATTCCTATGCCCCACAAATAACCCAGAGATGCGTTTTAAATAAAAGGACACTTTCTACTCATGTAAAAACATGCTGATTCCCAGACCGTCCGCGGGCCGGATTGAGAAGGCGATTGAACCACATCTGGCCCCCAGGCCTTGGGTTGCCTACCCCTGCTCTAGCAGAAGGCAATGCTACAAAGTCCCACTAGCACAACAGGACTTCCTCCCCTCCATTCTCTCCCCTGTGCCCTCCCCAAATCTGTTTGGGAGGACCCCTAGAGCAGTGTGTGAGGGGAGGTTGTTCTTTATGGCAAGGAGAAATGCTTACGCTGATAGAACAGTCGCCTTAGCACAGGCATGGCCAAACTTGGCCCTCCAGATGTTTTGGGACTACAACTCCCATCATCTCTAGCTAACAGGACCAGTTGTCAGGGATGATGGGAATTGTAGTCCCAAAACATCTGGAGGGCCAAGTTTGGCCATGCTTGCCTTAGCATAACATTGAATTCCACCCTTGCATCAATGTATGAATTACTTTGTAGATGGCAAAGAGAACTTTCTATTTAGCTGCCTAGATACATGTTAGGTTGTAGTTTGTTTGTTTTTAAAAAACAGTATTTTTGTGGGTAAAGGGCATGCCTTCCAATACTATTCCCTGTAAGTTGCCACATTTATAACCAGGAGAAGTATCAGTTCCACAACTTCACCATGCCGGCATTTTCCCCTTCGCCTTTTGTCCAGGGTTGCTGGTCTTTCTGTTGTGGTTATCCACTTGTTGAACATCCCTGAGTGCTAACTTGGTGTCATAGCCTTAAATTGTGATGTGGGTATACACAGATACGTTTTTAGGCACGCTTCCCTTTCATCGCCCCCCCTTTTATTTTGGACCCCAGTCCCCCCCCCCCCCCCAAAAATCACAACAATCTGAAGTAACAGGGGCATGGGCAGATCCCGTGAAACCACATAATCACCCATAATATGTCTGGTTTGCAGCTACAGAGTGCCCCATTTATTCAGGTCTCCTGGAGAAGATGCACAAAGGTCACTGGTGGTGATAATGGGATAAGATTTCTGGTTATGCATATGCAAAGGAGACTCAGACCCATGGTGCAGTCTTTAATCACCTGCCCAGCAGCATGTTTAGATTTCGGTGTGACAGAGACCATCCCTCTTGTCAATCACAGTTGTCCAGGGGTAGAGGCGAACAGTCACCAATTAAAAAGTTCAGGTTCTGGTTTATCCCCTAGGTCTCTAGCTTGGCTGTGTCATTCTGTCAAAGGCATCTGTCTCCAGGGGCTCAGCATCAACCACAACATTGTCTTCTCCATTAGCCTCTATGCATTCCTCCACCGCCTTCAGGATGATCTGTAGCCTCCTGTCCAGTGCCAAAAGGTGGGGTTCTGTAAGTACAGGTGCTAGGCGGTCCTCAAGCAAGGATTCCCGCATGATGTCGCTGAGTTTGTAGGCTGGTTGCGCCAAGAGCTGTAGCCGTAATAACGTAGTCTTCTTTATTCTGAAGAGGGACGGGGAAAAACAAGGTTCATTATGCAAAAGCAAAATTCTACCTCCCTGTCTCAGATACTCCTGAAAGTTGGATGGACTTAAACGTGCACTGCTGCGACCTGTGCTCAGTTATAAATAATAGCAACGCGGTGGCTTAAGCTTTCTGGAAAGTCTTTCCTCCCATCTCCAGATGTTTGGAAGCTTGTTGTCGATACTCAGCAGTGAAGTTGCAAGGGTAAAATGTGCTTTGGGGATATAGGGAAGGGCTGTGGCTCTGTTGCGAAGCACATGCTTTTATTATTACTGTTCATTTCATACACCACTTAATGCCAAAATAGGCTTCTAAGCAGTTTACAGAGTATGAATGCCAAGTTACACATGCAGAGGTGCTTGGACTGGAGAAAGTTTCCGATTCGCTTCCCCACACCCTCCACTTAAAACGATGTCAAGTAGTAGGGCTGCAAAAGATAACCCAGCTGTCCATCACGTGGCTGCCACAATCTCTTGTACTTGGGAACTACAGCACAAGGGCCTTGCCAGCTCAGTGCCCAGCGCTTTGGGATGTGCCCAGCATAGAACTGGCAAAGTGCTACTTTCTCCTGCCCATCAGCTGATGGCAATGGGTGGGGGCATATAAGCCAACTTCTTGCAAGTATGCACTGCAAAAAGAAGTTCCCCGTTCAGCCGGTGCCTGCAAAAACAAACAAACCCAGGCATCTTCCTATCCTTTTTAAGCTGCAGTTTCAAAGGGAACACTTCCCTTCTGGAAGCAAGGCCATGAGCTGGTGAGGGAGCTCACATTATGTACCCTGCCCCATTCCTGACATAACGTGCTTTGGGGGAAACAGTCACACAATTGGGACACCTGGTGGGACTGCAGATGAGATGTTTTCCAACCTTGTTTTTAGTAGACTCTGCATGTACATTTGCCAAACCTTACAGCCAGAAATCTAGAAACCAGACTTTGTATATAGCTAGCGCTGTCATCTGGGATTCAACTAAGCTGTAATGTGTGCAGAATGAGGTCCATTTGTGCAATGGGGCTCTTCCCCACCCTCTCTCCTGTGTACCCCTGCATCCCTAAATCTGCGCTGGAGACTTTGAGAAAACTCCATAAAAGGTTTGGGGGGCGTGTCAGGGAGAATAATAAATAATAAATTTTTATTTATACCCCGCCGTTCCTGGTTCAAAAACCGGGCTCAGGGTGGCTAACAAATTTAAAACACTTTAAAACACTTAATTATAAAAGCAGCGTAAAATACGGTATAAAAACATGAATAACAATAAAATTCAAAAATCAAAAATCAATCAGATAATCCCCAGGGCTAGCTGGCTGAATTGGTCCTACTTGGGCCAGCGAGGAGGCCAGGGGGGAATTTGCTGTGGGGTCTCGGAGTGGGTGATCTTCATAAAAAGGGGAGGGGAAGGGAAGAGAAGGGAAATAAAAGATCAGGCTGAGTTCAAATTAAAGGCCAGGCGGAATAGCTCTGTCTTACAGGCCCGACAGAAGGAGGTTAAATCCTGAAGGGCCCTAGTCTCATGGGACAGAGCATTCCACCAGGTCGGAGCCATCACTGAAAAAGCCCTGGCCCTGGTGGAGGATAGTATGACTTCCTTAGGGCCCGGGACTTCTTGTTGTCGTTGTACAAGTGGACCTGGTTCCCTACATGCATTAATCCATTTACAGCACTGCATTGGGTTCCACCCTTTGAGTGAGCCCAGTGGAGCCATAAACTACTTTTTTTTTTTTTGGCCATACCACCTTATTTAAAGAATCAAACTTAGGAGCAAGCACTTCTTTTGGTTTATAGCAGAAGCTGGTTGTCCATGGTGCTAGTTGGTTGGTCTGTATGGGAATCACAAGCCACTCTTCTTCAATCTGAATTGACATGAGTTTTTTCAAAAAAGTTTTTTTAAGAAAAGAGGAACTGAGCAAATGTTTAAGGTAAAGGGACCCCTGACCATTAGGTCCATTCGTGGCCGACTCTGGGGTTGCGGCGCTGATCTCGCTTTATTGGCCGAGGGAGCCAGTGTACAGCTTCTGGGTCATGTGGCCAGCATGACTAAGCTGCTTCTGGCGAACCAGAGCAGCACACGGAAACGTCGTTTACCTTCCCGCCAGAGTGGTACCTATTTATCTACTTGCACTTGACATGCTTTCAAACTGCTAGGTCGGCAGGAGCAGGGACTGAGCAATGGGAGCTCACCCCGTCGCGGGGATTCGAACTGCCGACCTTGTGATCAGCAAGCCCTAGGATCTGTGGTTTAACCCACAGCGCCACCCGCGTCCCGAACAAATGTTTAAAAATAGCTAAATGAGACAAGTGTCTTTAAAAACCAACCACCATTACCTGCCCACTGGTTGAGGAAAGAAGGGTTTCTGTTCTGAACTGATAGCTAGAAGAAGGTGAGTACTTCTAACCCTGCAATAGCCATACCTGCAACTAACTTTTGCAGGTCAATGCATCTGTGCACACCTGGGGGTGGGAGTGTTCTTTGGTAATGCAAAAACTGAGGTAGGCAAAAACCCTTCCATATCAGTGAAATTTGCATTGCTGATTCTCTATTCTGTTCAAACAGGGATAAAATAAATGGCTGGATGCTATACCAGTGCTTGATGTTGCTGCAGGCTGCCTGCATTTAAATGTCAGAAGTTTGTGGCTGAGAGGACGAGATTAGTTCAGGAAAGGTGTGTGAGCAGGAGCCAATTTAAATCACACAGACTTGGAGTTCAGTGCAAGGATTTATTGGCAACCCTATAATTATAAACCAGGAGGCTTGTAAGGTGTGAATAATGGCTTTTGAAAGTCAACCTGGAGGCTCAATATAACTATACGGGATGATGCCACTGACATCCGGGGGCACAGAAATACACAGGGAGTATGGTGAAAATAGTTAAGATGTGGTGGGGCAGAGGAACACGGGAGGATGAATAACCCTTGACACAGTTTTTTAAAGGCCTAGCTTTTGATTTATATGAATTAATAAAGCAGTAGCCTGAAGAGGATTCAGGCAGTAAAATTTATGAGCAGCCCCCTAATGGCTGGAGGGGGACACAAATGTAATTGATGGCATTCGGGTTCTTTCAGTCCCTTTAGAAGACAATAAAATCTGAGTGTTCTTGGCAGGGATCAAAAGAAACGTCTCAATTTCCTTCAGCTATGACAAATGGCATGTTTGATGGGGAAATAGGTGGGCACCCCTTTACACATCCAAATGCTGAAGTCTGCATGCAACTGGGACTTCATTCTGAGTGATGGACAGACTCGGCCTAGTCTGCTTTAGAAATAATTCAGGGGAAGTGAATTATGTTGTCAAATGTTGGGTGGCGGGGAATGACCTGAACTCCAAAACCAGCAGGAGATGGGGTGATCTCCCAGCCCCACAGTAGCTCCTGGGAGACTTTTTGGCTAGTCCTCCCCATTTTCTCAAGTTTTTATGACAAAGGGCAATGTGGAGATGCTGGAAAATGCTATGGCAGTGCTTTGGGTCCTAGCTGTATGAGCGTTGTTTGTGAAAGTGCCCAGGGACACTGGGAGCCATGGGAAAGCACCATTCCCATGACTTCCATCATTCCCGTTTCCAGTTCCCAAGAGTACTATCCACCATTCTTTCCCTAACTTGCAATTTGAGGGAGCTTTTGCAGACCGACACAGAAATGGACCTGTGAGAAGTGGTGCAGTGATGTCTCTCACTCCATTGCCACCAGGTGAAAGATGTGTTCGCCTGCTTGTTACGGCCCAGGGAGCTGCAATTGAGCCTTTCAGTTCAATCCAAAATAACTTGGGAATGACACTTACATGCAACACTGTTCGAGTGGAGCCAGGATGGAGATCTCATCATGGGAATGCTTCCCAAAACTATGGAAACAAACAAAATGTAAAAGGTGTGCCCAAACCACCCAAGACTTCAGAGACTGGAATGCTTCAAGTACAGTGATTAGTGACACGAGACAGAAAATTTCCCAGTGCTCTTATTTTTCCATGGAGAAAAATCCACAAGTTGTAACACGGAATGGATGCCAATTGCAAATGCTGCAGAATTAGGCAAATTTAGCAGTTGCAATGCGTTTAATGTTGTCTACTAAATACAAGAAAAATAAACATGCTAAATTAAATCACACACCAAGGCATCTGAAAAATTTCCAATTTAACCTGAGCTTTTTGATGCAAATCAGGTTGATGGGATATAGCAATGGGATGGGGAGGGGGGTTAATAGTGCCAATTTGGGGTTTTTTTGGTACCTGCTTTCAAAAGAAATTCAATAATAATGATGATGTTGATGATGGTGTATTATTTATATGCCACCCATCTGACTGGGTTGCCCCAGCTCCCAACAAAAAAAGCCATAAAAACACCACACCACAGGCACTAAAAACATCCCTGAACAAGGCTGCCTTGTTGTCATATGTCCTGAATGTCATATGAGATGTCATATGAAATGGGAAATCATACTATAAATCTTAAATTGGCCAAAGGTTACTTATATATGGATATATTTACCTGAATCTTCTTCATTTATGGGAAAATCCGTAACTGAGGATTTACCACACAACTTGTGACATTACCAGTTGCATTAGGCCGCAAGCCAATGCAAATATTTGCATTTCAAATGCCTTAGGAATATAAACAGCACAGTATTTATTTTCAAATTAGTTTATTTGCTTCCAGGGCTAAATAAATAAATGTTTGTAGGAGCCGGTCAGTTTTGTGGTTTCTGACCCTCTCAGATTTTCATGTAGTGTGGGTTAGATGCACTATGAGAACATTTGCTGTAGAGTATTAATGGCTACTCTGCAGAAGATTTTTTGTTGGATGAAAAACTCTCATGCTCTCCAGCCAGCATAGCTACTTATGGGAGATGATGGGAGTTGTAGTCCCATCTTCATCTGGAGGGCACCAGATTGGGGGAAGCTGGTGGTCCACAGATAAATGTGCCCCTTTTGCTGTTTATTTATTGCTATTTGTATATTTTAACTACCCCAAAATACAGACGTGCCTTCATACAGGCCAGATTGGATGTGATGCCCTCTGCCGTACTTGAGGGCAGATACCAAAAGATTCCAATTGAGAAACGACTCTGTCCATGTGGAGATGGCAATCTGGAAACAGTGGCTGATGTTCTCCTGTCCTGTCCCCTTTATAAAGATCTGAGGAATGAGATCATCACCCCACTCTTACTTACCATCCCAGGCCGCCCATCTGCGGCCACATTGTTCTTTCTTTTATCAGATCAAAATGATCAGACAACAGCAAAGGTTGCTAGGTTTATCAAGGGTGCAGTGAGATTAAGGGCCACTATCTGAACAATAATCTTGGTCAACTGATTGTTCTTTTTACCAATTGTTGTCTTTTTAATTGCATATATTGCTTGTTTTATGTTGCTATGGCCGTTGGCTAATGCGGATAAAGTTGATCTATCTTGCTATTTGTGTGTTTTGTCAAGGTTATATAATGACAATGGCACAAAAGTGTGCCCAGGTAGTCCTCATGTGCCATTGTTCTGTATACCTTCATGAATGAGGTAGAATTCCTGCTGGGGATTCAGTAAGAACCTGCCATGATTGTTCAACAGAATTCACTGAGCATCTGCAGAATCTTCCAATACAAGTCTCTTGCTCACCCTCCTCCTACAATTCCCAGAATCCTGGGATGGTGGTGACGACTGTTACATCAGTGTTTAAGCCAACACAGGCCTTAGTTCAAGACTCTGCCTGGTCACATGGTTTCCAAGAGGGGTTCCACAGAATTTATATCCCAAGACTCGCAGAGTAACTTCTTGAGTCTTGTTCCTGAGACCCAGGACGGACTATTCCTCCCCACAGAACCAGCTCTTTCCCCCTTTAGGTCCCAGATGCAATTTGTGGGGTTCCTTACCCTCTTGCATTGTCCAAATGGAGCAAAAAGCCATCATCTCCAAACTTTGTGAACATCTCATAATGATGACGGTCCATGTTGCCTTTCAAAACAGAGAAGGAAAAGCATTTGGTTCTTCCAGAGTACTAACCCAATCCAACTGCTTGAGATCTCATGCAAGACACATTATCTGAGGTATAATATCAATGTATTAATAGCAGCTTTGAAACTAAACAGGAAACAGCGAGCAAGACACAAAAATGGCTTTTATCTGGATCAAATGGCTGCTTATAAGATAGGCTTGTGATATCTACTTGTTCCAAAGTTCTGCAAGGATGCATGATGGGATACGGCAGGAAAATAACCCCACTGAGTTACTTTTGAAGGAGTGGGATGCCCTGATAGGAGCAGACAGACATAAATAACATGGTTTGGAAATGCCTACACCATGTCAGATGGCGGGATAGTAATGAAAGACAGTGTAACTGCATTGGCTAAGGGAGGAGAGGAAATACTTGATGTTAGTTATGAACACTTAGACACGCTTAGAGTTTCCCCCGTTTTAGACTTGTTTTCTTCTAACAGATCCATCAGCATTCTATTTTATTAGGACTGACCTAGAACTCTCAGAGGGCAGGCTTGATGCATCCAGCTGTTAAGCTCTTTAAAACCCTGTTGATCAATGGATGAGCGTTCGGCATGCGCTTCAACTCCCCCACTGAAATCAATGGAGCTTAGGAGTGCTGCTTACCTTTGGTTGCATTGAGCCAGAAATCTGCAGAGAGACAGGCCACTTTGAAGGGGAATGCTATAGGGAAAGTATTTGTCGCAGCAATTCAAAAGCGAGGGGAGCTTACTCGTGTCATCCCTTTAGGAGCTAAGCCTGAAAAATAGTGGTTTGCCATGGCTTTCCAGTGGGACCATTGCACTAGGAGCTAAACCAGGAGGGCTTTAACCTCTTGCTTCTGCCATGGCCCCAAACTGGAACAGGAGGGATTCAAGCCTGATACTGTCATTGCAAAGAAGATTCCTATTTGTTTGGTTCCTGCAGCTAAAGGAAAGATCGGGCCAAGGAGAAGGAGGCAGCAGCAGTAGAAAAAGGATGTGATGCATCATTTTGGACTCACAGCTGTCCATGGAGGCACAGGTCAATTCTGTGTCCAGGCAGCTGTTTACCAGCTCCATCTGGTACGCAGGCTGAGACCCTACCTGCCACCTGCTGGACTGTCTCACCAGAGTGGTGCATGCTCTAGTTATCTCCCGCTTGGACTATTGCAATGCGCTATACATGTTTATAGCCTTTGAAGGTTGGCCCGGTTGGCACCTTTGAAGGTGGCCCGGAAACTACAACTAATCCAGAATGCGGCAGCTAGACGGGTGACTGGAAGTGGCCACCAAGACCATATAACACTGGTCCTGAACCAGTACATTTCCGAGCACAATTCAAAGTGTTGGTGCTGGCCTTTAAAGCCCTAAGCAGTATACCTGAAAGAGTCTCTCCACCCCCATCGTTCAGCCTGGACACTGAGGTCCAGCTCCAAGGGCTTTCTGGTGGTTCCCTCACTGCGAGAAGTGAGGTTACAAAGAACCAGGCAGAGGGCCTTCTTGGTGGTGGCGCCAGCCCTGTGGAACGCCCTCCCATCAGATGTCAAGGAAATAAACAACTATCTGACTTTTAGAAGACTTCTGAAGGCAACTCTGTATCAGGAATTTTTTAATATCTAACGTTTTACAATTTTTTATGTGTTGTAAGCCGCCCACAGTAGCTGGGGAAACCCAGCCAGATGGGTGGGGTATAAATATATTCATTATTATTATTATTATTCCATTTCTGCTTTATAAGCCTTTAGCAAACTAGATGCATACAGTGAGGAGATTTCACCCCTCCCATTGCAAGAATCTGCTCATTTTCCAGAGAGGAGGGGGCGGATTGTGCTTGCTACTTATTCCGCTCCAGCCTCACTTCAAAGGGGAGACTGAGTGTTATCTCTGTGGTAGATAAGGTCACTGCAGAAAGCAGCTGTAACACTCAGTGCAGTCCAGCGTCTCCATTTGTGTATAGTTTGTATAGTACAGTAGCTGTAGTGAATAAAAGAAGATATTCTTCAGCGCTGTCGTCCGAGTGATTTATGCTCTGCTATACTCTGCTGTGCACTGCTGTCTTCTGGAAGTGAGTTCGGTGCTCACAGCTCTGAGTTGTGAGACCACAGCACTTAGACCTGTTCCTGCAGAAGAGGGTCTCTGGAAGTGCTACCCCAGCTCGCCTGGCCCAGTCGGGGCTGAAGTGGTTGAGCCCAGTTGGTGGCACTGGCTCAAAGGCGAAGCTGACATACAGGTCACTGGTGTTTTAAAACTTTTGCATAACGGCTAGAAACAAGCTGATCTCAGAGCAGAAAACATGCTACCAGTGCTGCCAAACTATTTACAAGCCATCTGGTTTCAACATAGCAAGCGACATTTGCAACATCCGCGACAGTGTGTCAGATCCATGAGATTAATTATTACTTTGCTGTTTCCCACTTACCTATTAAGAAGTCAAATATTGCCATGTCGATGATATTGAGTAGCCGAGTGCCGCTGCTGTAAGGATAAATCTCCTTCACTGTGTTGCAGTAGAGTGGATTCACTTCCCATCTGCGAGAAACGCCAAAGGAAGGGGTTGAATGCTAGCACAACTATTCTGGGAGTTCCTCCCTATTTTCTGAAATAGTTGGGAACTAGTCCTGCATTTATTACACTGGCTCTTTAGTAAGGATATACAACACCAGGTTTCCCCAATTTGGTGTCCTCCAGATGTTGCGGTGTAACAATTTCTGGAGGGCACCAAGTTGGGGCTGATGGGAGTTGTGGCCAAACACCATCCGTTGGGGAAACCTGGTCTGTGCTGCTTTTGAGCAGGTAGCTACTTTTCTAGAAGGGTTGTCAATCTCTTCTGTGTGGGAATGAGTTTGCCAATGATACTTCTGGTGGCATCAGATCTCGGCCTGTTTTGTTCTGGCAGTGGTAGGTAAAAGGAACAACATACCCATGCTTTTCTGAAATGATATTAACAAACCAAAGTTAGGGATATGGGTGGGGCCCAAGTGCTCTATCCATGGAAAAAAGCTTATGCTTCTTGCAACAAAGAACAGTGGTGATTCTCAACCAGCCACTTGTTCTGAGATGGAACAGGTCTTCTGTGCCTAAACATTCAGTAAAGTCCTTCTCAGGCACGTTCTAGAGTGAAAGGTAAAGGTCCTGACCATTAGGTCCAGTCGCGGATGACTCTGGGGTTGCAGCGCCCATCTCGCTTTATTGGCCAAGGGAGCTGGTGTACACGTGGCCAGCATGACTAAGCCGCTTCTGGCAAACCAGAGCAGCACACGGAAACGCCATTTACCTTCCCACCGGAGCCTACTTATCTACTCGCACTTTGACATGCTTTCGAACTGCTAGGTTGGCAGGAGCAGGGACCGAGCAACGGGAGCTCACCCCGTCGCGGGGATTCGAACCGCCGACCTTCTGATTGGCAAGCCCTAGGCTCAGTGGTTTAGACCACAGCGCCACCGGCGTCTTGAGTGAAACAGCAATACAATAGTTTGGTGAAGCAAGCTGAACATGCTTAGGACGACACCCTTAGTTTAACCTTCGTAAAATAGAAATACTTCCGACGTCTGAAGGACTGCTAAGCCCAACAAATACTGCAAAATATGCAGTCAGTGTCAAGTGCTATATAAATAAGAATACGAGTTAAGGGCAGGCCAAGAGAGAGATTCATTTACCCACTTACTCCTCTTTTCCAGCAAAGGTGTAGGATCGTATCCATGGGTTTGGGATGGAGATTCTTGGTGCCAGGTTGAGAGATGGTAGGAAAACAGAGAGGGATCCTTCCAGCAGGTGAGGATTCCCACACACGGCATATTCTGTCTTGCACATATAAGGGCATTTGGCAAAGAAACAGACATTGCTGGCTGCAGAGAGAGCAGAATCTGTGAGTGAAAGGGCTAATGCAGCGCTGCACAGTTTTAAGAATCTGGGGGACCTTGGTGAAAACATGAGATCAGTTATTTTCTCATATTAAAGCGATATGTCATTAAGATCACAGGGGAAATAACATCTTAAGTTACATATGAGGCATCATTTTGAACCCACCTTTATTTATACACTTCATAAATCACAACGGTTTGTGGAGTGGCTTGTGATTTTTTGAACATTTGGGATAGGCAGTAGCAGCATGGTCCCCTATCACTGACAAGGCTAGATGCCAGGAAGCAGAGCAAAACAGAGCAAACATTTCTCTTCAAATCGTATAAATCATTTGCCTTTTATTAAGGAAGCAGAGCAAGCATCGCTAGGCCACACTCTTCCTGATGGAGGAGTACAATGGCCACTTCAAATGTGACCAATGTCCTGGGCAAATACTAGTCTTTAAAAGAAAAAATGCTTTTATCACAAATGCTGATCTTGTTTGTACTGTTTTTGCTGCATGTACACTCTCTGGAAAGCTATGGCCAGCTCATCCATTTTTTCCAAACAAACAAATATGCCAGAGCTTCCTAGCACATGGTATCCACAGCATGAGATGCAAGGGCAATCATCATGTCACACACACTGTGTGGTTTGCACCGTGCATGTTTTTTCCTACATAGAAGAGATATCTGTGTCATGTTTGAAGCAGCTCTTAAAACCACAGCTTCTGGAAAGCTGTTGTTTTCCGCTTCTGCAGATAGCGCAGGTGAAACTTACCTGGCGAAACAAAAAAGACACTTTGCAGGATTTCATTTTTGGTGACCTCTAAGATTTCCTTTGTAACGTTAATCATTCTCCCAACCACTGGAGGGACGCGGCGGAAATCCAGGATTCTGCAGTGGGGAGAAGGGAGGCAACAGCTAGGAAAGTACAGTCGTACCTTGGAAGTCGAACGGAATCCGTTCCAGAAGTCCAAAACATTCAGAAACCAAAGCACGGCTTCCGATTGGCTGCAAGAAGTTCCTGCAGCCAATCGGAAGCTGTGGAAGCCCCGTTGGATGTTCGGCTTCCAAAAATAGTTCGCAAACCAGAACAGTCACTTCCGGGCTTACGGCGTTTGGTAGCTAAAACGTTCAAGAACTAAGCTGTTCGAAAACCAAGGTACGACTGTATTTCTTAGAGTAAACAGAAGTAGCAGACCCTTCCCATTAATCCATAGCAGGGGGAGTTGTTCATCCCATTGTAAAACTGAGCACACTTCCCCAGACCAGATCTGGCCAGCTGATCCAATATATTTAGTACACTTTTGAGTAGGAATCCAGCCAAATGGGTCTGCCTGCTACGATGGCATTATCTGTAGTTTACTGTGTGTGAAGAAGAATGTGCCAATTCTGTTTCCTGCAGAGCATTCTTTTAAAGTTCCCTGCATTCCTCAACGTGGTTCATATATTACATTACTTTTATTGCATTTAGTGAAGCACTGGCTCTTCTCCCAACTAGATTATTTTGAATAATGACAGCCAGCTGAGAATTGTGAAGCTAGATTTTACATTGTGGGCTTACATTGCATTGTCCATTAAGTCCAGGCAAGATTAAATTGTGCGCTAAGTGCCCCACATAACAGAACCTCAGCAAAGCTGGAATGTGATCTGGTTTAATGACTGAAGGGATTGACCGAGGAAAAGGCTGCGCCCGCTTTGCACCCAACACCCGGTTTCTAAAATTTCCCTGCCAATAAAGAAAAGGACAACTCTTTCCTTTTTACAAGATAAGGGAACAATTTTAAGCCTCAGGACAATTTAGAATAATCATAGTAAATAAATGACAGATGGTGCAAGGCCAAAACACTCATTTCACTGCCAAGATTTCAGGGTGAAAAAGAAAAAGGAAGCTTCGCCCTCCTTTGTAGGGAGGCACTCAGCTGACTGATAAAAATGTATGATTCATAGGTTCAGTTCTTCTTAAATCGGACCTCAACTTTCATCCCTTTCGTATGATGAATTTCTGCAACAGAAGTTGGGGGCAGAAATGTGACTTGAGGTGAAATATCCCCAAATAAGCCGTTTCCTTTGCAGCTCATGGTTTTTATTTGTAGTTTGATGGCAGAGAGCATGCCTTGTGGGCAGAAGATCTCCCACTTTAATTCCAGGGCAGGGATTGGAAGTGTTATGTACTGAAGTTCTCACCCTGGGCCAGCAGGGGGATACTGTAGATAGTTATGCAAATAAAGGATCGAAAGTGACGTTCAGTGATTGGATAGTTACAGAAAATGGTTACTGTTGCGTTCTAGTGGAGCTCTATATAAGCAGGCTGGCTGAAGCCTTCAGTTCAGTTCTGTCCTGGCCTGTGAATAAACAAGAGCTGTTTGAAGAATCGCTGTGTCATCTGATATGTTCACCCACAACCTAACAGGAAGGAGACCCTTTTGAAAGCTTGGAGAGCTGCTGTCCTTCAGTGTAGAGCCTGTAGACAAGGCTGATTTGGATGGATCAGTCGTCTGGCTTGGCATAAAAACACTTCCTGCGTTCCAAGTATCCAGAGAATAGGTGCAACATGACTGGGACAACCAGTGGCTCAGGAGAGGGAAGACCCCTCTGCCTTTAATAGTTGAATAAATGAGGGGTGGTTTCCCCCCTCCTGCTGAAATTCTACATACCTATTGAAAGAAGAACAGTCATGTCTTCCTTTGCATCAAATTACTTTAAAAAAATAATAAGGGGGGCGTGTTCCCAAATACTTAGTAAAACAAAGCTTTGATAACGCAGCTCAAAGAGCAAACAACTGCAAAGCATCAAGTCCTGTGCTGTTAAGTGGAGGAAAATATTCACTGCTGTTGTTAATATTTAAGTCACCAGGGAGCCTTGATCATCACAGGTCTTAAGGGAAAGCCCATTGGTCAGTGGTAGAGCAGAAAGCATTCTGCTCTGAATGCAGAAAGGCCCGAGTTCATCAGGCAGGGCTGAGGAAAAATAGCCCTTCCTGAAACGTTGGAGATCCTCTGTCAGTCAGTGTAGACAATTCTGAGCTAGAGGAACCAGGGGCAGTACAGGGGCAGTGCTTCCCAAAGCTGGGTCTTCAGCTGTTTTCGGACTACAATTCCCATCATCTTTGATGGGATGCTAGCTAGGGATGATGGGAGTTGTAGTCCAAAAACAGCTGGAGACCCAAGTTTGGGAAACACTGGTATAAGGCAACTTCCTATGCCTCCAAATTGCACATTATATTTTGAGAGTCACTGGTGTGTGTGTGTGTGTGTGTGTGTGTGTGTGTGTAGCCAGTCAACATAAGCAGCTCCATGAAGATTTTCTTCATTCTTCAGTCCCCGTTAGTGGCCCATCATCCAAAAACATGTCTTCTCTCTGTGTCTTGGCACATCTCCCGCATCCTCATGCTCAACCGTGTATCGTCTACAAATATGCAGACCAGCTGCAGCCTCACTTGTTGGGGTGCCATTTTGCTATTGTTGCCGTCGGTGCAGAGGCAATTCAGAAAGGCTCTTGACTGACGCTCTTATGTGCCGTGCATGCGAGAGCTTTGCACAACCTGCAAACTCTTGGAAGACTCTTCCTAGTGGGACATATATTTCTACTGCCTAGGCTGATTCAAACCACCGAAAATTGCAAATGGTGCTGTGTGGGCTCGGTGGTGTTTTCTCAGCAGAGCAAAACATTATTGGCTGGTGAGTCAGTAACCACCAGGCAGACTGACTAATACTGGCACAGAAGCCACTTAAAAATGCCCCCAAGTCGGCTGGAACTCATTTTTTAGCCTGTTGCTCAACACAAAAACAAAACAAAAGCTTGGCTTGGGTCTGACTGAGGACTTGGTGAGACACACCAAGCCAAATGCAGCCATATTTCTGCAGCCTGCCAGAGGCTTGACAGGCAACTAAAGTGGGAGATGGATTGAGCCCATAATAGGCTGCCACATACATACATAAGCTGGTGTTTAACATGTGGTGCAAAAACATGTTGTGCAAGCCTGATCTAGCTTTTGGGATGGCCCGGTTACATTTTCTATTAGGAAATGGAAAAGATTCACACCTCAGGAGTGTAAAACCAGGGATGTACGTAATGTCCTGTGGAGCTGGAACGGTTTGGAGTAGGGAGCGATATTTGAAAATAAGGAACATATTGTGACAAGTGCTGGAAAATTCAGACAATTTGCTTCATGCTCCTCATCTGTGCTGGTGGCAGCTCCTCTGGCCTGCTCATGTTTTAAGAACATAAGATCAGACCAAAGACCCATCTAGTCCAGCATTCTCCTAGGTGGGATTCAACTAACTTGTTTCACCAGCTCAAGGATTTTGGCTTGAGCAACACTTTGAGCAACACTTATCTATACAAACTGGTAGCTCTCCAGAGTTTCAGAGGGGTGTATTTGTTGTGTGTGTGTGTGTTTCTCAGCCCTACCTGGTTATGGTGTCGATTAAACCTGGCACCTTCAGAATGCAATGCAGATGTTCCACCACTGAGCTGCCATAGCCTTTCCTGGTGATCCCAGACACCAATATTCATGCCTGTGGCCATTGAAATGGTTTGCTCCCGAAACAAGAATGCATATACTAGGAAAGGCATACTATGGGCAGCTTGAAAGAGACGTCATATATGGTTGAAATCTGAATGCAGATCCCTAAATCCCCTCTCCTAAGGAATCTCTTCTTATGACAACACTACCATTCCTTGGGCTTTTGAGCACTGCAGCTCTTGTTTTCTTCTCCCTGAAGTCAGGTTAGGCTCCAACTATACGTCCAAAGAAGGGGTGAGCAAGAGCATCAAATTACCTGTCGAGGTGGAAGGCAGCTATTTCTGCATTGTGCCTTTGAAAGTCAACAAAATAGAAAAAGTCTTCTGGAGTCTCCTCATCTCGTTTCTGTCTGAAAGGAAGATAGGGGTCACTAAGAGAAAGGAGATTCCTTCTGCATAACCGTTGACATCCTCCTGATTGCAAGGAAAGTATTTATGGTACAACTAGAGAAGCAGGACAAATGATTGTCAGAACAGACGACTGTGAAATTGTCTCTGTGTTAACGTGTCTCTGTGCTTACAGTTACTTCTAAAATACAGAAAAATGGTACCTATTACCCCCTTTTTTTAAAGGTGAGGCAAGTCTGCACAAGAGGGCTGCAAAATAATAAGGCCTCCTTCAACCTTAGCTTAACTTTAATTGTGTTAAATTAAGGTTGGTGGGCTGTTGTTGTTTTTTAAAATTTTCTAACTAGTAATCTCTGCTGACTGATTCAAAAATATATATATAATCAGAATATTATTTGCCAAGCAAGTGCTTACAAAACCTGTGGGTGGGTAGCAGGGGCCATCTTAGAAGAGTCATTTTATACTCTCTCACACGAAGGGAATGCCTCTTCTAAGATGGCTGCTGCTGCGGCATAGAGCTGCATCATCTAAAAACGAGAAGCATTTTTTTTCAATCTCTAGAGGGGGGAAATCCAATTGATTTATTTTTTTAAAAATAAATAAAATAAAAACCTCATACAAGTAATCAGTTAAGATTTAGTTGATCAGGTGGCAGCTCTCACTTTTATTTCAATTAAGTAAACATACCTCATTCTCACACTTGCTGTATGCTTTTCCTCCCTCTTTCTTTTTCTCTCTTTGTTGAGTAAGGCCTACCAGATATTATTGGATTCCAACTCCCATCAGCCTCCCCCCAAGGATGGCCAATGGCCAGTGAGGAAGGGAGCTGTGGTCCAGGAACATCTTCCTCACCCTTGTTGTGGAAGAACTGATTCCAGTTACCAACTCGTGCCAGAGTGGAAAGGGAAAGCTAATGTCCTGTTCCCTCAAAGCAAGAATGCTCCAATACACTTCATGTCTTTCTTTCTTTTTGCATTTAATTCCCTGCCCACAACCTTATTCCTTAACTTTGTGCCTTATTAAGAATGGTTGACATCTACTGGTGAAGGTCCTCTGACAGAAGACAATCTGTTAGCAGAACGAGGAGGGAGGCAGGCAATTTTCAGCACTCCCCCTTGCAGCACTTTGTACTGCCCCACCAATCTGTTTTAGATTTAAGCATATTTAAAGGGGGTGTAGGGTATTGCTGGGGGCAGTGGGGAAAATCGGTGAAAGTGGCAGTGTGGTGTAGTGGTTAAGAGCAGTGGACTCGTAATCTGGGGAACCGGGTTCGTGTCTCCGCTCCTCCACATGCAGCTGCTGGGTGACCTTGGGATAGTCACCCTTCTCTGAAGTCTCTCAGCCCCACTCACCTCACAGTGTGTTTGTTGTGGGGGAGGAAGGGAAAAGGAGATTGTGAGCCGCTTTGAGACTCCTCAGGGTAGTGATAAAGCAGGATATCAAATCCAAACTCTTCTTCAAACTCTTCTCCCATCCCACTAAGGGGTTCCCTTCTGTAAACAGTCACCACTGAATACCACCCAGGATTTACCATTGCACTTTCCCCTCTGTTCATGGTGGTGTCATCATGATGAAAATGCACACCATACCAAACAAGATAAATAACAGCAACGGCTAGGCAAATGTTTTCAGGTGAACTGAGCTTACCTCATGGGTTTGAACATGGCTTTGCCAAAGTCCTGGAACCGCAGAACAAGTTTCAGGTGCACACCGCTGGGCTTGACAACTGGAAAGTGAAACCGAGATGCTCAGCTCATTATTCAAACGGACTTTTGAGAAAACGGAAACTCTTTAGTGTTAACCTGGCAAGTTATTCAGGTGGGATTCAACTAAGTTGTTGCCTGGAATGAGCTCCACTCATGCAATGGGGCTTTTCTCCCCTCACTCCTCGCCCCACACCCCCTAAATCTGCCCTAAAACATGCTGAGGGTACATGCGGAGGTAGGGTGTACTGAATTCTTCAACTTTCAAATTCCAAAAATCAGAGTTGTTCAAAAGTTGTTACGTGACTTGGGAATTCAAATTATATTTTGGTTAAATTAATATAATTTAGCTTTGCTTGGTAAGCAAAATGTGTGTAAAATTGCATAGAAATCCTTAAAAAATGATTGCCAAATACTTTTAGTGTTTGTTAGACACACACACTTAACAACAACAACAACATTATTATTATGATTATGATCTTTTAGCATTACCTGACATTTTAAGAAGGTAAAATTAAAATCCTTTGGTTTTCCAAATGCAGTTTATATGTTTCTTCATCGAATGTAGACTTATGAAGCTAAAAGCAGATTTGAATTCCTCAAATGAATTCCCTAAAATGACACCCCTAATGGGTGGAAAGGGGGGAAAGTCCCTTTGCACGAGCAGACCTTGTTCTGCAATGCCTAACCCACTTAGTGCTGTATTGAATTCAGGAGAACAGCACTCTGTATAACAGGGGGACTTGCTACATATCCAAGACTGAGGTTCCAACTAGTTCCTAGTTAACTAGGGGGGTTGGGAAATGAGTTTCTTCTTACAGGCTATGCCTGCTTCTTAAAGAGACAAGCCACACACACTACAGGTATGGGTGGGGGTGAGAGGGACTGAAACCAGCGGCTCATTTTGCTCTGCGTTTCTGTTCCAACCCGTTATTAGCATCTAGACTTCGCCTACTACTCCACTAGGAAATGAGGGATGCCTTGCCAGAGCAGGCTGCTGTTCTATGAATATGAAAATTTCAATTTAGGGGCATAACTTTGATTGAAGTGTTCTGGGTCAAAGGCTCTCCATCCAATTTAAGTGGCTCGTTTCCATGTACGCCAAGCTGATTAAAAGAATTCTGGATTACTGACCCAGCTCGGTTTTTGTAATATTCACAACGTAATTAAGATATATTTGCATATAGAGGTGGTCGCCTACAGAGCGTAAGAAAATGCAAAACAAAACCTATAATATCTATGGAATAAGGGAAGGAAGGAAGGAAGGAAGCAGCAGCAGCAACAGCAGATCAAAGTTAATTTTAGGGTGGCACAAAACACAGACTAATAATCAATGTAATGGCTTTGTTAATGGCCATGTTAATAGAGAACGCTGTTATTAAAATTTCTCCAATTTTCCTCTCCTCATCCTCATTGGAAATTTTAAAAACAAAGTTGCATGACCAGCTGTCAGGGATTCTTTAGATGAAATTCCTGCATTGTAGGGGGTTGGACTAAATGACCCTTTGGGTCCCAACTCTAAGATTCTATGGTTTTATTATTCCTGTGATTCGTAGAAACTGAGGCACTTGACTTACTTTGTGTGCAGTCACAGGCACCCAGCAATGCTTTCTCGTCCTGGCTGTAATCTGGAATGAAAACGAAAAGCCATGAGCTTCAGGCTCACCCAATAGGAATGCTTTTTTTTAAGGAGATGCGGTGTGTGATAGAACTTATGTAATTGTCCTAGCAGGGGGTATTAAGGTCTTCTGACACTCTGCACAATGATGATTTTTTGGGGGGAGGGGGGTGTATTTTGGGTCTCCTTTAGTCATGACAAGAGCACTACAGTGGTACCTCGGGTTACAGACACTTCAGGTTACAGATGCTTCAGATTACACACTCCGTTAACTCAGAAATAGTACCTCAGGTTAAGAACTTTTCTTCATGATGAGAACAGAAATCATGTGGCAGTGGCGGCGGCAGCGGGAGGCCCCATTAGCTAAAGTGGTACCTCAGGTTAAGAACAGTTTCAGGTTAGGAACAGACCTCAGGAACGAATTAAGTTCTTAACCCGAGGTACCACTGTATGGGAAATTTTGGCAGGGAGAAGGTGGGGAGTTTTCAGTGGTGGGGAGAGGGTAAAATCCACAGCCAGGTTTAGAGGCCCACTACTGGATGCATTCAAGGTTTAATTGCTAAAAACAACAGAGCGGCCCACTATGTCATGTGGTGGAAACTGCTTTTTGTAATCAAGAGGGCTTTCGGAAGCAGGTCTTCATATGTGTTTTCTTCTAATGACCTTTTCGTCTACAGTGGTACCTCGGGTTACATACGCTTCAGGTTACAGATGCTTCAGGTTACAGACTCCGCTAACCCAGAAATAGTACCTCGGGTTAAGAAATTTGCTTCAGGAAGAGAAGAGAAATTGCGTGATGGCGGCGCAGCGGCAGCGGGAGGCCCCATTAGCTAAAATGGTGCTTCAGGTTAAGAACAGTTTCAGGTTAAGAACAGACCTCCGGAAGAAATTAAGTACTTAACCCGAGGTACCATTGTATTTTATAGCAAAATGATATTATTAGCTACCAAAAAATGGAGACCGAAACAATAATAATGGGAGGAAACCAGTAATCAAAGTGCTTTCCCTTCATGGGGACAGTAATGGACATTGTGATAATTAAAGGAAGCTTTTCCAAGGGCAATTAACAAACTACCCCTTTGTTGTCTCTCTATACTTGTGCTCATCGGAAAGCAATAAAATGGACTGAATGTGCAAACGGGAAGTGTTTAATTAAAGACAAAGGGAGCCCCTTAAAGCCCAGTATTTCCCTATCCACATTAGTGGCTAGCTGGCTGCAATGGCATTTCATTAAGAAAAAAGTAACCCGGCCACTAATCAGACATGCATTCATTCCCCCAACCTTGCTCTGCGCTTGTAGTTCATGATCTGGTGGAGGTGGCAGTTCAGAAAGGAAGCTTTACCTTTTATTGGGTTTTTTAAAACATATCATTTCCAACAATCATTTAACATAACTTCTTTTCTTATACAATATTTTAGACTTCCGTCAACAACTTCTGAAGATTTTCCGTTCTCTATCACTTGTTCTGCATTTCTTAATTTCTCTATTACTTTTAATTGTCCTTAACTAATAATTCTCATCATAGTCTTTCTTGCAATGTTTCAAATTACAGAACTTCTTGCAATCCTACTAGCGTAATCTGTTTATTACAGTTGTTTTTCAAATAGTTCAAATATTTACTCCAGTCTTCTAAGAATCTCTGATCCCGCAGGTTTCGAATCCTTCCTGTTAATTTATCTAATTCTGCATAGTCCATTAATTTCATTTGCCATTCTTCTTTTGTCGATAATTCTTCTTGCTTCTATTTTTGTGTCAATAATATTCTTGCTGCCACCACTGCATATAAAAACAACTTACAATCCTGTCTATTAATATCATCCCCTACAATGCCAAGTAAAAATGCTTCTGGTTTTTAAATAAATGTATATTTCAACATCTTTTTCATATCATTTCCCAGATGTTTTTCACTTTTTTACATTTCCACCACATATGATAAAAAGTTCCTTCCTTTTCTTTACATTTCCAGCATTTATTACTTGTTTTATACATTTTAGCTAATTTTACCAGGGGTAATATACCACCTATACATCATTTTCATCACATTTTCTTTCAAAGCATTGCATGCTGTAAATTTTAATCCTTCTCAGAAAGGAAGCTTTACCAGCGCTGATGGTTCCAAAGTTTTGTGTGTCCCGGAGGAGCTGGTCAATCGGAGGGCTGGACCGTGGGTACAAGGCATAGCGATTGATTCCCAGGTGGAACTGGAGCCAGCTTGCCTCCTGCCTGAGCTGCGTTATTGAGTCCGAGGTGAGGTTGCGCTCCTCTCTGTAAATCTTGTGTCTCCTGATGCACACATGGAAAAGAAGGTGCACACAAAATCAACCCCTCAGATAAATCACATTCCCACATTCAGGGTTGTATACAATGAAGCCCATAGCCTCCAATATTTCTCTGATGAAAGTAAGGACATCCTATTCAATTACAGTGGTACCTCGGGTTACAGACGCTTCAGGTTACAGACGCTTCAGGTTACAGACTCCGCTAACCCAGAAATAGTACCTCGGGTTAAAAATTTTGCTTCAGGATGAGAACAGAAATCATGCCGTGGAGGCACGGCGGCGGCAGAAGGCCCCATTAGCTAAAGTGGTATCTCAGGTTAAGAACAGTTTCAGATTAAGAACGAACCTCCGGAACGAATTAAGTTCTTAACCTGAGGAACCACTGTACAGTGATACCTCGGTTTTCGAAAGTAATCCATTCTGGAAGACCATTTGAGTTCCGAAATGTTTGAAAACCAAAAACTCAGTATGGAAGCCTCAAAGAGGAAAACTCAGTACGGAAGCCGCGTGGTATGTTTGACTTCTGAGGAAAGTTTGAAAAGTATTTACTTCTGGGTTTACGGCTTTCGAAAACCAAAATGTTCAAAAATGGAGACATTCAAAAACCAAGGTGTTGTTGTTGTTACCCTACCCATCTGACTGGGTTGCCCCAGCCACTCTGGGAGGCTTCCAACATATATGAAAACATAATAAAGCATTCCCGATACAGGCCTGCCTTCAGGTTTCTTCTAAAGGTTGTATAGTTACGGTACTTATCTCCTTGGCTTGGGGGGTCGCATAATTCCATACAATTTTCAGATTTTACTTATCTCCAATAACACAGGAGGAGATCTTCTATGTTTCAACGTCTATATCCCCCCCGTGTGTACTTCCTCTCAGACAGTACAAATCTGGGAAGATTTGGAGTCATGCTTGGAGAAGGCCAAAATAGAATTCCCTGACTGGAACATCCTGCTGGCAGGTGACTTTAATGCCAGGATAGGCAGCGACATCAATTCGTATGGCTCCAAAACCCAGTTTCTACCAGAGGCAGACTGGCTTATCCCTTGGAGTTCTGATGAAAAGGTCTTGAACAAGGCAGGTATTACATTACTGGAGATTGCTTTTAAGCATAATCTGTACAACCTGCATGGTACTTACATGGACAGGTCAGGAGGTTTCTTCTCTTTTATCGGCCCTCGTGGTGCAAGTGTGATTGACCATATCCTGGTCTCTCCAACAATTTTGGAGAGGGTACAGGGTCTCAGCACTTTTAATAGAACTGAGAGCGACCATCTTCCTAGAGCAATCTCACTAACTCCCCTTGAATCAGGGGGATTACAACATCTACATTGTGCAGCCCCTCCTCAAGCACCGGCCCCACGCAGGCGTAAATGGAACAGCATAATTCCATACCCTCCAGCATTTCTCCAATGAAAACAGGGATGTCCTAAGGAAAAGCGGGACATTCTGGGATCAAATCAGAAACCAGGATGGCTTCTGTAAATCTGGGACTGTCCCTGGAATACAGGGAAACCTGGAGGGTCTGGAAGCCATTGCAGGAGCAGAACAACTTCCACTCATGTGATGGTACATTCCTCTCCCCAGCTGCACCCTCAAGTCTTATCTGGGGTTTTCCACATTGCTCTGGAACAGATTTGGGGCAGAGGAGGAAGGCAGGAAGAGGAGAGGGAGGGGAAGTTCTGTTCCACTTGTTTAATGACTCAGTGATTCAAACCTCCATCGGTTCAGCGGCCATCATTTGGAAAGCGAGGTGTTGACAAAACTGTTCAAATGAAGGCTGCTGCTCAGTTTGGTGGGGGAGCAGGATTGTGCTGGGTGGTGGGATCCCAGCCTATGTCGGTTTGGCTTGGGTCTGTAGCAAGCTGGAACAGTTAAAAAACTGCACTGGTCATAGACTGGGCTGCTGCTATTCAGCAAGAACCCTCATTGGCTGCCTGGCCCAAGATAGGGTTTTCTACATTTGTGATGCAATTTTAATTGTGATTGATAATTGCTGGCACCATTAACAGCTCCCAGAAGCTTGCACCACCATGGTGAAGGAGATCAAGATCAACAGAGCGAAACTATGCTAATCTCCAAAACATCCCACACTCGCTGTCCCTGCCTGCCTCTCTCTTTGGCCCTTGTACAAAAATGAACATTCTATATGCTTGCTAGCATTTTTCTTTTGCCAGACCATAAAACCAACAGGATGAGGAAATCCGACATTTGCTGGATATACAAATGCTGGGCGAAATTCCACGAGGTAAAGCTGGAAACTACTTTGTGTGGCAAAGCAGATGCTCTCTAGTCTCTCAAGATCAGAGGCTGAGTCTTCAACCTCTTCATAAGTTATGCTGCAAGGAGACATTGCGGTTTCAAAGACCACTGAGAAATCATGGGCCACTGGGGTTTTTCCAAACCATAATGACTTGTCAACCTCTTACAGATATATATATCTAGTAACTTCGTACTCATGTCCATCTGTGTTAGTAAAAAAATAAGAACATCATGTTAATTGTGTTCTCTTCAGATGTGGTGTGAGGAATGCCTGCTTCAATAATAAATTATAGAATAGCATAAAACTATTGTTATGTCTCCATTCGGATGCGGGTGGCGCTGTGAGTTAAACCACAGAGCCTAGGGCTTGCCGAACAGAAGGTCGGCGGTTCGAATTCCCGTGACGGGGTGAGCTCCCGTTGCTTGGTCCCCTGCTCCTGCCAACCTAGCAGTTCGAAAGCACGCCAGTGCATGTAGATAAATAGGTACTGCTCTGGCGGGAAGGTAAACGGCGTTTCCGTGCACTGCTCCGGTTCGCCAGAAGTGGCTTAGTCATGCTGGCCACATGACCTGGAAGCTGTATGCCGGCTCCCTCTGCCAGTAAAGCAAGATGAGCACCGCAACCCCAGAGTCGTCCGCGACTGAACCTAATGGCCAGGGGTCCCTTTACCTTTACCTATGTCTCCATTATTTCAGACCTACAGGTTATTGAGGTGTTAGAGGCACTCTCTCTACAATGAAAACAAGCAGAGAGGTGGGCCGTGCTTTAGTGCAGAGATAGGGAACCCGGGGCACACAAATGGGAGGCACAACTCCCATCTGTTCTGGCTGTTGCAGTCCAGCAACATCTTGAGAGCCTCTGGTTCTCCACCCTAGTTAACTCATCCCTACTCATATGATTATCAGCGACTCTCATTAGCGGTACCCACTCTTTCTATTGGTAGGGATGCTGGATTTGCTTTTTTAAAAATGATTTTCAGTTTTATACATTTCAATAATTTTACACTCATTTTAACATTTCAAAACTTGACTTCCTTCCCCCTTTTTCTGCGGTTCCTTAAATTTATTTTTAATATTTTCTGCATATCCTGATTAACTTAATTTGCTCATTTATTCATCTACTTTAAATATATGTTCTTATAAAACTGCCGGTCATTACAATAATCCTGCCAATGTTCTTATCCTTTTTTACAGTTTGTTTGTAAATATTCCTTAAACCATTTCCATTCTTTTATTTTTAAAAAATTGTTATTTTGATTTCATATTTTTTCGGTAAGTTTCGCCATTTCTGCATATTCCATAAGTTTTTGTATCCATTCTTCTTTTGCTGGGACTTCTTCTTCTTTCCATTTTTGGGCAAGTAACATTCTCGCTGCTGTAGTCGCATACATGAATAAATATCTATATGGTTTGGGTGGTTCTGTCCCTGCAGTGGCGTAGCATGGGGGGTGCAGGGGGGGGCCCGGCCGCACCGGGCGCAACATCTGGGGGTTAGGGTTAGGGGGTGCAAATCCACGGGTTAGGGGGCACAAATTACTTGCCTTGTCCCGGGTGCTGACAACCCACGCTACGCCACTGTGTCCCTGTAATTCCCAAAAGCAAAGCTTCTGGTTTTAGGGATGCTGAGTTTGTACATACCTGAGCTCAGTTTGTACAAGTCTCTCCATCTGCACAAGAAACAGGGCTCAATTGGCAAAATGAGAGGGATGCTCTCTTTGCTGGGAAAGCAAAAGGGCCGGGGGCTAAAACTGAAGTTCTAGCCTCTAATATGTGTGAGCTGGTTGTGGCCACTAAGAAGCGAGAGAAAGACACTTCACACACGATCAAAAGGACTCGGGTATATTATGATTTTGAAATTTTCAGGATTCATTCCAAGAATGGGGAGTAGATTCTGGGCCAAGCTCTCTTGTGCTCTAGCTCAAATTAAGCCCCGCAGTACTGACAATGGGGAAGAGACATGTGTCACCTTCTCTCACTCTTCATTATTGGAGATCTAAGTCCTTTCCCCAGCAATAGCTATTGATACATTGCTGTCTGTTGTTCTAAGCAACTCATGCCTTCCACGGCACATTGTTAGCAATCCAACAGAGACGCATGGTTTATTTTTACATTGTGGATTTGGCCTGATTATTCTTTAGCTGTCAGAGCCTCGGAAGCAGAATGGCCATACACTGTCAAAGCGCTAACGCAGGGCCTTGTTTGCCAAACAGGCAGTTACGGTATCGACAAACTAAAACAGCCTAAATTACATGGTCCCTTTTCGTTTGCTTTAAGCACCAGACCAACGGTACAATTTTTCACGTCAATCTCATTTACAGTCTTCTGAGCCTTGCCAGGCAAAATTAGTAAGGCACGGTGATCAGCCATCCACATGAAAACAGAAAACTAGTCTGAGTTCCAATAGGCAGCTTTCAATAAACTTACATATATCATTACCTGAAATTCTCCCAACCAAGCAAGATAATAATAATAATAATAATAATAATAATAATAATAATAATAATAATATATTTATTATTTGTACCCCGCCCATCTGGCTGGGTTTCCCCAGCCACTCTGGGCGGCTTCCAACAAAGATTAAAAATACATTAAAATGTCACACATTAAAAACTTCTCTGAACAGGGCTGCCTTCAGATGTCTTCTAAATGTCAGGGAGTTGTTTATCTCTTTGACATATGATGGGCGGACGTTCTACAGGGCGGGCGCCACTACCGAGAAGGCCCTCTGCCTGGTTCCCTGTAGCTTTGCTTCTCGCAGTGAGGGAACCGCCAGAAGGCCCTCGGCACTGGACCTCAGCATCAGGGCAGAACGATGGGGGTGGATACACTCCTTCAGGTATACTGGGCTGAGGCTGTTTAGGGCTCTAAAGGTCAACTCCAACACTTAGAATTGTGCTCGGAAATGTACTAGGAGCCAATGTAGGTCTTTCAAGACCAGTGTTATGTGGTCTTGGCGGCCGCCCCCAGTCACCGGTCTAGCTGCCGCATTCTGGATTAGTTGTATTTCCCGGGTCACCTTCAAAGGTAGCCCCACGTAGAGCACATTGCAGTAGTCCAAGCAGGAGATAACTAGAGCATGCACCACTCTGGTGAGACAGTCTGCAGGCAGGTAGGGCCTCAGCCTGCGTACCAGATGGAGCTGGTAAACAGTTGCCCTGGATACAGAATTGACCTGCGCCTCCATGGACAGCTGTGAGTCCAAAATGACTCCCCATGCATCAGCTGATTTCAGTTCTGCTTTCTGCAGGTTCCAGGTGCATCAGCAAGTTCCCGATGGGGAACTTGCTTGGGCACCCAAACCAAGCAAGATTGAACCCCCAGCTTTTCAGAGGACGTGCAGAGAGTTCAATCCTGCTTTCCAGCTGCAGGATCCAGCCATGTCTCTACTTGCCCAACACATGACATCACACATGACATCAAGTGTGGGGCTGGTGGATGCGGTTTGGAGAAAACAGCCTGGTGGGCCACATTTGGCCTGTGGGTCAGACATAGCGGAACAAAGAAAATGGAAGAATGGTACTCTGAATAAGTATAGCTCCTTTGTTTCTAGCTGGCAATGGACCTCAGTAGTGGGTAAATATGCATGCCAATACCTTTCTAGGTTTTACCAGCAAGCCAATCAGGTTGTTGTATTCTATGATCCTACCTGCCTATTGTTCTAGGATCCAAGCTTAGTACATAAGAATTAAAGGTAAAAGTAAAGGGACCCCTGACCATCAGGTCCAGTCACGGATGACTCTGGGGTTGCGGCGCTCATCTCGCTCTATAGGCCGAGGGAGCCGGCGTACAGCTTCCGGGTCATGTGGCCAGCATGGCTAAGCCGCTTCTGGCAAACCAGAGCAGTGCACGGAAATGCCGTTTACCTTCCTGCCGGAGTGGTACCTATTTATCTACTTGCACTTTGACATGCTTTCAAACTGCTAGGTTGGCAGGAGCAGGGACCGAGCAACGGGAGCTCACCCCGTCCCAGGGATTCGAACCGCCGACCTTCTGATCGGCAAGTCCTAGGCTCTGTGGTTTAACCAACAGCATCACCCACATTCCACATAACAATTATTATTTATTTATTAACACCCCTGCCCACCCGAACCCCATTTTGGCACTGCTATTAACTTCTTCAGCAGATTTTCACATCCTGCAATCAGTGCCAAACTCCCTAACTGAAGTGCCATGCTGAAAAGGTGTGATGAATGACACCGAGCCCATTACAAATGCCAGCCACAGGGCTTGCAATGGGGACTGCCCGATGTGGTTCAGGCTGAATGATGGTTTGTCTCAGAAAACAGGGACCCTGGCTTACCAGTCTGATGCTGCATTCTAAAGAGAGCTCTCCCACTTCATCTGAGAGAGGGATCCACTCTCTTGGTACACTTCTGTACAGTGTATCCAAAATGCTCTTAACAAAATATTATGTTCTTGATCTCAGCATCCTCTATAGAAAATAGTTCAATCCCTCTGCCCCAATAAGTGGAAGTTTCCACTGATTGAATAACAGGGTTGTCTGGGAAGCGAAAACCCAATTAGTGTGAATAATGGAACAGCCTGTAGGAGCACAGCTCAAACTTCCACTGAACTTTTCCTGCTGATATATGGAGGTGGATGAAAGTCTTGTACCACTGACTGTAGCATGAGCTTCCACAGCCAAGGGACAGATCAATCCATTAATTTGGGCTTCTCTCAGTTTCTCATTTTGTCATAACTGAAGTTAAGTTCACCACATTTTCACATCACTTAAAAAAAAGAGGCCTCACAAAAATTCACCACCATTTCAGTGTGCATTTCTCTTAACATTTTACCCAAAAAAGAAAGTCACTAATTTGTGCATTTTCACAAACATATTCCTACTTATACTGTATATGCATCTTTATTTTTATTATTACCTTAAAAAAAACCCCAATATCTGCATTTTTATATGCATTTCCCTCTAATATATGCGCTTATTTTTTGTTAGAGAACACCACTACAAAATTTGGAGAAGTGTGAATAGTTTTTGATGTGCACAAATCAGGTAGGAACAAATTCCTGACCATTCCCTGCAAGAAGCTACTTTATCAGCAGGGATTCAGATGTGCTTTAAAGACATATAGTGTGTACACAGCCCTAGTACACAGTTCAATGCAATGCAAGTTTTATTTAGGAGTAAACATGCATCAAATCAGCACCGTCCATTTTAAGAGTTTATGCACATGATCTCGCAAAGAGTGTCCCAACCTGTTTATTCCTCCATGACATATTTCCACAGCCTCTTCACCTGTGACAATTGCACTACATCTAGTCACTGGAGGTTGCAGTTGTGGGAAGGACAGTGGGGGGAAAACCTCTTGCTGCAGAGGCAACAGTCTTCAGGGAAGAGAGCAGCCAGCAAAGTGCCCTTATGAATTCATCTTTTTAAATTCCTTCCCTTTTCTCCAAATCTGGTCCTCCCTTAAAGAGGGCACATATTGTGGTGAGACCTGGAAACCAACACCCTGTGTTGTGGGTGGGTACGATTGGTCAGCCACAACACCCGATTGGTAGGTCCCTCGTAGCTGGGTGCAATCTGGCCAATGGGACACAGTCCAAACGGTTTGAGGGACCTATTTATGCCCATGCATGTAATCCAGAGCTTCCCTTTTCGCCGCATGCATTCGGAACACCTCTCCCTACTTTTAGGGCTTTGCACTTGACCTTGCTATGCCATCATGTGTTGTTTGTCATTGGGACAGGACAGGGGCACGGCAGGAATTTTCCCCACTTGGCTGATTGGCTGTTGCCATTTGGGTTTTGCCTGCTGCGTAGCAAATCGTCACAACTTGTAAGGTTGCGGACAGGCTCTGGTTCAGGTGATAGGGATGGGAGAAAGCTCTCACCATCCCTATGTGAAGTGTATTCTGTTAAAGGAATCCAGGGACTCGATGGTTTGGTCAACCCCTGAGAGGGGGTTGTGCCCGTGCCTGAGTCCAGGGGGACATTTGGGTGGCGGAGTTAGCCTGTTCCCGGCTTTCCACTTATCCAGGTGTTCACCCTTGGCTGACCTATGCTGGAATCCTGGGTCAGCGCTACCTGCATGGCAGGGAGCTAGTCGGACCAGAGCCTATGCAACCAGTCACATTCTGTAATCAATAAAGTTGCGGCCTAAATTCTGCCAAAAACCAAACCAATATTTGAGTCTTGTCTGAATTTATTTAAGGGGGAGGTTTAAAGGTCTGAACATGCAAAGGGCAAGAGGTGCACTCTAGCAGCTGAGTGGCAGAAACAAACCACTCATTTCTTTCCCAAAAGCACTTCTCTCAGGACTGTGATTAAGCTTTGTCAATTTCACTTCTGAGATCAAAAGCCAGACCGTGAAACTGACAAGACTTCTTCATGGCATGAAGGAAAATTAGGAAAGTTCATTTAAGGTCAGCTGCAGAAATGATCTTCGGCCATTTTCAGTTGCGAAGCTTATATTGGCTTTGTTTCAAGTCATCTTCTGACATGAATATACGAACTCACACTGTCCAGGATGTGCTTTTGATTGCTTTGCCGGGCAAATCGTTCAGAACAGATCTCGGCCTCGGAGCAGGTCTGGCAGGCCAGCGTGAGAAGGATGCAATAGCTGTGTGCTCTTTGATCCCAGCCTTGCCCTCGCTTTGCGAGGCTGAGATTGAAGGGCACATGGCCGTTGTATCTTTCTCATGCCACCCTGCCAGCACGGGGCTGCTCTGTGAGGTAGGGTTGCCATATTTCAAACAATGAAAACCGAGACGGAAAAGCTGTTTTGAAATCGGCCAAAACAGCACTGCTGGCATGGGCTTCCATACATCTGGATTTTCCCAGACATTTTCCCAATTTCTGCCCAGACACTGCTGCTGACTGCAGTATTCTGAATTCAGTGGTACCTCAGGTTAAGAACTTAATTCGTTCTGGAGGTCTGTTCCTAACCTGAAACTGTTCTTAACCTGAGGTACCGCTTTAGCTAACGGGGCCTCCCACTGCTGCCGTGCCGCCGCCGCCACCCGATTTCTGTTCTCCTCGTGAAGCAAAGTTCTTAACCCAAGGTACTCTTTCTGGGTTAGCGGAGTCTGTAGCCTGAAGCGTCTGTAACCTGAAGCATCTGTAACCCAGGGTACCACTGTATGTCCAGGAAAACCCAGACGTATGGCAACCCTATTGTGAGGCTGAGATGATACAAGGGCCCAGACAAACTCCCCCCTGCATGGCGGGCAAACGGCGCAGTGTGGCTCCACTTGGCTCCAGTGGTGGTGGTGGTCGCTCCGGTGGCATTGGCAGCGAGGGCTGGGCTGGTGTGCTGGGCTCTGTTACCCTCCGCACCCTGTCCCCCCAGCGCCTGCCTGATCCCAGACAACTGCAAACCACGCTACACCACTGCATTGGCATTCAGCAACTTGTCCCCAACATTCACCAATACCCAAGGAGCCACTACACTGGAGAGCCGTCTACAATCTCCTCTGACCCACTGGTGAGGCCTGGTATCACAGGAACATGAGAAGAACCTGCTGGATCAGGCCAATGGCCCACCTAGTCCAGCTTTCTGTTCCCTGCCTTATCCCTGTCCAAGTACCGTATTTTTTGCTCCATAAGATGCACCAGACCATAAGACGCACCTAGTTTTTGAAGGAGGAAAACAAGAAAAAAAATATTCTGAATCCCAGAAGCCAGGACAGCAAGAGGGATCGCTGCGCAGTGATCCCTCTTGCTGTCCTGGCTTATGGGATAGCCACGTGCAGCCTCTCCCGGGCAGCGGGATGAAGGCTCCCCCAAGAGCCGCGCTCCCTTTAAAGAGGAGGGAGAAGGGCAGCCCTTCTCGGGGAAAACCCCCCAAGAGCCGCACACACGCTCCATGGGGCTCTTTAAAGGGAGCACTGAGCAGAGCCTCCCGCCTGCATTCATTCCATAAGACACACACACATTTCCCCTTACTTTTTAGGAGACGAAAAGTGCGTCTTATAGAGCGAAAAATACGGTAAGTTGCCGCGAGACTGATGTCAAGAGAGGGTGCCTCTTTGCTACCAAACTGGCCACTACTGCATCTAATTCACTGTTGCTTGCACTGAACCAGCAGCACCTCTGCAGAATTCTTTTCCCGTTCTTCCTGGGGATTTCAAGCATCAAACCATCAGCATGTGAAGCAGATATTCTCACACTGAGCTATGGCGCTTTCATTAGGCAACACCCCAAGTTCTGGCTCATCCTTTGACTTTCTACCTGTCTCGTGGATTTACAGGACCTAGCGTGCCATCTTAGTTGCCCTACTGAATCATGAAGCGAAGAGGATTTAGCACACAAAGAATTCTCCGTTCGGAAAAATGTCCTTGCTCCCCTCTGTTTCATTTGCATTTGGGCACTAAGGGAGAGACAAATTTAATGTTAGCGCAGTCTGAGAAGGTGCTCAGAATGGTCCCTGTGTTTATGAGGGCCATATATTGCGTTCCAAAGTGGCTGGAGAATAATCAATACCCTCTCCCCAAAAGAATGAGCTAAGTCACGCAAGGGCAAGCGGCTTGCCCAGACAGCCCAGGAACGATCCAGGCAGTAAATAAGCAAAGTAACGAAATAAAAAGCAGGTAGGAAAGGGACCGATAAGCCGGAACAGAGAGGGAAAGAGATGGAGAATGGCCACACAAAAAACCCCACAAGGTTCTGTTTCCCAGGATGGATGGAATGAGAGACACTGCGGGTGGAATTCAATGCTTCCCATCTTTTTGCCTGCACAAGGATTCCGACTTGTCAGACAGAATGATTCCCCTAGCTCAGTTCCTCCACCTTCCTGCTCACTGTTTTAGGGGTCCTTCCAACTCCACAGAGTCCATTTCAGGGGACACGCAGGAGGAGGAAAGCCCCATTGTGCAGTCAAAAGCCCTTGCACAGGGCTTGAGCTGACAGAACTCGCTAGGCAAATTTCACTCCAAAGGTGGTATTCAACCAAGTTTTACTTAGCCATGTTAATTGATTTCAGTGAGTCTGCTTTGAGGCTTGTGCCCTGGGGAGGTCACTTAGGTGCAGCTAATGCAGTAGTTTGACTTTACCCCTGGAGGTGCACTCCATTGTCTCTTGAGACAGATAGATGTTGTGGAGATCACACAGGGTCCCTGGACGTTTAACGTTCTATTGATCCATGTGCCACCACTGTGCTCGCTTCCCCGCTGCCACCAACACATTACTCTCGGGTAAAACACTGAGTCCAGACAGTTGTTAAAAGTGAACCAAATAAACAAGTTTATTTTATAAATATTAACAAGTTTATGGTTTCTCAGATAATATTCCTGTCAGTATCTTAACTTTAGTTTCTTTACCAGCCTATACCTTCCTAATACCTTCTGACTGATTATCTCAACTGTTTGACTGACTCCTCTTAACAGTCTCTCACTCTCCCACATCAGACTAGCCCAACCCACAGACTTCTCCTCTCTGTCTCTTCTAACTCCAGACTGTCTTCTCAACAACTCTAACTCTAACTCCTAACTCCTCCTCTTGGGTTCCCATTGGTTAGTCATTTTAAAATTAGTCAACCCTTTCCTTATGAACCCAGTATGATGTCACAAACCTAGGAGGGCAAACGCCACATATGTCAACAACAAAGTTTCATTGCACATCTAAGAACTAGCTTTGTTAAAAGTGTTCTCTCTCTCTCTCTCTCTCTCTCTCTGTCTCTCGGCTGTAGGATGCTATCACATGTGATCCCATTCCACTGAAGGGACCCTCTGTGCCACTTGTTTCAGCAACTTCTGCTTCCGTTTTGGAATTTCAACGTGTGCCCCAGATGTTGCCCAACTTCCAAAACTGTAAAATCTGATTGCCAAGCAGTGCATTTTGAAGAACTGGAACAGCAAAACATTGCTGTCAGAGAAAGGTCTGGAATTCAGACAACTCTAGCACCACCTAACTCACGAGCATCTCTTGTAGTATCGTTGGTGTCTGCCACAGCTCACCACACAATGTCCAAGCCTGGAGCTTCTACTTTTGGGGAGGAGACACAAGCCTTGGGTTCCCATGTGCCCCAATTACCACTGCACAGACCAGATCAGGTGTTCACCTAAAGCCTAGTGTATACATCAATTGTGGGAGCGCACAAGTAGGGAGTAGGGAGCCTACTCTAGTAATCCACCTGCCTTTCCAAAAAATGAGAGGATGCCGTCTATGGGCAGCATATACATGTGTAGGAGTTGGATTGTGCAATAGTCAGAGGTACACACAAGCTAGATATTAATTCCCATACCTCTCACTGTGTATATTGACTCTACACACCTGAAGCCTTGAGAACTGGCTCACTGACTTCGCTGTTTGTTATGCTGCTGTCAATTTGGTTTTGGTCTTCTCTTTATGCTAGCGGTTACCCTGTGAAGATACGACTTTGCCTAGCAGCAACCTCCACGAGCTCAGTGCATAATGCATGGGCTTGGGTAACAGCAGAGGAGGAAATGTGGAGTGATGGGAACATACAGTCATATGTGGTGCAATTGTCCATTATTTAATGAATTTTGGAAATAGATTGGTATAGAAATATCGGAAATTGTGGGTAGGAAGGTAGAAATTTCTAAATTAATGGTTCTTATTAGCCTGAGTAGCACCGAGTTAAAAACAAAAGATGAATGTAAATGGGTAAAATTGATGGTAACTTCAGCCAGACAGGTTATAGCGAGTAATTGGAAAAATGCAGAAGAGCTAAGGGTGAACCAATGGAGGAAAAAATTGAATAATATTATAATTTTAGAATATCTAGCTGGGAAGATACACAGAATGAAAGGGTTTAAGGTCAGTGAGAAAGAGGAGGATTGTTTTGAGAAGATTTTGAATTATTTGGGTAGGTTTGAACAATTTGGGGCAATTAAAACGTTAAAAGTTAAATAAACCTGGTGGAGGGAGGAGTGTTAATGTATATAGAATTGTACATATGGTTGATTTGAATATGTTATTATTGATTATGTATACTCAATGTATCAGCCGCCTGGGGGGTTTCACTGTTTGGGTTTTGGTTGTTGGTAAAAAATAAAGAAAAATGTTTTTTAAAAAAATAATAATCAAGGCCCATTATGAGAATTGGAAGAACAAAGGCCTATTTGCCTCCGGGAAGAGGCCAAAACTCAGTGGCAGAGCTCACACTTTGCATCGAGAAGGTCCAGGGGTTCAATCCCTGTCATCTTAGCAGAAGCAGATGAAGCAGGAGGAAAGGGAAGAAGGGAGCAGGTGATTGGAAAGATTTTTGTCAGATCCCCTAGTTAGCAGATAATATTGGGTTACGGACAAATAGTCTGACTCGCTACAAAGCAGCCGATTAAGAAACACAGAGAAGGATTCAATGAATGAGTCCCGTCAGCTGTGCAAGAGCTTCCAGTTGTTCAACTGGGCTTCCCCCTGTTGCACCTCCCATCCAGTGACTCTTGAGGTGCCTGGGCAGAGCAGGGAGGGAGCAGAGAGGGGTGTCGCTCCATCTGCAATGCTTGTGCTGATGGAAAGCTCACCCTTGTACATATCACATTTGTACAAAAAATATGCATTTAAAACCCAAGAACACCACGATTCACAGATGTTTCAGGACAAATACTACCTGAACGTGCTGCCCGATCTCGGAAGCTAAGCAGGGTCAGGTCTGGTTAGTACTTGGAAGGGAGACCGCCTGGGAATACTGGGGTGCCGTAGCCTTTTGCCTCATTTGGTTGGAGCACGGTGCTGATAACACCAAGGTTGCAGGTTCGATACCCATATGGGACAACTGCATATTCCTACATTGCAGGGGGTTGGACTAGATGATCCTCAGGGTCCCTTCCAGCTCTACAGTTCTATGATTCTATATACAATTTACACACAGCTCTCTATTAATTCTGACCCTTGCACATTCAGAGACCTGTTAGCCTGACCTACTAGCCTCTGCAGCTATCTTTGGTACAGCCATTTAATAGCGTAACATCTTGGCTTACATTAGTTCTTCTGCAAATTCTAAATCAATATCCATTTGCAGGCACTCCAGCGTAACCTCACGCTGCTTAAACACTTGCTACTTAGCCGGCCTCGAATATTTCACTGGCTCTTACTGTGATTAAGTGCAGCATATTGTCCGTGCTTTCAGCACCTTGCCCAATGAACCATGTGCAAACTCCAAAATGACATGAAAATGAAAACACTTCCGTTGGTATAGGCTATTAGTTTCATTTATTTTAAGGCAATTTGATCATTGCCATTTGCTTCCACATCATCAAGGAAAAGCCACTCTGCATTTTAGGACAAAATATTGAATTTGCAGTATTCGGAATTGCCGAATTGCAAAGGTAGAAGAAGGGCAAGGCTTCTCTCTCTTCAATAATGGTCCAGCGGGGAGAATTTCAGCCAGCGCAACTTCTCTCAGCCTCACCTGACAAGCTGCATCAGCCAACAATCCCTCCAAGACATTACAGGGCTGCTGCTGTATCAAAGGCTCCTTTTCTCAACTACGCTTCCGCTCCACACAGACTGAAAAGATCCCAAAGTCTTGCAAATCAAAGACGATGGTAAGCACTGAAGATAGTTTGAACCTCAGAACATTTGTACCATTACAAAAGTTGGGTGCCACTTCCACTCTCTGCTGAGCAATAGCAAGATCCCAGGGAATTCCAGACACTCACCCAGGGTTGAGACACAGTGGAGACCACCGTAGTAATGTATTAAGAAATACGGTTTATTCCCCCATTTTGCACCTTCATGGTGGGAGTCCAGAGCTTACAGCACGGTCATTTCAATAGGGGCTCGTCCTCCACAGCAATGCAGCCATGGAGTCCAAGGCATCTCCCGCAGCCTGCCTTCAGCCAGCCTGCCCAACATGGACCCCTCTTTTTTCTTCCTTCTTCTTCCCAGAACACTCTGCCAAAACCTCTCTTTTCCTGTCACCCCACACCCAGTTACCCTGACAACCTCTCAAAACCCCAGTCTTAGGCAAGGGGGGGGACGACAGTTCTCTTGCATTGCCAATGGCTCTCAATGGCCCTGAATTGTTTCTTAATGGTCCTAGCTTTGACAGGAATTCCTCTGCAGCTTGAATACATCTCCCAAATAATCAAAACCCACCATTTATTAATTACTAGAATTTGGGGGACCCCCCCCACAAATCTATAACAGTATGTTAGATATGGAGCCAATTCCACACACACCTACGGGACCGCCTCTCCTGGTATGCCCTACGGAGAACCTTGAGGTCCATAAATAGCAACACCCTAGAGGTCCCGGGCCCTAAGGAAGTTAGATTAGCCTCAACCAGAGCCAGGGCCTTCTCAACACTGGCTCCGGCCTGGTTGGACACTCTGTCTCATGAGACCAGGGCCCTGTGGGATCTTATTTCTTTCTGCAGTACCTGTAAGACAGAGTTGTTCCACCTGGCCTTTGGCTTAGAGTCAGTTTGATTCCCTCCCCCTCTTTCTTTTTCCTTTCTCCTCCTGTGAAGAGGCTGAATCCTAATGTTTTAATGTATTTTAATCTTGTTTTTTAAATTGTATTTTAATCAACTTGTTTTTATTATTGGTTGTTAGCCGCCCTGAGCCCGGTCTTGGCTGGGGAGGGTGGGGTATAAATAAAATTTATTATTATTATACTTTGCATTTTGGAATTCTTGACATTTCCCTTATTCCTTTATTTAGTTCAGAGTTAGGGAACCTTTAGTCTGCCAGGTACTGTTGGAAGCATCCTCCCTGACCATCGGCCAGAGAACTGGAGTCCGACAATATCTGTAGGGGCGGAAACCTCTGTGCATTTAACTGTTATGTGACAGGCAGAAATTCTATAGGCAGACGCCTATGTAACTGCATGGAAGTCTGCACCTAAGTGAACATCTGCCTGTCACACAGATATTAAAGGCACAAAGCGTCTGTTGGGGAAGAGCGAGGAGGAAGGTTGCAATCCTAAAACAGCCCGCGTTTAATATGTCTCTGAAGTCAGGCCAACCATTGCTGAAGGAGGATGTTTGGCTTTTGACCACATACGAGCTAAGTATAAAACAGACACTCTCTAGAAATGAACACATTTCAATGCCTGGTGAAGAAATCAGGATTCTGGAAATCATCCCGGGTCTAATTCAGACCTAAGCAGCCAAGAGACTTCCATTAGCCTAAAAACACAGCGCTGTTTTGTGAGTGTTTTCCCTGGCACAAAAAACCGTCTTCCAGTGTACCAGCTTTTATATTACGGACGTGTATCCATTAATTTAGAGGCTAAAGACTGCTGCCCCCTTTTTTCTTCGTTGCAAAACAGTGTGAGCTCCTCCATGCTCCAGTTAACACTCGTTCGGAAAGAACAAGATGTCAGTAACTTTCTGACACGGGGACAAGCAATCCATCAACGGCGAGCAATTTCTGCTCACCGCCAGCAAGAGGAGTTTCCACGACACCAACCTAATTGGCTAATTGTGTGTGGGGGGGTAGTTCTCTGGGACATTCTTTCCTCCTGCATTCATTTCTTTCCCATGCCTTCTCTTCAGTTTTGCCTCACCTCTCCCAGCTTGCAATCTCCCCTTTGCTTCTCCCGCAAAACCTGTCAGAGCTACTCCGGGCTTCAGCTAGCCCACTGTTGCCAATGGGACCGCCCCCTGTTCCTTTGTAAAGCCATAGCTTTCGAAAACCTGCCCAGAGGCATTTGTAAAAAAGGTAAAGGTAAAGGTACCTCTGACAATTAGGTCCAGTCATGGACGACTCTGGGGTTGTGGTGCTCATCTCGCTCTATAGGCCAAGGGAGCCGGCATTTTGTCCGCAGAAAGCATGCTGCCAGCATGACAAAGCGGCTTCTGGCGAACCAGAACAGCGCACGGAAACGCAGTTTACCTTCCTGCCAGAGCCGTACCTATTTATCTACTTGCACTTTGACGTGCTTTCAAACTGCTAGGTCGGCAGGAGCAGGGACCGAGCAATGGGAGCTCACCCCGTCGTGGGGATTTGAACCGCCAACCTTCTGATCGGCAAGCTCTAGGTTCTGTGGTTTAGACCACAGCGCCACATTTGTATTTGCATTTGTAGCAGGAGTCTTTTAAGGCTTTGCTTGCTTGCTGGTGGCAAGGGGCAGCCAGTGTACTTCACAAGGTCTCCATAGAGCAGGTGTAGGGAATTTTAGGCCCAGGGGCTGAACACCAACCAAGAGGGGTATGTGGATGGGCACAGAAAGTAGCTTGCCGCACAAAGCTAACTCTTAGTTATGATGATGATTAAATCAATTAATTAATTTTTAATAAAATTTCAGTCCAACAACTAGCTAAATTAATCACTGTTGATTTATTAATTACCTGCCCCTGCCTTTCTTTTAGGAATTCTAGGTGCCGAAATCCCAAGGGAGCAGAAAAGACTATTTATGTATGTGACCACAGCTGCGTGGATGTTATTGGCCCAGAGATGGCTACAATGACCGGAAGAATCAACTTAATCTGCCATTCTTCTCTGGTAGGGACTTTATCTTCTTTCCATCTCTGGGCCAATTCTAGGTGACCAAAATTTTAATAAGGAATGGGGAACAATTATAATTTATCTTAAAAACCATTGTAAACAGCTAAAATCATTCGTAGGATTGGAATAACGCTTGTAGCTTCAAGGTGAATTTTGAACATAATGGAGATGTAAAAGGTTTGGATTATGTAAAAGATGTAAAAGGTTTGGATAGACTGATTTCACAAAGTTAAGTTAAACTAAGCAGATATATAAGATTGAATGTTTAATTATTAAGATACAAAATGACAATCTCAATAATAAAGTTACAAAATAATAACAAGGAAGTCACGTACGGGTGGAGGGAAGACACAGGGCAAGAAATAAGAAATGGGTAAATGTTGGTACATAATGAAATGTGAAAATGTCAATTTATGAACATAATGTATATGTATCAATATGTAAAGATTTCATATATGTATTGCAACATTAATAATAAATAAATTAAGTGGGGAAAAGGAAAGGAAGGTTTGGATTATCGTAAAAGATGCAGGAGGAAATGATTAACAATAGGACCCACAAAGGGGAGGAGATTCTTTGGAATCTTGTTTTTATGTTGTATGTTGGATACGTGACTGTAAAACTTTAATCTGAAAAATAAATAAATTAGAATAATAACAATAAAATATTTATAAATATAAATATAAAGAAAATAATAATAAAAAATATTAATTACTTGCCCCTTCACCCTAAGATGTTAAACAGTACAGGGGACAAGATGCAGGACACCCAGGACATCTCCCATGGTGCTATGCGGCAGCCACCCATAACTACTTTCCGGAAATGGCCCCAAAAGTAGGAGCAGATTCACGGTCAGAGAGTGCCTCCAATCCCCCACCTGCCTGAGACCCTCCAGAAGGATGCCATGGGCAACAGTATCAAAAGCCGCTGAGAGATCAAGGAGAACAAATGAAATCATATTTCCCCCCACCCCCAAAATCAACCTCCCCAAAAATGCCATCAACCAGACTGGGCAAGGCAGTTTCAGTGCATAGGTGCCAATTTTGTGGGGCCCTGATTTCTTCACCTCCCTCCATAAAATAGTTAGGGGATCCAGCCACCCCCAATATTTTCTGCAAGTTGGTGCCTCCCTCTTTCCCTCCCTAAGCAGCTATTTGTCCCCCAGCTGGGCACTGTCCTCATTTCCCAGCTTGCCTCCTGGCTTTCAATGCCATTTTCCAGTGGGGCAGGTGGCTGGCCTGCCTGCTGGTAGGAGAGGCAAATGGGTGGCAGGTGGTGATGGGAGCTGAGCGGGCAGAAAGGTCTTGCACACAAGTGGCAAGAAGCATTCCTGATGGCATCCCAGTGTGGGAGTGACTGAGTGGTTCCTGCTTGAGAATTCTCAGGACAGCAGTACAAACAGAGAAAAACAGGTGCATGCATGCATTCAGAATAGTGTTGCTAACTGGCCGGGGCAATACTGAATTATGTTTTACTCAGGGAATACCCACTAAGTGACTAAGTCAGGTTCTTTCATTGCAATGGGTCTACTCTGAGTAACACCACCCCAGGTCAGGATGCAAGGGTTTATTGTTTTGTTTACATTCAAATATAAGATAAAACATATGCAAAGGGACTTGACAGGAAGTCAAAGTTGAAGAAAAGATTTGGGAAGATACAAGGGGGAAAAATATTTACTTTCATTATTATCATTTTCTGTGCGGGTGTGGGTGTGTGGGTGTCTGCACACATGTGTGTTGTTGTATGCAATGTTTGGGAGGAAATAAGATGGCAAATAACAAATAACAAACTAAATATCGATGTATGTATTTATTTATTTTTAAATTATATTTAGTGGTAGTATGGCTGTATTGTTTTTTGTAACATAAAACCATTTAATAAATTTTTTTAAAAAAATAAATAAATAAGAGGAAGGCACGCTTGGCAAATCCACACCGTGATCAACTCCCGCCTGGAAACCAATGTCCCCACTGTGGAAGGACGTGTGGATCCAGAATTGGCCTCCACAGTCACTTACGGACTCACTGTTAAAACCGTGTTTATGGAAGACAATCTTACTTGGCTACAAGTGATCATCAAAGAAGAAGAAGAAGAAGAAGAAGAAGAAGAAGAAGACTGTCTTCGCCCCCATTCTCCACATTAAAATCTTTCACATACCCCCAAGCTGCTATTTGCACCGTTAGGAAAAAAACATATTTCTCTCCCACCATCACCACCGCTGTTATTTGCAAAAGTTTCAAGAGACCAAAGAGCTGTGCTTGCATCATGCTTGCTTTTGATCTAAGGTGACAGGCTTATTTATCTCTATAGTCACGTCTCAGTGGTTCAAAGAGAAGTACAGTTGTCCCATTGAACCAAAGCAAGGTCACACACTCTTCTTATGCTCCTTCGAGCTCAGACCAGTTCTTGTTCTTACATTATTACTTTGTTTTCCTTTTCTGGTGACACGTAAGCTGCACCGATTAGGGACTAAGCACAAAATAGACACGGTGGCAGGTTTGTGATAAAGATTTTTGGCTCCGGTGCCAAGGCTTTCAGCTCAACTTTTTCCTGCAGGATAGAAGTGACCCTGTTATAAGTTTAAAGACTAAACAAAGCTCAATCGCAGCATTTAGAAAGGGCACGGTTGCTAAACGCACTCCCCAATTATTTTTTTGTACAGTGTGCATTTTAAAAAACTAAGGCTGCATTTTTCAGCAGCTTTACCTTTCCATACGTGCCAAAGCAATCAGCATGCCTTACTTCCCAGTAACAGTGAATAAGACTGTGGTGTAAAAAAAAAAAAAAGCTTTTTCTCCCCCTTAGTTTATGAACCATGATCAAATACTGCATGAAATCTGGGATAAGGGAAGAATTCGTGGGAAGCATGGAGAGAGAATGGATAGGGAAAAGTTCTTCTCCCTCTTGCATAACACTAGAACTCAAGGATATCTAATGAAGCTGAAAATTATGGAATTCACAGTGATGGCCATCAACTTGGATGGCTTGAAGAAGAAGAAGAAGAGTTTGGATTTGATATCCCGCTTTATCACTACCTGAAGGAGTCTCAAAGCAGCTAACATTCTCCTTTCCCTTCCTCCCCCACAACAAACACTCTGTGAGGTGAGTGGGGCTGAGAGACTTCAGATAAGTGTGACTAGCCCAAGGTCACCCAGCAGATGCATTTGGAGGAGCGGAGACACGAACTCGGTTCCCCAGATTACAAGACTACTGCTCTTAACCACTACACCACACTGGCTCTCTTAAAAGAGGACTGGACAAATTCCCGGAGGGGATGGCTACCAATGGCTACAAGGCATGGGGGTTATACTCTGCCTCCACCATCGGAGCTTGTAATGCTTCTGAAAATCAGTTGCTAAAATCCAGGAAGAGAGAGTTATGTTGCGTTCAGGTCCGGCTTGTGCATTTCCCCACAGGCTTCTGGTTGGCCACTGTGGGAATAGGATGCTGGGGCCTAGATGGGCCATGGGCCTGGATCCCGTGAGCTCCAATTAGGTTCTGACATTTAGTTTATGAACTGTGATCTCCTGGTCAGTGGTGGAGCTTCATGCTCCGGCACTGGGGGGCGAGAGCAGGTGGGGGTGGGGCTGGTGCGCGTCCTGGGGGCACGTCGCCTGTGGGGGCGTGGCGCCCAGCGCTGGCCGGGGGGGGAGCCATGATGGCACCCCACTGGGATCACACTGCCGGGGGCGGTGCGCTCCCCCCGCACTCCTCTTCCTCCGCCAGTGCTCCTGGTCAAGTACTGCATGAAATACAGTGGTACCTTGGGTTATGTACTTAATTCGTTCCGCAGGTCCGTTCTTAACCGGAAACTGCTCTTAATCTGAAGCACCACTTTAGCTAATGGGGCCTCTTGCTGCTGCCGCACCGCCACTGTGCGATTTCTGTTCTCATCCTGAAGCAAAGTTCTTAACCCGAGGTACTATTTCTGGGTTAGCGGAGTCTGTAACCTGAAGCGTATGTAACCTGAAGCGTATGTAACCTGAGGTACCACTGTATTTGAGGAAGGGAGAATTCACATAAAACAAACTTCAAACTGTGGCTTACCCTCGATAATCAGCTGTAATCAAATATACAAAGAGCTACCAAATATTACAGCTGCGGCGTCCGATGAATTAACTTGATGGGAAGAGCCATAGCTGAGTGGAGGTGCAAATTATTTGCAATGAGCAAGGATCCAGGTTCCCTCAGATAGGACTGCACCCCCATTTCCTTCTCCCTTTAGTGCTTATTTCTTAACTACACTTCATGCTAATGAACACATTTTGGCTCTTCTTTTATATATATAATTTTTTAATTTTTGCATTTTCCATTTTGCATAAACAAATGAATTAAATACACAAACATATAATCCCTTCTGACTTCCCTCCCCCCTCCCAATTGTGGATCTCAATGTAACAATTTCCCCTTCTGTATCTCTATCACAGCTCTATTTTTATAAATCCTTCGTCAATACATAGTTCAGATTTTTTACAGGTTTTCTGTAAATCCTACCAATGTATGTAGTTGTTGAACACGTTGGCTCTGTCATAACCTCTTGCAAGGAGTTAAAGGAGAAATTGTCACATTTTAAAAGATCATGTTACCAAACTTGCTCTACGCCGGAGGACAGATGTTCTGCTTAGAATCATGGAACATTCTGTGCTGTCCAGTTTTAAAAGCAGCTTTCTCCACTTGCAATTCTGATCACCCCAAAATATTCCAGCAAGTGGGGCCTTGGCCCTGAGCTACTGGTCTTGATCTACTCCAGTAGTGACTAAGATCCTCATCGCAACCCAGACAAACAACCTCTTTACCTCAGGAACCGAGCCTTGCTTAACTTATGGAGGGGCATTGCCTGTTTGGTGAACATACTCAGTGCCACATATTATTTCTTCCAGCAGCCAGGGAGAAGGATAAGCAACCTCCCAACTGATGGGCGAGAATCACAATGTGCAATCCTCTTGCACATATCTGCTCAGAAAGTCGCAGTTGCTGTTCAGTGGGGCTTACTCCAGCAAGTAGCAAGTTGCAGTCTCATCCCCCCAAGAGCATGAGATACAAGAATGTCCAGCTGTAAGGTCAGGGAACCCTGGCATCTGCATTGAGCCCTAGGCTGTGTACACACCATACATTTGAAGCATATCCCCCAAGAATTCTCGGGAACTGTAGTTTGCCCCCAAACTATCATTCTCAGCACCCTTCACAAACTGCAGCTCCCAGGATTCTTTGGTGATAGTGGTGGGAAATACGCTTTAAATGTATGGTGTTTAACACAGCCTAGGTTGCATTCCTCCTGCCAACCTAGCAGTTCGAAAGCACACCAGTGCAAGTAGATAAATAGGTACTGCTCCGGTGGGAAGGTAAATGACATTTCCGTGCGCTGCTCTGGTTCGCCAGAAGCGGCTTAGTCATGCTGGCCACATGACCCGGAAGCTGTACATCGGCTCCCTCGGCCAGTAAAGCTAGATGAGCGCCGCAACCCCAGAGTCGTCCACGACTGGACCTAACGGTCAGGAGTCCCTTTACCTAGGTTGCATTCAGGAGAGCAAATCTTAGCATTCTTTCTCTGTCATTTATTTATTTATTTATTTATTTATTTGTGTGTGTGGTGGTAAGGTTGGCAACTGATGAGAAAAAGGCCAATCTGTCTTGTCCCTACATCTTTAACAGCAACACAGTCTGCAGAAATCAGCAGGTGAAGCATTACACAGCCTGGAGATAAGGAGGATCAGCTGAAAAGGTTATCGGGCTTCAAGACTGACATAGTGGACCTTTATGCCTGAAACTTTTCTTTTTCTTTTTTAAAAAAATCAGGGTTGGGCTATGCAGGCCAATAAAGCAATTTCACCCAGAATAAAGAGGCGAAGGGCTAAAGCGGAAGGATGGAAACATACAGACTTGGATCCAATGCATGCCTTCACTGAGTTCAGTGGGGTTTAGAAGACACAGAGCCAGGGGAGAAGCAGCAACTCTTCTTGCCCATTGGAGTTTCTGGTCTGCGCTCAAGAAGGCCACTTCTCTGTAGCCAGAAGTTGCACATGTTACTCTCAAATAGTAGAACCAAGTTAAAAAATCCAATCTTCCGGAACTGACATTGCAACGAACTCTTATTCCCCTCACCCACCCCCGGCTGGGAGAAGGACCTTGCCATTTCCCTTTTGAACAACACCAGCAAGTTTCTAGTCCTTATGGTCGAAATTAACACGCACTGCTTAGGAGTTCCGAGCACTGGTAGAAAAAGAAAGGCGATGCTAACGGGGGGAGGATCCGTGGCGGCGGCGGCGGGGTCTCCCCGCCCGGGGAAGCCGGCGAAGCCCCCCACCCCACCCCGCTCTCCCCCCGGAGGTCTGCTCCCTGTCCAGCCCGGGGAACAGGTTACGCACCTGTTCCAGCGGGCCACTTTGCGTCGGTAGTAGCGCAGCGCCTCCTGCCCGCTGAGCAGCTTCTCGGCCGGCCCCTCGGGGGCGCTGTAGAGCGGGTGCGAGAAGAGCCTCCGCAGCTTGGAGCCGGCCGTCTGGGTGCTGCGCTGCTCCGGCAGCCGCGTCCAGGGCTCGGTGCTAGGGGGCCAGGCGGCGGCGGCGGCGGCGGCTTCTTCGGCGGGGCAGGAGCAGCCCGGCCCGTGCGCTCCGGCGCGGGCCAGGCGGCGGCGCACTTGAGGCCAGAGGTGGAAGTAGAGATCGGCGCTCAGCAGCGCCCCCAGCAGCAGCAGGATGAGCAGCCGGTCGCGCCGGAGCCCCAGCATGGCCAGCCCGACGGGGGATCGCTGCGCCCTGGAGACGTGGGTGGTGGCACCCCCTTGGCGCCTCTCCGGGTGCGCGGAGGGGCTTCCTGGAGACGAGTCCCGAGGGGCGTGTGTGTGTGTGGCCTCAGGGGAGCCTGGATCCGGAGCCAGGCCTCTGCCCCGCGGCAGCTGCAGGCGCAGGTGAGGCGGTGGGGAGAGCGCAAGGGTCCCTCTTCTCCAGGAAAGCGGCGAGGCTGCGCCCTCGCCAAAGCGCCTCTCCAGATCTGCCCTGCCCAAAGAGGCAGGCAGCGCAGCGCAGCCTCGGGGAGGATGGCTCTTGCTCGGGGAGGGGAAGGAGAGGGAGGGGAGCAGGCACCACTAACCTGACCTACCCCTCTTCTTCTTCCTCCTCCTCCTCCTGCCCAGGGAGAGGTTAGCTCAGAAGCAGCAGCAGCTGCTCCGGAGAGGCCAGCAGATCCCCATCCGGACGCAGCCTTGCGCTGCTGCCTCCATGCATTCTTCGCCAGCTCCGAAGCGCCGCCGAAATGTCCTGGGCAAGCCTGAGACAGTTTCTGGGCACGGAGCAGAAGTGGCGCGTTCGGCATCCATAGGGGGGAAGGAAAGCTCTCGGCTGCTGAAACAGCAGCAGCAGCAGCGCCCAGCCCCTCGGCGGAGAGAGAGGCTTATCCACCTTCGGAGAAGGGAGCCACACGCGAGGACATTCCTGCGGGGTGGCCAGAAATGATCTGGCGTCGTCGACGGCTGGCGGAAGGTGTAGTCCTGCCTCCCCAGCCACCTCCTCACGCTCGCACGCTTGGCGATGCCCAATAGCTCTTCCCCAAAAAGCAAGCGAGCTCCTAGTCCTCATGATGGTACACAAGATTTTTCTCCCACGTGCACATCCCTCTTAGAAGTTCGGGTCAGCTATTGCCCGTGGCTTTGTAAGCCTTCCCATTGGCATGGGATGGGCAACGGCATACACTTATCAATAACTTAGGGGACAGTACAGCCTAGTGGGTAGAGTGTGAAACTAGGACCTGGGAGGTTCAAATCCTCACTTGGCCCTGAAGCTGACTGTCAGCCACACCTTCCTCACAGGGTTGTTGTGAGGAAAATATGGAAAGGGAGAGAAGCGTGTATGCCATGTTGAATTTCCTGGAGGAAATCTGGGTTATAAAGGCAAGCGGTCCACCCATCAGCGGAATTGCTTCACAGCTTCAGGAAAGTTAAGATGGTGCCGCCAGAGAGAAGCACCTTCTTAACAAGTGGTTCAGGTTAAGTTCTTGCAACTGGCTTAAACAACACCAAAATGGTGTTGAGGGCTAGCTGACCGCACAGTGAAATAGGGCTGAAGAACCCATTGTTTTCACCAGCATTTTCCTTGCATACTCCCTCTTACATGTAAACAAATATTCGTATGTTTAAGCCAGGGGTCGGCAAACTTTTTCAGCAGGGGGCCAGTCCACTGTCCCTCAGACCTTGGGGGGGGGGCTGGACTATATTTTGATTTTTTTAAAAAAATGAACGAATTCCTATGCCCCACAAATAACCCAGAGATGCATTTTAAATAAAAGGGCACATTCTACTCATGTAAAAACAGCTGATTCCTGGACCATCCGTGGGCCGGATTTTGAAGGCGATTGGGCTGGATCCGGCCCCTGGGCCTTAGTTTGCCTAACCCATGGTTTAAGCACTTATTTGGGGAGGTTTGATGGTCCACTCTTCGGCATCTCCACTTTCTCTCTCTCTCCAAATAGTGCAAGGGCTGCCAACAGGGTGCCCATGGGCAGAAGGGTGCACTTGAGGTCTTCCTTTGGCATCCACAAAGCTTCTGAGCCCGCTCACTCCCTGCCCTCTTGGTCATGAGGCGGTGAAGAGGACAGCGCATAAAACTGAAGGAGGAAGTTGAATGAGTGACACTCGGTTCTACGTGCTTTTCAAGGCTCAAGATAACACTTCTGGATAGGATATATAATAATAATAATAATTAATAATAATAATGTATTAATTATACCCTGCCCATCTGGCTGGGTTTCCCCAGCCATTCTGGGTGGCTTCCAACAAAACACTAAAATACAATAACCTATTAAATATCAAAAGCTTCCCTAAACAGGGCTACCTTCAGATGTCTTCTAAAGGTTTGGTAGTTGTTTTTCTCTTTGACATCTGGTGGGAGGGCGTTCCACAGGACGGGTGCCACTACCGAGAAGGCCCTCTGCCTGGTTCCCTGTAACTTGGCTTCTCGCAGCGAGGGAACCGCCAGAAGGCCCTCGGTGCTGGATCTCAGTGTCCAGGCAGAACGATGGGGGTGGAAACACTCCTTCAGGTATATTGGACTGAGGCTGTTTACTGCTCAAATCCCTTCAAAAACCGACATGTGTGCACACACCCTTTCTTTCTGCCTCTTGAGGGAGGAGGGATGCTAGCCATTTAGACACTTCTGCAGAGAATGCATCTTTTATTAAATGAAATAATGGGCGGGGGGGGGGAGAGAAAAGTGGCAAGACGAGATGACGCCCACACCACTCACTCAGAAATCCAAATGTGCCACATTGTAGTACACGATGCCAACATTTAACTCTCTTCCTGAGACCCTGACAGCCAGAGGAGACTGCACCAGCTCTTCCACCATGGTACAAGGCATCTGCCTATATTTTGCCTCCAGATTCTGGATTTTTATTTTTATTTTTTGTCCTGCAAAAAGCAGCACTTGTACGAGCCACTTTAAAATTCATTTCCTGTCTTCATTCCTCAGGAGGACTGTTTCCCACACCCTTCCCCTTCTCTGAGCTATTTCCATTTTCTTAGGTAACCTAACAGAAGCTACATGTGGGCGTCGTCAGGTATATATAACCATGTTACTAACAATGGGCAAAGCATATTTGCTCCTCCCCCCCCCCCGCTCCTAACCCAGAGTAAAGTAAGCTGGAGTTGAGTGGTAGAACAAAATTGTACTCTGCCTTACTATTTAAAACTTTTGTATGTTTTAAAAGTATGGTTGTGAATTTTTCTCAACTTTATTGTTTTATCTGGGGTTTGGTTTTTTTCTTAAATGGAGAGATTTCGGGAGCCAGATCAGAACAGAGGGAGACAAAGGACTGATGGAGAAATTACATTTAAAGTGCAAGCAAAAATATTTTTGTGAGTAAAAAAACAAACCAACCGCCTGTCAGTTCTTTGCCGCTGAAGAAAGAATTCAAAGAGGGCTTGGAAAAGCTGCCATTTAAATAAATAATAAATAAAAATATCCTGACTAGCTGAAATATATTCAGTTTAACATAATCATCACCACTGTCTTCTTTAACATTGTTCACCCTCCATCATATATGATTCCAGGGTGGAATTACATAACATATGACAGTGAAATAATCACATACAAAAAATGAAAACGTCAACTAAAAATTAACACGAATACTAATCAGCCATGATTAGTAACCAGCAACAAAACCACTGAATCTTAACACACCCTACGTTCTTGTTTAAATCTTTGCTTATTTTGTGGGGGGGGGGGGAGGAGGTTAGGACTGTAAGGCTGAGATGATTTGGCCAGAGCCTTTATTTCAGCAAACAAATAATTTTCGATATTTGTTTCCAAGCATCCAAGAATTTCAAGATGCACCATTTGAAAGAGGGAAGGGGGAAAAAGATTACCATAGAGGTGGGTTTCGCTGTTCATTCTATCACAACGTATTGTCATTCTTGTCAGTCACATTTGTCACAGTAGGTCTCAGGAGGGGATGATCGATGGAAGCAGTCTGGAGAGAGATATTTCGAAATTCCATTAAAATATGTATTACAGACTTTAAAAAATATGTAAATTAGAGAATGTTAAATATAATCCTAGTCTTTGGGGCATTTTGAAAAGTTCGAACATTATATACATTCACAGTAAGCTCTTCGGTGCGTCCTGCACTTTTGTGGGCCCACCCCAAAGAGATTTTAATGGAAATGTTATTTGGGGCATGATCCCCCCAAATGCATTAGATTGTCCAAACTTAGATATCAATGTTTTCTTCTAAATAATAATAAAAAAACCGACTAGCTTAACTGCAGCGAAATGTCATTAGAGCACAGTGGGAACAGATTACCATTATTTCAATTTCTTCACTTGAGGCATTATATATTAATGAAACGTCGAAACAATCAATCGAGAAACAGTACATCATTGGAAAAAGAAAATTGGGGCTTAAGAGGGAGCATGTCAGACATCAATAAGACTGTAATGGGAATTAAACAGTGATGAGTTTCATTACAACCAATTTATGAAAAGTAGTTCAGGCTATGGAATTAAATTACTTTTGCTGGTAGCTAGCTACCATAGCTTAAGTGCTAACAATATTAATTGCATTAATACATTAGGAGAAAATACTCTTACATGAATAACTCATTATTAATGATCATGCTGAAAACGCTGCATAAACAAATACCTATAGGCATACCAAATCCGCCATAAACTAGAATTTGGGCATGCTTGAAATTACCAGCAGAAGGTGTGGCATGACCCTCCCTTTCCCTCTTCTCCTTCTAGTTGCCAGGAACATGTTCAGCTTCTGGCATTTCTAAGCAACCTGGCTGTAACAGAATATTTTAGCAGTTCAGCCAAGACCAGCTGTATCAGATGAGTGGGAATGCCTGCCTGGAGTTTGTTGTTTACAGCCTTACTTTGGCTGCTTTTGGGGATATGCTGGGATCAGCATCTTACAGTAATCTTAAACTTTTGGCTGCAATCGTAAACATACTGACTAGGGAACAAGCCCTATTGAAAACACCGGGTCTGCTTGGGACTCTTCCAAACGTATAGGAAGCTGTTCCTTTCATGAATTTTCACAGCTTACTTGGCTGAAGAAAATTCCTAACCCAAGTCAACGGTTTTGTCTGACCCATCTAAAAGCAGCAACAAGAAGTTTTAATGTTTACATTTCAACCGGAGGTATGCTTCAAAGTAATAATAAAAGTGGTTCCAATTCCTCTTAGGAAGATGTGGCGAAATTAAAGCTGTAGTTAAACTTCTCAAAGGTAGTTGGTGGAATTAACCTATGATGTAGTTAAGGCACGAGGAGAAAGAATGGATATCAAATTAAAATGGGATGTTAGAATAGAATCTGCAATCAAAGTCTTTTGTGAAAGAGGAGAGTGCAAAATATGGTCTGAAGCTCAACATAAAAAAACCTAAGATCATGGCCACTGGTCCCATCACCTCCTGGCAAATAGAAGGGGAAGAAATGGAGGCAGTGAGAGATTTTACTTTCTTGGGTTCCATGATCACTGCAGATGGTGACAGCAGTCATGAAATTAAAAGAAAGACGCCTGCTTCTTGGGAGAAAAGCAATGACAAACCTAGACAGCATCTTAAAAAGCAGAGACACCACATTGCCGACAAAGGTCCGTATAGTTAAAGCCATGGTTTTCCCAGTAGTGATGTATGGAAGTGAGAGCTGGACCATAAATGAAAGCTGATCGCCGAAGAATTGATGCTTTTGAATTATGGTGCTGGAGGAGACTCTTGAGAGTCCCATGGACTGCAAGAAGATCAAACCGATCCATTCTGAAGGAAATCAGCCCTGAGTGCTCACTGGAAGGACAGGTCCTGAAGCTGAGGCTCCAATGCTTTGGCCACCTCATGAGAAGAGAAGACTCCCTGGAAAAGACCCTGATGTTGGGAAAGATGGAGGGCACAAGGAGAAAGGGATGACAGAGGACGAGATGGTTGGACATTGTTACAGAAGCTACCAATGTGAGTTTGACCAAACTGTGGGAGGCAGTGGAAGACAGGAGTGCCTGGCGTGCTCTGGTCCATGGGGCCACGAGGAGTCGGACACGACTAAATGACTAAACAACAACAACAGCAACAACAACAACAACAACTACAACAGCTTTGATCTGAGTTGAGAAAAAGAACAACCTAGCTGCATTTTTGTGTACACAGCCTAGGAGAGGAATATATTCATTCGTAATCTAAAAGTTGACCTAGGAATTCAGAGCGGCCGAGGGGGCGGGAAACTTTCATCTAGATTACAAATGCTCTGGCTACTAATGTTGATGACCAGATGCCACTCCTCTGTTGAAACCAAATCTGGAAGACTGACGGACACGAGCTCTGCATTTAGAATGGCTGAAGCGATGGCATGGGTCTATAAAATGAAGCAAAGCTCTTTTTTTACTTGGCTTAGCCATTGGAGAGCACCGTGTAGAATGTTAAAAAGTATTTTGTACCACGAGCAAAAGGAAGGGTCTGATTTAAGGGCTTGGACTGAGAATGAAGCAGTCACAAAATCAAAAAGTCAGCAGAAGGATGCAATGTGCTTGTAGGCATTCAAATGTTCTGAATCTCATGGTACGGTTAGTATTTTCCCTCTGTGGCATTCTAACCAAACAGAGGATTTTGCCCAATAATTGAAATCCACAAGGATAAGAATCTTGGTAGTTCTGAGAGCTGAGCTCATAAAGTAAAGGTAAAAAGGTAAAGGACCCCTGGGTGGTTAAGTCCAGTCAAAGGCGACTATGGGGTTGTGGCGCTCATCTCGCTTTCAGGCCGAGGGAGCTGGCGTTTGTCTGCAGACAGCTTTCCGGGTCATGTGGCCAGCAAGAGTAAACTGCTTCTGGTGTAATGAAACACCATAACGGAAACCAGAGCACACGGAAATGCCGTTTACCTTCCCGCTGCAGTGGTAAGGTAAAGGGACCCCTGACCGTTAGGTCCAGTTGCGAACAACTCTGAGGTTGCGGCGCTCATCTCGCTTTACTGGCCAAGGGAGCCGGTGTACAGCTTCTGGGTCATGTGGCCAGCATGTCTAAGCCGCTTCTGGCGAACCAGAGCAGCACACGGAAATGCTGTTTACCTTCCCGCTGGAACGGTACCTATTTATCTACTTGCACTTTGACGTGCTTTCGAACTGCTAGGTTGGCAGGAGCAGGGACTGAGTGACAGGAGCTCACCCCGTCACGGGGATTTGAACTGCCGACCTTCTGATCGGCAAGTCCTAGGCTCTGTGGTTTAGACCACAGTGCCACCCGCGTCCCATCATATGATCAGCTGGCTAGCATAGTGGGCATCATACTGACGTGTACTACTTCAGACAGCTGCCTTGGGATTGACTTGTTTGCATGCTCCTCTGTCTAAAATTGTCCTGAGGAAAGATTGCATGCTAAGGAGAAATTTCTAGCCTTCTCTCCAATTTTGAATGTGCAGGGAGTTTTGTTTCATGTGGTGGCAGGGAGCATGCAAACATTGTCCACCCACCGCAACCAAGCTGATGAACAGGGGCTTCAGCTGTGAAGCTGGAGAGGCTACTGTATTTCATTTACCCAGAAGCTGGAAATGTTGCTAAAGTCCCCACATCTGCTTAGTGGTGACCTCAAGGAATGTTCAAAGTGCCTGGATTGATCCCTTTTCCTTCACTGGGATAATTCTGGTAAAACCACAGGAAGAAACACAACCTGGAACTTTTATCCTCAATTTACTGATTAATCCAGATTTGGAACGTGTAATTGGACCTTACCCTTTTAGTGTCCTAAGCATGTCATCCAGAGGATCTGGTCTCTTTTCAGTTATCATCCTTTACATGCGTTTTGCAATAGAAAACTGGTTGCTGTTGCCTAGGATTCAGGCACAATGAGATGCTTTCAAAAAGAGGTTTAGCCAGCAGGTTTTAGCAAGTTATCATAGGATAGCTGAGAGACTATCATGGAAGCCCAGTAAAATGAGTCAATAGCAGGAAACCACAGCATTAGGATCGAAGGCATTTATTATCTCATTGTCAGCAAATGAGAGACTTTACAAAAAAGCTCTCCACCCAAAGGGTGAGGTTAGCTCTGTATTAAATTGTCATTTTCTCTGATTCCCATTCTGTGGTTAGGACTACTCTTGAGCCTTTTCTTTGCACAGTACTGTCTTCTTTTTTAACTCCATGGGGAAATATCCAGGCTTTTATTATTCATAAATCCTCAGCATTAAAGATTAGTTTGGGGAATGGTTGATAGACTGCTGGCCTCCAGCATCTGCCACCTGAGGCACCTGCCTCCTTCTGCCTAATGGTAGGGCTGGCCCTGAGTACTGGACACACTCGACTGGGAACGTCTCCAGGGCACGGCCCATTGAACTGAATGCGAGCTACACAAGAACATGGTACTTCTATGCCCAATTTTATTGGGGCTTGTGTTGGGAAGTACCCCATTGAATTGTGTTCCTTGTCGTGTAATAAAACAACAACAACAATTTTTTATTTATACTCCGCCCATCTGGCTGGGCTTCCCCAGCCACTCTGGGCAGCTTCCAACCAAATATTAAAATACAGTAATACATCAAACATTAAAAGCTTCCCTAAACAGGGCTGCCTTCAGATGTCTTCTAATAGTTTGGTAGTAGTTGTTCTCTTTGACATCTGGTGGGAGGGCGTTCCACAGGGCCGGCGCCACCACCAAGAAAGCCATCTTCCTGGTTCCCTGTAACTTGGCTTCTCACAGTGAGGGAACCGCCAGAAGGCCCTTGGCGCTGGACCTCAGTGTCCGGGTAGAATGATGGGGGTGGAGACGCGCCTTACAAACAAGAATGTGTAATATTATTTTTATTTATTTTGTTGCTCAGAAATCTCTGCAGGCATGCCTGTAATGTCTAATATGTCAAAGGTCTAGCTAAATATACAAATACATTTTCATCAGTATGGTTTTCCCTGTTAAGGTGAAAGACTAGCCCCATTCCATGTGCCGATCAGCATTCATTTCTCTGGCTAATGTGAGGAAATGCCAACACTACAGATGGTATCAGATTATACATCTCATAAGGTATCCACTGTGATCATGTCACAAGGTGCTGGAGGGATGTTTAGTGTGCTTAGAGAAAGACAAGCCTAAAACCCTTTGATTATTCCGCAATATACACTTTGCAGACTACATGGGGAGCAGATTACATTCCAACAATGTGTTTTGCCTGTGAATAACGAGAACGGAATGTAAATTATATTGTACAATCTGCACTAGGTAAGAACACATGCAGATGTATACTATCAGGCAGTTGAATAATTCACTATAGAAAAACTGAATTTTCACCCAGTCCTAAATCCTACAAAATTGGCAGGAGGAGAAGCTTATGATGGTATATGCAAAACATTATTCTATGCTTGTGTAACAAGACAATTAGAACCTTTAGGACTGAGGTGCCAAAATATCACAGGTCATTTTTTAAAAGTTGTCTGTGTACCAGAGATTGGCTTCAATTAGTTACTGATGAATGCATTCAGAGGAATCCTACACATGTTGATTCAGAAGAAAACCCCAGTGAGTGTAGTGGAGCTTACTCCCAGTCCTAGGTAAGTATCTACAGGTAGGTGTGTACTTTTAGGTGCCAGGCTGATGCCTGATCTTGAATACCTACCTGCCTGGCACTTGCATGGATAAGAGTAAAACCAAGGCTGAATTGGAGCCAGACCTCATCAGGTTTTAGAAAGAGGCCAGAATTAACACTCTGCCTGTTGTTCACTTATGAGTGATTGTCAGTGAAACCCACACTGAAAGGGGCTGAATGCCTAATGTTGTCAGCTTTGGGGCTATGATTAGGTGTGAAATTATTTTACTTTGTTGACCTTTATGCTCACTTAAATTTCGATGTATGTAAAATGAACTGTTAATTTTGTGTGTGTGTGAGAGAGAGAGAGAGAGAGCGTGTGCGTGCGTGCGTGCGTGTGTTATTGTAGTGAAATTATATTATTTTTATTTCAAATTATTGTATTTAGACTGGGTTGTCTCCAGTGCTGCCCTTTTGCTAGTGCAACAATCTTCCACTTGTGCAGCAGAACGTTCCCCTCCTTTTTTCTGTAGCCCCCCAGACCCCCTCAAAATTTGCTCAAGAAGAAAAGGAAGTTAATTATTGGCCAGCTAGTAGCTGGGCTTGTCTGGCAAGGATGCAGGTGAATTTTGGTAGGTAGAGTAGCTGACAACAGGTAGCCAATGAAAAGCACAGAGCGCTGGCACAAGAACCTCAGCATAGTTGCACTGCATGGGCTTCTGGTAGCAAGACCAGTTAGTTGAAATGATTATGACTAACTTTGGAGATCTCTCAAAATGTAGGAAGCAGTCCGTGTTCTCAGGGAATCCTGTCAGACATGTTTCCAGGCCAAGCCATTGTTAGTCTGCTGTATGGTTGGGAGAATAACTTCTGGGAAAGTTAGAATCTGTGGCCGGACAAATATGCAAGTCGCTCCATCTCTGAACATCTCCTACATCACAGAATATACTGCCGTGTCCTTGTGAGTTGAGTACAGAAAGAGGAAGTGCCTCTGGTGTTGAATGGCTGAACAGTGGCTTTGGTTTAGGCAGAAAGATGCTTAAAACCTGCTGCTGAGGAATCAAGACCCTGTGCAGCTTCATATTTGAGTGAAGTGTCTTGTGGCAGCCTGTACCCCCTTGTTGGTGAGCTCTAGCTGGCTTATCCAGCAGCAGAGCTTCGAACACTATTGGTTGGCTGCCATTTTATTTTCCTACAATCCCTTGATGTAGGGTTGTTCCAGGACACTGTGAGAAACTCAGATAGTGATAGTAACCCTGGGATTTAGTTAGTTAGTTAGTTAGTTAGTTAGTTAGTTAGTTGCCAAGGCATTGGTGAAGGATTCACACCCAATGATTGACACCAGCATGGTGTAATTATGACAATGGCAGCGCAGCATGACAGCCTTCTAACAGTGACCATCCCACTTGTTATCCTGATCCATGGAACTGCTGACCCTGATATTTTGATAGCCGTTTGCTTCTCATCCTGGGGAGAAGTGGATGTTGTTGGTAGCTTTGTACTGGGCTGTGAAACAGAGTACATTTTTGCAGGCATTCCTGAGATGCAACTGAATGTTTTTAAATCACTGAACTGTTTTTCTGAGTCTGGGATGCAGAGTTTTTGGCTGCTCGTTTCATTGCTTTTCTCATTCAGATGTGTGTGCAGCCAAGGTTTAATACACTGTCATAATATTTCCTACCACTCCCTTCGTATTCCCAACATGCCTTCAGAGAGTCTGGCTGAAATTCTGCACCCTTGAAGAACTCCCCTCTTTGGTCTAGGACTGCAGAGACAATCTTTCAGGTTTCATGGTGCCCTAATTCATCCCTGACGTTACGTTAAGACTCCTCTGCCATCCTTCCTTCTGGGTGACCTTTAAAAAGTATGTAATTAGAATTCAGGAAACAAAACCTCTGGCTCAGGCTCCAGATGTGACGTTAGAAGCAAAAACACAACTGCATCTATAACCAAGGTGCTTAGCAACTGAGGAAGAAATCAGATTTAGTACAGATGTGACACCCATTCCTCTTGATTGTGTTGTGGATAATTCCCCCTCCCCAATCCCTTGCATGAAGCTTCTAGCTTGCAATATTCAGAAGTGGAAATTCCCTTGGTCTCAGAGAAATCACGGCTGCTGCCAGACTGTTGCTATTTCGTGGGTGGCATTGAATCACAAAATGGGCAAATTCATCTTGCACAATTATAGTGGATTTGGTGCTCTTGTTTGATTTTACTTGCCAAAAAACCCCCCAGACTTTTTGCAGTAAGGAAAGTAATAGGAACATGCTCTGGGAAATGTGGGATATGACAGTTGCTTGGCATCATGCCATTTGATGTCCTCACCAACAAATCATAATGGACTCTTGATCAGTCATGGATGTCACATAAACACCTGCAAACTTTGTGTGAACACATTTTAGATGGGTTCCCAAAGCAACTTAAATCTGCAGAGGAAGATGCATCAAAACTTGGAACACAGTAGCTTCTCATGTACTTGGCTTAGCACTTTAATGGTAAAATAAAAGAATTGGCTTTTGAACAAGAGACATATTTGTATGTAAATGTGTCCGTGGCACTTCCTATGACAAGTCTGGCCTTGTAAGCTGCCTAAACGGGTGATTGCCTAGGAAACATGCAAGCCACTTTGAACTCTTCATGCATATTACAAGTAAAGGGATCATATTTTTTAATACAGACTGCCACACTGATCCTGCCCAGCATGTTGGATATGTACCTCCAAACACACGGTCCAGTATACCTGACGGAGCGTCTCTACCCCCATCGTTCTGCCAGGACACTGAGGTCCAGCGCCGAGGGCCTTCTGGTGGTTCCCTCGCTGCAAGAAGCCATGTTACAGGGAACCAGGCAGAGGGCCTTCTCGGTAGTGGCACCCACCCTGTGGAACGCCCTCCCACCAGATGTCAAAGAGAAAAACAACTACCAGACTTTTAGAAGACATCTGAAGGCAGCCCTGTTTAGGGAAGCTTTTAATGTTTAATAGACTATTGTATTTTAACCCCTTCCAAAACTACCATGTGGATGCATTAATATGCTGCGATCCTATGCACCTTGATGCCGGAGTCAGCCCTTTGAATTCTGTTTACTACTCAGGAAACCTATATAGGATTGTTCTGTATGTCCCTCTTGTGGGCTTTCCTGCTGCTAGGATGCCAAAGAAGGAAATAAGGGAGAGGAAGTCCGTGCAGATATTCTTGGAGGGACAAATCAGCAGCCGGGAGGGCAATGAATGAAAGCCCTCTTTGCTTCCACCATCCCCTTGCTTTTTCTAAAAAGCATCCCACATTTAGATCCAGGAAGGTCCAGGAGCTGGAGTGGCAGAGGTGGATATGGGACTTGGATTCAAGCGCTACTTTTGTCATCTTGAGTTACCGTGATGAAGTCATTTTGTCTCTCCACTTCTGTTTGCCATCTGTAAAATGAGAGAAGATAGTGACCCATTATCAGAAGGTTGTTGTGAGGGCAAGCAGAAAGTGCTCTAGAAATGATGCCCAGTTGTAGCATTCAGAGAAGATGGAAAGAATTGCATGTGAAAAGGAACAGACGTCAAGAATAGACCGCAAGTTATTTTTGTACCACAGTGCTGAGAAAACGTAACAAAGGATTTGTTTTGCTTAGTGTACCAAACAGGAACAGTTATTGGCATAATTACTAGATGATTTATTGCTCGAATGCTGTGATGGCCTCATGAGTCAGAGTCTGGATTTAAGGCTGCTGGAAACTGTGGTGTTACTTTCGCAAAACAGTGGTTAGCAAAGCATCGCAGACTAATGGTCTAATCCCATGCGCCGAGCCTCCCCTGTCTTCCACTTGACAGTCCAAGTACCTGCTTGGCTCTCTGGTGAACGATAGCAGCTTTCAGCTTGATTGTACCCTAGGGTGTATGGGATTGGGAATCACCATATTCCTGTGGCAAGGAAAAAGCTCACCCCCACACAGAGTGACTAGATTGAAAGATCAACACGGATCCTAAAGTCAATGCCAGTGAGTGGATTTTGCCACACAGGGGTAAGAATGGCTGTGCCTGCTGGGATTCCCTTTTCTGCACATCTCATAAAGGTACAGTGTTGCTTTGCATATCTGACACCTGTCCCGTCTTATTTGGGATGCTCTTGGTTCATTTCATTAAAATTGCAGCAAAGCGTTCCATGAAAACAAGTGTCCTGTTGCCTTATCAAATCTCTGCTGACAGCTGAGGAGCACTTTCACCACAATTAGGAATACACAGGGGTGTGTGGATGCGAATTAGCAAGTTTCTGGGTCAATAATAATTTCAATAGTAAAGGATGACTGACAGACACTACTATGATCGATATTCTTATGGCAGCAGCCTCCTGAGTCTTTCAGCAGGTACCACCAGGAATCGCCTTGATTCAGTAGCATTGAGATTTCAGTGTGTGCAGGTCAGCCAGGTCCCTTGGAAATGGGACAGAGATTGTTATTTTCTTTATAAATAGCCATTTCGACGTGCTGTTAGATTTTGTTTCCCTTTGAAGTTTAAGCTTCATTAGAGTTTAAAGCTTGTTGCAGAACAGCTAGAGTCTGGTTGGTGGATACCTTTTGTTGTAGATGTATCATTATGGAGAGAGAATGAATATTAAAATGCAATGGACCCAGCATTGCTCATAGGTGCCAACTCCCTGGGGCCCTGGGTGCCTGAGCACCCACAAAATTCCCCATGAAGGGGCCGGACACCCACAAATTTTGGTGCTAGGGCTATGCACACTGCATGGCACCCACGGCCCCAGACACCCATGGTCACGGGGCCAAGTTGGCACTTCTGGCATTGCTTAAGTTAATTTGATGGAAAGCAAGAAAGCAAGAAAGCAAGAAAGCAAGAAAGCAAGAAAGCAAGAAAGCAAGCAAGCAAGCAAGCAAGCAAGAAAGGTGGCATCAGTATCCACTAGCAGGGAGGGTAGGGTAGGGAATTTATCTACTACCACATTTTACAATTTAAAGCCAATAAATAATGAAATAACTTACATATAATAAAATTAAAATGAATAGAAGCTTTCTGTCTGGGCTCAATAGAAGCTTTTTGGATGGGGAGATGTTCACTGAGACTGTGGCAGAGGAGAAAGGGTTAAAAAAAAACCTCCCATTGGTGGTGCGGTCTTGATCAGTTTCCCACTGCATCCCCGCAACTGCTTTTAACATTTTAAACAACAGATTTGTGAAATGCATTCAAACATTTTATGTATTGATTTTGTCCTCTGAGTGAGCCTTGCTTCTCAGCAAACATCTTAACAATATCTCTGATGATAACTGGAGAATCTGAATTTTTTTTGTTTTGTTTGTATAAAGCTAATAGAAGGCCCTATTTTCTGAGCATTGCCAGTGCTGGTTTGGTTCAGCCCTCAGCTTCTCTCTCTCTCTCTCTCTCTTTCAGGATCCGTTGCTGCAAACCTTTTGCATTTATTTCCTCTTCTGTTTTATGTCATCTGAACAAACAGCTAAAATCCTCAGGAGATCTATAAAAGTAGTACACATCCTGAATTACTTAAAAAACAAACAAACCCCTAACTTCTGTTCTTACTGATAAAAAAAGACACCTTCTTCTCCTATAGATTGTTTTCAGTACAGAAAGCTTAAGTTACTAAAGAGTTTGGAAACGTATTCTGCAGAATCTGCTTAGCAATAAGACTTCCCCTCCAGACTCTGCTACCAAACCCCCCCTGGGTGATCCATTCAGGAAATGTGGAGGAGGGAAGGGGTGAGGCAGGGACAAAGTATCTGTTTACGATGCAGTGCCAGTTTGTCATGACCTCAAGACAATGCCAACAGCGTCCCTTTTATTCAGAAAACCAGATGCTTAGAGTAAGCATTCTTCCGAGAGTTTCTCTGTGGCAACGCTCAGTTGTGGGCACAGTCCAGTTCAGAGAAACAGCAACCCATTAGTTACCAGCCCAGTTGTGATCATGATTAGGTTATGAGACAATTTAATTGCAGGGAAAGGCTAGTCACTTTCCCACTCATTTGTCCCTATGAGAGCAGATCACAAGTTGCATGTTTTTGCCTACTGCTTAGTTCAAAAAGAGCTGTTCTCCCTGGGTGCTTCTTAAAAGTACAACTACCCCTTGGGGCATTAGGGGGAATACTTTGATCTCTCTGAATCAATGCCATGCAGTTCAACAACCACTTTCTGGCTTGCATTGGGTCATGCAAAATATTAATAGTGACCACCAGACGGCATTGATAATGACAATTCCATCTTCCCCCATAGCCACATTGAGTGGCAAGATGTTCTGCCTACTAAACTGGGAAGAAGCGATATTTGACAGCGTGTCTGTCCTCCCAGCACTTACTTGGTGTGTCTTTAACTCCTCTTGATCTGAGCTTCAGTTTCTGGAAACTAGGACTGTGATGTAAATTATTGTATTCATAAGAAATGAAATAAAGTGGCAAGATCCATGAGATTATGAGCAGCCAAGATCTGCTGCTCACAAGGACAAGGCCCTTACTAGTTTTATGAATGCTCTGCTCAACATAGCTGCTGTTTAGGAGAGCTCTGCCCAACCTGCCAATTAGACACACAGAGGGATTGTACTAATGGGATAGAATGAAGTGCCTTGATACCACCACCCAATTCTTTGGTTGGGCTTCTCTCAGGGTCAACTCCAGAGGACTCGGCAGACCATACAATCCTCAACTCAAGAGTGCTTCCACCATTGCATAAAATCAGTGAGTCAGAGGTAGCTGTCAAGTTGGAACCGGGAATCATGCCAGAGGCCTGAGCCAGGAGATAAAGCCAGGAATCAGCAGAAGGCAGAGACAGGGAAGACAACTAGTACTTGGACTTCTTCCCTGCCCATGGAGATGCTGCAGCCTGTAGACCTGGTGGCTCATCACCAAGCTGGCAGCTCCTGCCAGTCATCAGCTACAGCAGGCAAGCCAAGGACATTATGACATTTATAGGGGTAGTGGAAAAATTTGATCTGGTTTACATTTCAAGTTGAACAACATAATTTGCAATTTCTGAAACAAGGTATGAACTAAAACACAGCCGTCCTTCAAAATTCATTCTTCAGAATTTGCAGTGCCATTCTCACATGTACAAAAATGCACGTACTAGGACAAAGTGTTGATACAAATGCATATATTTCTGAAACTAACATAAAGAAATGCATTATATTAGGGGAAATTGCAAAAATGTGTATATTAATCAAAATCGCATGCAAAATGTGTATATGAAGAGAAATTCACACTAAAATGCTGATAAAATGCAGACTTTTTTTTTTAATCGCTTGCTGCTGTGGAAATGTGGAGAACAGAATTTAAGATTGGAAAAACAAGATACTGAGAGAAACTGAAATTGGCATACTCACCAATTCCTAGCCATAAGCACAGCAGCAGTTTCATGCAGTGAGAAATGGCGGTAAAGTTAAAAGTTCCAGAATTATGCGAAACGTGAGCTGTGCTTACCATCCTGGCTGCAACCCAGAGCTGTTTTTAGTTGCAGCCCAAGGGGTTCACTGAAACAATCTGCCATAGCACCATCTTTTGTGTAAAGCAAGGGATGGCCAGAGTAGGCTTTAGTAAACCTTTTAACCACAGAAAGCCAGTTGGAGGAATTGCAGTAAATGTTTATCCTACCCAGGGATATGGAGGCTACAAAATGGCTGCCTCTGGAGGACCAATAGGTGCTATAACTGCAACAACTGTATTTGCAATACCAAGCACAGCCTTTAATTCCACAAGTCCCATCTTTTGCAATATTATGAAGTTCTTGGTAGAGGTTAAATATAGCCCATCAAAACACTGCCTACGGAAAGAAGAATAAGAATGGGTAAATCGTTTCTCATACAAATTTCCACCCCAGCTTTTTTTTAAAAAAAATGTCATTTCAGAATGAGTCACATGATCTAAGACTTTTGCAAACCCCAAAACGGAAGAACTTCATCATAAAAGACACAGATTATCTGATGGGCATGCATATTTATGAAACCTTGGGTTATAAGGCAGTGCTGGGAACACAGTAAATTTTGTCAATCTGTACTGGCAGATTTGAGAAAGTTTGCAACTAGGGTCTTGAATATGCAAACCTCACAGTGTATTAAAGAATTTATGTGGATGGCATTTTGGAAAACAACAACTACAACAACACTTGCTGTATTTATATACCATTCATCATTCATATCAATGCAATTTCAACTTCTGTTACAGAAGCAGGCAAGGGTGACAGAAGATCTGCCTGTCCTGGAGGCGGTGAATGTTCCTTACTCATCGTGAGTCTTCTGTTGATCTCCTTTGTGGGTCTGAACTGCAACACACCCACCCACCCAGAGAAAAAGCATGTTCTGGGAAGCGTAAGGTGGGAGCTGGCCCCTGCCTCCTTCCAGAAACAATTACTGTGATGCCTCCCACCCCTTTCATACAAGCAGTAGCAGGAGTCAGGATTATCTACCTACCTAATCAGATATTCTTTGCTATATTAAATAGCAAAGGAATCGTGATCACATTTCCCGGAAGCTACATAGCTTCTGAATCCTGATGTGGCCAGCCAGGTCATGACTAATGCCAACTTAGGGGTCTCAAAATGGATATGGGAAGAATACGAGCCCAAGTAATGTTACGCATTTGAATAAATGTGCATTACATGAAGAATGCTCATGGGCACAACTCCTAACTGTCTCCAGTTGTGCCATCCCTGTTCCCAGAGTAGATAACACTGCACAGTCATATGTATGGCAGTGGATACTAGCAGAATGTCTAGCAGAGATAATCATCAGAATAGAAAGAGCTTTTGAGCATACTAGATAAACATCAGCTGATTGTGAGAGTATAGGCGCCGTTGAATTAAAAAAGAGTTTTATTGGAGGACTCTCAATTCTTTGCGGCTACAGATCAATTGACGTGTAATTCTGAAGAACACTGATTTCTCTGAGGTTGTTTCAGGGCAACTATTTTTGTCAGAATGCCCTAAAGTACTTTTGCTTTGGACTCATTTCAGACAGAATTAATTTTAATATGCTGAGGATGTTGCTCTTCATGAGAAAAGATCCCAATTCTCTTTGATGAGGCTAAGCCAAAGAGAGCATGCCATCTAGATCAAGTATGGCGTACTCTAGTCCAGCATAGCACTTTAAACACTGAACTGGATGTTTAAGCCATATTTTGTGCTCAACAGAAAATCCAATTCATTGCCCAGTTTTACTGCACCGAGGTACAGCAAAGAGAAAATAAAAATCTATGTTCCACAAAGAGATCTGACACAGTCCTGGAACTGCTAGCAGAATTATATACTATGTGCAAATAGGTCAGGTGTGATGGGTAGGTGGGTGATTCACCCAAACATATAAAGAAAATTGCTCTTGCATTACTGTGGTTTGGGCCATCAGCTTTGCTGTAGCCTGTGGTCTGGAAGTATGGATGAAGTCCAGCAACGTATTACAACCAGCATGCTCTGCATCTCAGCTTCTGTCCTTCCTTTGTTGGCTCTGTTGACTAACTGATTGAGAGTTTTAGGACCAAGCTCAAAGAATAACCCAAGTAAGAATGAAATTGCCAGCTTGGCTTTCTTTCTGGCCTGCTTTCCCCCCCAGTGTGTATGAGATGTTTTTGTCACAGTCTTGTTGGGACCAAACCATGGGTAAGTGTTCAAACCCTTTAAGCAGATGTTTCACTAAGAATTTCCCAGGATTAACAGCAAAGCAGAGGGTTGAAACCACATTCACAGTAAACTGAAGTTTGGGATGAACGCAACCAGAACTAGTCATCTCCCTAACCCATTTCCACCTAGCTATTCGCCGTCATCCCTCTTCCTCTTCCAAACGTCAATTGAGAAAATTCCCACTACAGACCCAACTGTCCTTTCCTCTTCTCTTCGACTCTTTTGACACATTTAGCCTGACATCCCATTCTCCAGAGATTTCCTCTCGAAACATTGCCCAGACTTAGTTCTTTACACACACACACACACTACCCAATCCCTGGGAGCATTCTAACTCAAGTTCTTTTATTATTACTTGCATGCTGAGGTGATCCAGTCTGGAAAGAATGTTATTGCTGGAGTCCTCAGACCCTTTGTTGAGTGCCTAGGTTTCTGTAACTAGGAAGTATGTTCTGTTACATGATTGTGTAGATTCCCTGCATGGGGGATACAATCAGCAGCCTATTCCCAAACTAGCTGTGCTGTTAAATGTGCGAATCTGGTCATGTGTCTATTTCCACCCCCTTAATAATAGCTTGTGGGGCCTCAGATAAGAATCTGGACCATGGCCACTTGGTGTCTTTCCCAGTTACACTCCTGAAGAAAATTGTGGGGCCCTTGGTTGCCATTAGCCCTGGGAGTGGAGCTTCCATTAGTGAGCTCATGAAGAGACAAAAGGGAGGAGGAGGCAGTTTTCAGTGGAACATGTTACTCAAACTGTGTAGAGTTTGCAAGGTCAGATCCAGAATTTATGTGTAGAGGAAGCCAACAAAATGATTTCTGTTTATACAGGAAAAGCTGCCAATCCCTCCTTTTGAACAATCTGTCTCCTATTGGTTGCTTTCTTTTGCTTTTTATTGATAAGCTGCTTCTTTGTCCGATCCGTGCTCTTTCTCAGCTGAGCATCAACTAAATTCCAGAGTCCTTTAATCTAGCTGACACCTATGGCCTACTCCTTGACCCATGACATAACTGAAGCTTAATAGCATCGCCTTTTGATGTAAGAACTGTTCAGAACAGCTTCATATGAACCCATGTTAACATTTTAAGGAGACATTTAAAATCTCATTAAAAAATGCTGTGAATGAGCCCTACAAAACCTTTTGAATCAGGGCAAATATTCTGCTCCTTTTTCATATTGGTGTTTCTGCCGGGGATAGAAAGGTTTTTCCACACATGGAAACACCTTTCATCATGGTTCGTGATAACTTCTGAGCTCCAGGAGAGAAAGGTGCATTTTTGATAGTTGCAGGTATGGCACTGGAACTCCCTTGGGATGAGATCTAGGAAAGCAGACCTAGTTATTTATTCGATATCACTAAAAATCTGTGTTTGCTTCCTTAGCCACAAATCAGCCTTAAATCCTCTATGGAATTTAGGCTGGTGTGCACGGGGGTTGTGCGGTTCTTTAATCACACTGACCACACTGAAGTTCGGCTGAGAGACAAGTAAGAATGTGGAGGTATAATGGACTGTAGGGTGGTCAGAGATGCAGCACGAAAAAATGAGGAAGCGCATCAGTACAAAAAGGGACAATAGATTTGCATATGCTAATTTACACATATAGACACAAGTTTGGAAATAGCTCCTATAATTAAAACAGAAACACAACACGTCTCACCATAGTGGAGGAGTGTGACTTGTGTGCCTACACATTCTGCTGAACAGATGCTGGCTGTTGATGGGCAATAAAATATAAAACCAACACAGAGCAAAAATTCATATGTAAAGGGTTAATTGCGAGAGCTGAATAACTCTACAGTCATACCTTGGGTTGAAGTAGCTTCAAGTTAAGTATTTTCGGGTTGCACTCTGTGGCGACCTGGAAGTAACGGAGCGCGTTACTTCCAGGTTTCACCACTCGTGCATGCAAAGACGCTCAAAATGACGTCATGATCATGCACGGAAGCGGCGAAATGCGACCCGCACATGCACAGATGTGCAGTTGCATCTTACGTTTACTTCAGGATGCAAACGGGGCTCCGGAACGGACCCCATTCGTATCCAGAAGGTACCACTGTATATTTAATCTGCAAATGCAAGTACACTAAGCAAAAGTTTTATGTTCTTTAAATCTTAAAAGAGGGTGTCTTGGGTCGTTTTTATAGGAGGGGGAAAAGAGGACTAATTAAAGGGTCAAGTGACCCAGGGTTGTCTTCTGCATACTCTGCTAAATGGGACCTAGAATTTAATTCCCACAAAAGGTAGAACTTTCAGAGAAGCATTTCAGAGAAGGTGGCATTTGCAAATGGCATCTTCTACTTGCAATGTCAGGTACTACAGCCTCCTCTATAAACTAGTTCTTATATAAAAGTAACTGCAGCAAATGTTCTCTCAATACACAGTGGCTCGTTCCAACTCCTATAATCAATCATGAACATATTCAGTAACTTTCTTATTAAGAAATCCCACACACACACATCTGTTTGCGCCTGTAAATTCCTGCAACAGTTAGCAAGACCAGACCTGCCCTGCAGCAAGGTGATAAGACCTGCTTCATGGAGTCACTGCAATATTTTGTTGGCCTTAGGCTGAAACAGCCTTGCATGGGGATGCCTGGTGGTGGACTTAGTTAAGCCCGTGACCCACTGCCTTAGGGGAATGCATTTGCCATTGGGGAGCTCTTTCAGGCAGGGGAGGCACTATTTGGGTCCTGTTTCGGGTCATAGTCAACTGGCAGTTTGGACAGACTTTAGTTGGACTGAAGCAGGTTAATTTGGGGGAAGAGACATAGCTCAGTGGTAGGTCAGTCATTGGGCAGGGAGAGAACCCTGTCTGCAGCCCTGAAGAACTACTGCCAGTCACTGAGGTCTGTGCTGAGCTAGGTGGACTTATGGTTTAAGATAGGTTCCTATGTTCCTAGCTTAGGTTTCTACCATAGAGATAGATGTCTATGGTACCCCAATGTTTGAGTTACGACTCCACAGTGGGGAGGCGTAAGGAAACGTAGTTTAATTATCAAAGCAACACAGGATGGAGTGGGTTAATAATAGACATGCTGTTAATGGCCAACCAAAGTCTAGGAAGGGTAACAGACAGCGCAATTGTACAACAGGCTAAACAAATATGCCCCAGCAAGGTTAAATATTGTGAGCAGTGTCAGCCTTTCCTGCAAAGTTATGACATAAAGGCTTCTCCTCTCTGGAGACCAGCTTAGTGGTGATTATTATCAGTGGTTGTAAAAAAGAAGAAGAAGTGGTTTGGAATGTTCTCTTAAAAACACTGATGCGTCAAACATAAAAACTTTGCATCCTCAGAAGGAATAAAGCAAAGTTGTGTAGCCTTCAGTGTAGAAGATGGAGGAAGAATTTATTTGCTGGGAAGAGGTTTCAATGCTCTTGCCCCTAATGATATATATATATATATATATATATATATATATATATATATATAGTTCCTCCTGAGGCTAGGGAGAGGTCAAAATCCAGACTCATGCATATTGAGCCCCCACTACCTACCACTTAGTCCCACAAAGCACACAAAGGATGTGGCTTTTATTTTTCCTCAGCATTTTCTGGGGACATGATATGGTTCACAGGAGACCATTCTTTTGGGCATTTTCTGTGAGGATGCTGGGAAGCTGCTTCGTGACTCAGGCTTGAATCCCACCGAGGATGGACAAATCTCTCAATGTCAGCTTCTCTCTCAGTTTCTCGTTTCTCTAGTCTTAAGTTCAGTTCCCCACATTCCTGCATCAGTTTGCAATTTTTGTTTTGTAAAATTCCTCATGGAAATTCATTCGTATTTTAGTGCAGATTTCTCATAATAGACACATTTTGGTACACAAATTTATCTGTTCTATGCATCTTTGCAAGCTACCTCCCCTGTTATAATGCATTTTATATGCTATTCTAATCAATATACAATTATTTTGATACATACATACTCATTTTGTACACATTATTTGACCGGACAACTGTATCACAAAATTCAGAGAAGAGCAAATTCAAAGGATTGCTGTACTCCGGTTCGCATATTGCTTGGGAAAGTACAGATTAGGTAGTTTTGCTTTAAAATCCCAACCAAGCCAAATTTCTTCCCTATCCGTTAATCCAACTAAGTCACTAAGTCACTGTCCAATGGAACCTCAAAATCTACTGTAAAGGGTTGGTATATATGTGCACGTTTGCTGGTAAAGCAGACACTTTCCCAAAACAGTGAATAAACCTGTGGTCAGTTGCCATGGATGAATTTAAGGGATGACTATTATTCCAAACGCTAAACTCTTATTCCCCCACCCCGACACTCCAAGGTTACTGAAAGTTTAACTTTTGTTTTCTCTTCCACACAAACAGGATGTGGCTACTCGAGGGCTTGAAATGCATGAAAATAGCACCCCTAGGTTCTATCTTTTTGCAAAATTATTTGAACTCCATAGATGCTGCAGAGTTTATATCCATATTTTTAGAGTTTGTGAGCCCTGGATCCACATAGTCTGTGTATGTGGACGTCAAGGGAGCACTGAAAATTTCATTGAGTCTGGATCTTAAAGAAATAAGCAAACGCAAACAAAAACTAGCACTAACAGAAACATAGGCCCCATCTGGACTGTACTTTTAAAGCAGTATCATGCAACTTTAAACAGCTATGACTTCCCCCAAGGAATCCTGGAAAGTGTAGTTCATGAAGGGTGCTTCAATTTTTTAGGAGACCCCTATTCCTCTCACATAACTACAATTCCCAGAATGGTTTTACAGTCCTTTTCCTTGGGTCTAGGTCTTTAAAACAGCCACACCCACACAACAGTGAAACCTAAAATTGACTTTTAAAGAAAAAGCACACAAAACTAAATATTTAATTTTCTCCTTCATGAAACCCAAGGCGGTATGTATGCAACTCCCTGGCTAATCCGCCATGGATGTACCAACCAGACCCAAAATGGCTTATCTTCAGCAATGTTCTGTACCCTAAGAGCCACGTATGCATACAAAATACACAACTCAGTTCCCATCTTCTGAGAAAATAATAATAATCCATGAATACAAGACATTTTTGGAAGGGAGCTGGGTTTTTTTTTGATATTTGGATCTTAATGGCAAGTGCACTTTGAGTTCAAAACCTTTTTGGGGAATGCAGGGTAAGTCTGGAATGCCAAACACTTAAATGATGTTTATTCCCTAAAAACATCCAGGTATTATGAGGAATGGTGGTTCAGAGGGCAAGCTGATACAACTACACTGAAATGTAATGGGCTGCATTATGATGGGTGGGAAATGCAGCCCTTTTTTATACAAAACAAAAACAAAAACACAACCCAGGCTAACAGGTAAATATGAAGAGAAATAAATGCAACACTAAAAAAAGTTTTTCATGTGTATGCAGAGAGCGCCACTGAATCTTAGTAAATTATACCTCTCTGATTAAGCTACTCATTAAAGTACTGTGGAAAAAATCCAGTATATTTAGGAGCATGGCAGGAGACAGGTAGAAAATTATAGTAATTTGAGCTGCATTTAAAAAGAGGGCTGTGGATCACCCCAGATGTCTAGATCAGGGTATCCTACATTTAAGTCATGAGGCAATGAATTACGCTATCTAGAATGCAAGGCATGTTTTTCTTTGCTGAAGTCTGATGGATGTCACAGATGACATCATTAGCATAATCATGTGATTACATATTGTTGGTGAACAGTTATGCTTTTCCCCCTCATCCTTTTAGTATAGCTATATTTCACCTCGCTCCACAAAGGTTCAGCACATGGTTAAACCATGGCATTCGCTATCACAAGATGTGGCGACGGCCACCAAATTAGGGCTTTTTAGTTTAGGGGGGCGAAAAAATCCCCGTGGTGTGCGAACAGTTTTTTTCTCCCTTTTCTCTCCTAATGCTAGAATCTGGGGTCATCCCATGAAGGATGGTGCATGTAGTTCTCCTCCTTCCCATTTTTTCCTCACAACAACGCCATGAGGTAAATTAGGCCAAGGGACAGGCCTGAGGCTCACCCACCGAGCTCCTTGCAGCAATGGGGACTCGAACCGTCCGCTTCCAGGTCTCCCATTGCCAGGAGAGGCTTCATTCAGATTGGTATACGGGCATGATTTTTTTTTTTTTTACTGCATGGGCTTTGGTTGCTGGCATCTCTTATCCCAAGTTACCTCACGCGCAGCTTTTGAGAGGAGAAAATGGGTTATTTGTCATATGCCGCTATGTAAGCTACACTCAGCTCCTTAGACACAAAAGTAATGAATAATAATCTTCAAAGCACTCTGCTGGAGAAAGCCTGCGATAGGTAACACATGGCTTGTCCCGAAAGAGTGGTCTGAATGCAGAGACCCACTGTGGCGACTGGCCCTTTGATGGCATTTAGCTCAAAACACAAAAGGGCCATCTTTGTCCGTCTCTGAGAGCCTTCCCAGTGAAGCTTGAGTGTTTGCAACATACAAAACATTGTCATCTGCCTTTTTAAAAATGCCAATTGAACAAGCCAGTTTAATTGCCATCCAGGCAAGCGACTGCTGTTACTGCAAACTGTGTAAATTGTCTGTTTGTTGGGTTTTTTTTGTTTTTGTTTTTGAAAACACGGACAAACTAATTTTTCTGTTCAGAATCTCCTGCTGATTCAGCTCTTCTTTTTTTTTTGGCACGCAAAGCCCTGAATGACAGCCAAGGTGTCCTTCAAATATAGGGGGAGATTAGTTTATGAAAAATCAGGTCAGATAATTTTCTAGAGTGCATTGCTTTTTGCTGCCACTTACTCTGGTCTAAATAATAAATTAATAAACACATGCCATTATTAGGCATGGGCTTTGCTTCCTTGCTGAATTTCGTCTTTTTGAGACATAGCAAAACAAAACAAAACAAAAAACTTCTTTCTGTGAGCAGAAATAGATGTCATTTTCCCATTGATGCGGGATTGATGGTGGGACAATGTAGGGGTAGAATACCTGCACCATTTTGTGGCTCTCTCTGCTCTTCTAGATGTGGCAGCCATTTTGTGTCATACACCCCCATGGCAGCCATTTTGTAACTGGTACTCATGACACTTTTTAAAATTTTGAATATACCCATTGACCCCGAAAGATCGGTGACCTACTATAGTGCAAATAGATTGTCTCTTGTCAGTTTTCTCCCATCTTCATGAAATACTTGACTTTACAGAGCTGAAATTGGCTTTATGAAATTTCAGAGAATCATTTCCATTTGGCCTTCATGTCTGATGCACTGAGGCTAGAATGAGCCCCACTAAAGTCAATGGGACTTACTCCTACATAGATACATAAATGATTGTGTTTGTGAGTCTGCTGTCATTCAAACTGACCTGTGTCAGCTAGGGGTAAAAACTAGTCCTCATTGCTGAAAATGAAATGTAAACATAGATGAAGATTTAAGATTTTTTTTTAAAAAAAACCAGAAGTGAAAGAAATGCCATTCTCTGAATGTGATTAGTTGTTAAAACAACACTCATGCACTTTACATCCCGCCAAGAATTGTTTCCATAAAGTGAAAAAATATGAGAGGCATTTGGCTTATGTTGAGAAACAAATGTTGATGAAAGAAATAGTTTTGCTGGAATAAACCAGTCTCTGAAAAGTTTAAAATATGAAAGTTTTTGGCAAGGCCTGCATCTATGAGCAAAAATCACCATTGCTGGATTCAAAAGAGAATGAATTCAGATTTGAGGATTCATTCTGTTCTCCTTCAATAGCTCTGGGCATGATTCTTGAGAATGCTTATATCTCAGCTTTTCTTCTTTGGTATAATGGGTCACCTACACAGTCCTATAAACAAGGGCTATCAGGAAATCAATCTTGGGTCACGTGATTTTTAGGAGAAACAGAGCAAGGATAGATGATTGATGACCCATTCTAATGAAATATTTTCATTTGCATGCATCTATGGGGGAAATACTTCAGAAAGGGAAGAATGTCAATTTTACAATAATAAGAAACAGGAACCACACTGCAGCACAAATGTACGGTTTCAAAAGAATTGGCACAATGGGACAATATTTGAAATGTCCCACTTTTCTTTTACGCAGGCCACACACAGCCAAATTCTCCAACTGGTTGTTGCAATGATTGCACAGAGGACTGTTCTTCTGGCATTCTAGTTTGGTGTCATTCCACAGGACTCTTAGCAGAGAGGAACATTCCCATTTGATAAACCCTATTGTTAAAACTGGGTTAATGTGATGGGGGTGGGGGAAAAGGTACCACCCCCCAGGAATGCATGAAATAAAATACCACAAAGTAAGTCCTGCAGCATTTTGAAGACTAATAAATTTATTATGGCCTAAGGTTTAGTGGACTACTAAAAATACATTGCACACATAAGTATCAGCAAAACAAAAACTAAAAACATTTTGCCAACCTTGATAACGAAAAGAAAAGACCCTGAACAGTTTAATGTTTTACATTTTAAATTCACCGACTCGTCACTTATGTGTTTATTGAATTTATATAGCGCCCTCCGTCCGCAGATCTCAGGCCGGTTCAAAACACAAAAAATACAAGATAAAAACATAAAATACGTCCTGCCTTGGGCCAGTTACTGAGTCTCAACCTCACCTGCAGGGGCAGCCTGCCCCACTTCACTGCTTGAATCCCGTTTTGTGTCACCTTGCTGCCCCCTCTGAAACCTTGCTTACCAGGCTGGGTTCTGGGTTCCAGCAAGATCTAGAGAGAAACCTGTGAGATCTCATGAGAGTGACATGAGATCACCCAGAGGGAGGCCTCTTCATGATTTTGTAGGGTTCTTGCAGATCTCGCTGGAACCCAGAAAGTGCTGCTGCTGCTTCTCTTCGTTTTCCTGGTGGCGGTGGCGGGCCTGTGCCCACAGAGGTGCCCCTTGGATTCTGTAGCCTGAGGCATCTGCCTCAGTCTGCCTCATGAATGGGCTGGCCTTCTTCACCTGGCTGTTGCAAAGATATAGAAGGAGATATAAAATGGCCGGAAAATGGACTTAGTGCTTGTATCATAGGCATCAAATTTTGATTCCCTTAACCAGGGTGATCCATCTTTGTACTATAGGGCCACGTTCTTCTGCTCCCATCCATCACAAATTAGTACAACCAGTCTTAATCTGGCCAGAATATTACATGTTTTAGGTGTATAAGTGTCATCTGTGTTCAATCGTGCTTACCCTCCGGTTAGTGTGCACAGAGGACTAATTTCTAAGAAGACTTACCTTAGGCCTGTAGCCACTAGGGGTGGGAGATTGTTAAATTTTATCTTTAAAAAGTTTTACTACCTTACTTTTATAGGTAAAATTGTAAGGAAAAGCAGAGAGTAACTATTTTTCCCCTAATTGCTCAGTTAAAAAAACAAAATCTGCTCCCACTTTCCAAAGTTCTGTCCCAATGGAAAAACCAGTAAGTAACAGGATTTAAAATGTTATAATGTTTATTATAATGTTTGTTTTATTAATGATGTAAGTGTGTTGAAATTACTTGATTTTGCAATTGTGTACCCATTTACCTGGGAGTAAGCCACATTAAACACACATAGACTTACTTCTGAGTATACATGTCTACCATTGTAATTTAAGTTAATTATACAGTGAATTCTTAATGAGTGCTTTGACTGTAGCTCTTGCACAGCAGGAGACAAGCCCTTTTCCAGAGTTTTGGAAGAAAGCAACTGTCAGGGAACTGCCATCGGAGCTAGAGGCGGAGGGAAGGCTCCAGAGGGATGGCGGAGAGGGTCCCAGTAGGGAGAGAGGCAGCCCGTCCGCTGGGGAAGGAAATCAGCGTAACACCAGTAGAGAACGGGGGCAGATTGGGGGAATCGGAGAGGAGGCTCCAAGACTCCTCGCCGGAGACCAGCGGAGAGAGTACAGGTACTCCGCTGCCCACACCCTCCCTGCGCAGAAGACTTCCGCGCAGGGAGAGTAGGAGGAGACTTGGCGTCAAGGAACTTTTGTGCTGGAAGAAGTTTAAGAAACGCCCACTGACGGATTCTGCCAGCGACTGAGACAGTCACGATGCTGGAGGCTGTTCAGTCAGAAAGGGTTTAACCAGGTAACCTAGCCAGGAGTGGCGGCAACTTACGCACGAGCAACCCCTAAACCCATTACAGCAACTTATACGGAGTACCTGATCTCAAATGAACCCACCACATGAAAGACGAATTCTGGTTGTTAGATAGTTGGGAAGGGATTCCAAGGATTAGAAACTGAGACAGAAGCAAGAAAGAAAAGTACACAAAAGGAAAGGGGAAATGTGAGCTCTTCAGGACCTCAGGGATTCCTGTAGTTTGGTGTCTAAACTCACTCATCAATCACAACTTTGGCTGCACTAAAATATTGAAAGATGGGAACAACCAGCTCATCTCGCAGAAATTGCTTAAAAGGGTACCTGCACATTTTGCTTTATAACTTTCATCTCAGGAGGACTGGTTGGGTAAGTTCTACTATATTATTACACATCGGACAAACATCTCAAAGAAGAAATGTGGTGTTCCTGTTATGGTGATCTATAATGTTGGAATGAAAAATATGTCTAAAATAAAATACGAAAACCCAATACTGTCCTTTCTTCCACGGACGGTACATTTTTAGCTCACATTGCCACACTCCTTTCTTTGTGAACCAGATTGCTGCCCTTTGAAGCAAATTCTCCTTGATGTGCTCTTTTTACAGCCATTCCTTGGCTTATGGACTTGAGCTCCTTCCATAGCTTTGCACTGCAGCAGTGTCATCAAGAGCAGCATCTCTGGGGGGAATGTTTAGACATTGCTAATGTCAGTTTGATTCAGAAGACATTTCCATTTAACTCCTGCCCTTATAAAGGCTTAAATCAGAGCACAGCTTTTATCACCAAGTGCCAAGTGCTGTCTCAGTGTACAAATAAATGAGTTGTGCTTGTCTGGAAAAGTCTCAGTATGTGACAGCGCGGTGCTCTCATCATGGTGGCAGGTAGCCATTAGCGGTGTGTGTGTGTGTGTGTTTTAAAGATGACTATAACTAATTACATTGCAAGGCAGAGCAGCCTGGGAACGAAGCAGACCTTGATTTTACCTTGTAAAGCTAATTTTGTAATGGCATGCAACATGGCTGCAAGAGATTATATCCTGCATTCCTGCAGAAAGCATGCTGAAAGTCTGCTAAAACCTGTCTCTTATAAGACTCTTTCTGGGGGGGAAAGAGAGCTTTTCCATTTCATCCTCCATTGGTATGTCCACCATAGTGTGTGTTCCTCTTCATCAGGAATCTGGATCTGCATTCTACAGGAGACATTAGATGGTTGTGGCAGCGGACAGGCACTCTAAGCAGTGTGACAAGGGAGGAGAAGGAGACCCTCTGAGGGACCTCCCCTTGCAGTTCAGCTGTTAGTGTGTATCCACCATACAGACGTAAACTACTTTAATAGTCTTTCTTTTTCCACTGGGAACCAAGGAACTATGGTTCTGTGGTGGAGAACTTGCATAATTTCGAAGTTGCATGCAATAAACTCTGAAGGAGACAGGAACCCAGGGCTGTTTGGAAAGGGGTAACCACACTGGTAATCCTAAAACAGGTCTGTACCAACCACCCTGAACAAAACCCACCACTCGTAAAAGGCAGTGACCCCCATCCCCATGGCACGAGACTTACTGATATATGCCTGGCATTGAAAAAACAGGAGGGTTGTCAGACATTAGTTGCTGAAGTTCATCCCATGATGTGCAAGCTAGTCCTGAAACAATGATGCTGTGCTGTCTGGTATAACTACAGGAATCTTAGGAATCAAACTATTTAAGCAACATCAGGTACTATCTCCTAATATTTAGATCTACTCCCAGACTATAATTCCAATTTAAGAAAGACCCAAGTATTTGCACCATAATTTCCACCTTTGCTGAAAAAGCAGGAATACAAAACCGTACCTAGAGTGATTACTACTATTACAGACATAGTAATGTGGTGAAGATTACAGGGCAATTATAGCTCACAAGACTGCGATTTTGCTTTATAACTCACTATTAATGCCGCTTCAACTGAAGGTTTTTAGTGTTTTTTTAACTGAGATGGCAACATTTTGCTTTATTGAGGTATAATTAAGCAAACCACTGTAGAATTAACGAAGTGTCTCTTGAAGCTGCAATTCCAGATCTCGCCTGCATCCAAAGCAGCTTAGTCTTCTCCACTACCAACCTGCCTAAGAACTAATCAGACAGCAGAGCCCTGGAGGCAAGCCCAATGGCTAAGTAGGCACTTGGGGATCTCTAGACTAGAGGAAATAGGTCAGATTGGGCCAAATCTCACTATAACCAACCCAGGACGCACTTAAGCTAATTCAGAAGAATAGGAAGCCTTCAAAATACAGCTACTTCTATCTTGCTCATCACGAGACCTCTCCATTTGCGGACTGGCCTCGAGGGCTTGAGGGTGTTGGGCCCAAAAGACAGATTGGGGGTGCTGCTGGTGTACTGCCCACCCATCTGCTTCCCTGATTGAGCTGGTGGAAGCAACCTCTGGTGTGGAGAACCTAGGATTATTGTCCTGTGGGACTTGAATGTCCATACTGAGGCTGTTCTCACTGGTCTGGTATGGGACTTCATGGCCTCCATGAGGCTGTCTCAAATGGCCATCTTTAGCCTGACACACAATCACTGATTTGTGTTTCTTCGCTCCTGGTGGTGAGGCTGATGGCCTGGAAAAGGGGTGGGGGTTCTGTGACTGCGTTGTCATAGTCAGGCCACTTCCTGGTGAAGCTTGGGCTAACGGCACCAATTTCCCCCTGCAGGGATGGAGGAACTGATTAGGATGATTCGCCCCTGGAGGTTTATGGATTCTGATGGATCCCTGAACACTCTGAAGGATTTTCCCGGTGGGCAGAGCTGGCAATCCTTCTGAGGCTCTTGACTTGTTGGCTGCCCATCTGCTACTGGGCCAAGTTCAAGATTTTGGTATTTGTTAACACAGCTCAGGACCAGGTTGCTTGAAATATCACCTTATCCAGTGTTCTTTTTCTAGAAAAAGAGGTGCCAGAACTCTCCATGAACTCTGTTTTTCTCTTATAATGGCAATGGTGCCCAGCTGAAAGGCCTGATTTTATCCCTCATGTGCCCAGTAGGTCACTGTGTTCTGCAGGAGAGATTCTCCTTCAAGTGTCAAAAATACCAGAAGCCTGAAATGTCCACAGCAACTCAAGGGTGTGGCTGCCACCGCTCTGTGGAATAGCATTCCTGTTGAGATACAACAGGCATAACTATCTGCACTTTGTAGAAGCAACTGAGTACCTTTTTGTTTCCACAAGATTTTCTAGCTGGAGGAACAGATCTCTCTGCCTTGGGTGTTCATTTTGTTTGCTTTGTGTTTTCATAAATTAATTAATAATAATGCAGATTATATGGCATGCTCGGGGTCTCTGCTTGCTGTCATCTTTGGGAAAGAGCTGCAGGACCAGTTGGAGAATTGGCAAGGGCATGTGCAGAATGTAGCAAGTGCCCATTTTACAGCCAGTCCTTGAAATGCCATCTGTGCATACCTTTAGACTAAACCTTAAGCCAGTTTTAACTGTCATGGATTGTCCATGGGAATGAGCCAGCTATGATTAAATGTTTCCCGATGAAAAGGTCTTGTTAGATTGTGGAAAATCTTGGACCAAAAGAGCTCTTGCCCACCTAACTAGAAACCCTTTAGGGCAAATCTGTTTAGAGCTGTCCAAAGAATGATATGTAGACAATATCAAGCTTCTTCACAAATTAAATTGCTTTTAATATTTCCCAAGTCTGTAATTCAAAAATAAAACATATTAGTTAGCATTTATATCCTCAACACCCACCCTACACTCTTCAGTTTTGTATCCCTCCTGGACAACATCCACAAGTGCCAAATTCAGACTAAAAGGTGTACTTTGCACCCTTAGAGAAACATCCTTGCTTTACCCTGGTAGCTCATGCAACAGATTAAAATGGTTTCAGTTTTGCCCACCAAAGAGGCCCATGGTACTTTCTTTAATGGAACATTTAGATTTCTCCCCCTCCACTGGTGATTCGATATATCCAGATATTCTTTCCCTGCAATGTTCATGTACCAAAGAAGTGCTTGGCTTCAGAGTGTCTGAACATTTGTGGTCTGTACCAGATACCAAGACCAGAACACTAGGGCATGCTTTGATGGAATCCATGTCAGCAGCCTTAAGAAGTTATTAAAACTTTCCCCACTTTAGTGATGCAGATGCAATTACAGCAGGAACCGAGGGAAGACGGCAACCTGAAGTCTTCTTGTTTTCAGAGAGGCGAGATCTTGAAGCTTTAACCAAGGGGGGCAGCTTAGCCTTTTTGGTTTGATCCGGTGGTTTCTTCCTGTCACCTGCCTTGGGCTCTTCTGCAGACACTTCGTCCAGCTCTGGGAATGTCAGCTGCATGGACTTTAAGTCGGACTCTGAGGTGCAAACGATTCCCTTGCTCACCATCCGTGCAGTCATGGGTAAGTTGCTGGGCAAGGTGAAAGTCTCCATCTCCTACAAAGGATTGCAGAGGCCATATTTGAAGGGAGGATCGTGATGGAGGACATAGCATGATCAATGCGTATAGAGTGCAAATCCCTATTCTGAGCTGCTTACAGCCAGTTAGGGTCAGAGTAGACGTTATGCTAATTCCATGAATGCAATTTAATGTGCAGTTAAAAGCCTGATCTTTCCTTGAAATAGAAATAGCAGCTTTGGAGTGGTGTTCCTTTTTTTGGGATTGTCATGGACGATACAGCTATCAATGGCTACTGGCCATGATGTCTATGCTCTGCCTTCATGGTTCTTGAATACCAGTTGATGGAAACCACAGAAGGGGAGAGTGGTTCCTGCAGGCTTCCTGTGGGTATCTGATTAGCCACTGAGAGAACAGGATGCTGAACTAGATAGGCCATAGGACTGATCCAGCAGGACTATTTATGCTCTTATGCTAGTGGTCTCCCCCCCAGTCTCACTAGCCCCTTGGTCTATACTCTAAAGGCTGCTCAGACTTCCCTGGGGCTGCTATTTGCATAGCAAAAAAGGGAGGAAAGCACACATTATTTGCACCCAGGTGATTACTATGGCCCTATCTGCACTATCCATTAAAAGCATCATCATACTGTTTTAGCCAGTGATGGCTTCACCCAAGGAATCCAGGGGATTTGAGTTTGTTAAGGCTGCTGATAGTTGTTAGCAGATCCCTATTCCCCACCGCAGAGCTACAATTTCCAGAGTTTCCTTGGAAGCGGGGGTTAATTGTTATACCACTCTGGAAACTGTAGCTCTGAGAGGGAGCAAGGGTCTTCTAACAGCCTGCTGTTCCCAAAATTCTTTGGGGGCAGCCACAACTGTTTTAAGTGGCATGATCCTGCTTTAATTTATAGTGCAGGTATCTAGTTTAGCTCTTGGTTGGGGAACATCTAGAAAAGCATATATATATATATGGAAGAGAAGAGAAAGGGTGCGTTTGAAGTCAAATGCATTTTTACCATCTGTTTCCATGCAGAACTGTTGGCTCATTCCTGCAGAAGACCGGCCTACTTGTGTAAGCATGGTACATAACCATGGAGCTGCAAACTCACAACTCCTGTGCACAGGGAGGAGGGGATCAGAATTTTCTCTTTTACAGAACTGGAGATGCCATTTTGTTTGAGTATGCAGATTCAGTATTATTGCTCCGTTCACACAGCTAGGCTGCTCACGTGAACTGTAAATTGTGGAAGTCTGCTCACAGCCGACGGTGGGAAGCAACTCTCTTTTTCTTCCTTTCTTTTTATTTAATTTATTTAACATAATTATTACAAAATATAAGCAAAATATCGCAAATACATACATATATATTTCAGATAAGCACACATATATAAAAAAGAAGAAAAGAGGAAAAAAGAAGAAAAGAAAAGATAAGAAAAAATAAAGAGAAACAAAGAAGAAGAAAAGTTGGAAGAATTTCTTCCAAATTTATTCTACAAATATCTCAGTATGAAAATAATAATAAAATTTAATTGATTGACTTCCATCGCTTACACTGCACTTCCTATATACATTTTAAGCAAGATTGTATCTGTTATTCTGTATTTTTCCCATACAATCTCACACAAATATTCCAATCAATAAGTTTTCTAAATCTTTCATAAATCTATCAAACTGCCATTCTGAGAGCACTAACTCAAAGTCCCAGTGAAATCAACGCGACTTGCATTTCATGTGGCTGGGCTGTAGTGCCATAAAGCAACAGATTTAAAGTAAGAGGGCTGGAAGAGAGGAAGGAGAACTACATTTTTATGAGGGGCCTGACACAGAACTCTTGCTCTGGGCCAAGCTTCTAGGCTAAGTGATGTCTGCCACGCAGATAGGCACACTTGCTTTAGTAATAGCCTAACATGCTAAGCACCAAAGATTCATGAGACTAATATGATAACATGACGCTAGGAGTTTTGACCTGCTCAGGTTATCAAATAACAAACTGTAATAATTATGTATGTAATGAAACTCACATGTCAACTCAAGAGACAGCTGTAAAAGGCCAACAAAGGACTAGAGGCAAGCCTGTCAGAAAAGCAGGTAAGCCAAGGGGCTCTAGAAGCATGTGTTACATACCGTAGTTGCCAGCGCATGGAAAGGTGAACAGCCTGCCCCGAACCGGTTGACTTTGTGGGGATTGATTTCTCCAAACAGATGTCGGCGGACTGTCCTCCTAGCTATTCTTTGCAGGAATTCTTCTTCCAGATTGTGTTTGAAAAAGCTCTGGTGTCAAAATTGGACAAGGAAAGAAAGAAAGAAAGAAAGAAAGAAAGAAAGAAAGACGCATGAGCTGTCATATCTGTCAGTCGGAGGCAGAGTGAGGCCTGGTTCACAAATATAGCAAGAAGGAGCTGGCAAAGTCCGGAGGATTGTATCGCTTCAGGTGGCGCCATTTCTGAATGCTCACCCCACGGTAAAAAAACACACACCACAGAACAAGCTGCACACCAGCAAGAATGGTTATAGCTTTTCTGTGCTAATATTCTTCTTAAGGGGAGATGTTTGATTGTTGTTGTTTAAAAAGCAACACAAATCATGGGGGGCAGGGCAGGGCAGGGCAAGGGGTATACCTGCCCCCTTGGAATCCTAAATTCATTTATTTGTTTTAATGCACGCGTGCACACACACACACACACATACACACACCCCTAGCTGGTCAACAAAAGATTTAGAGTGAACCTTGAGATCACCCCTACTGACATTATCTGCATTTTTCTGGGCCAGTAGGCAGATGTGAATGCTGCTGGTTCTGATCTAGTGAGGCTGCTTCCAAAGAGGTATCAAGATTTGGAAACCCTAGAAATACAGCTGTAATATAAACAGAGGAGTTGTGGTGTCATTTTGTGATCAGGCAAGGAGCTTGGAAGTGCTGATGGAGGGATTCAGGCTATGGCAAAGCAGGACTTCTCCAAAATGGCTGCAAGTGAGTTGTGACGCTCCTTTGATCCATCTTAGAGAGCGAGTCTCGTAGTATTTCTTAGAAATGCTTACATTTTCTTTCCAAGCTCTTAAAGTATGAGGCAGGTAGAGGAGGTAGGAGGCAGTGGAGGTATAGTATAGTTTTGTAGCTGAAGGTTCTAGCTTCCAATAGCAAGGCAATAACATTGCCTGGGCTCTCCTCTCCTCCTTCCAATCACATTGCTTTCAAAGGGCAGAACAGAACAAGTCTTCATTCCTCCTAACTCCTCAGTCCCATAACCACAGCACCTATCTATCTGAGATTCTGCAGGTTACTTACCCAAGGACAAGTCTAGGCTTTTAGTCCATTTCCATACAAATGCCCCCCCCCCCACAATGTGTGGGATGGGGAGAGTGAAACTACTTGCAGAAAAACCATTGACTCCCTTTGTACAGCTCCCTGCCCCCCCCATCTGTCAGAAATTTGGTAGGCTTCACTTCCTCAGAAGGGGCTATATGCCTACAAGTTTCATCCACTGCTATCCAAAAGTAAAAATGAGATACTATTTATTCATCTCCCTATGTTGGTTAATGGGGGAGAGGGACATACAAAACCTCACATTTCCAAAGTGAGGTTCTACTTTTGACTCAAACTGAAGATACCCAAAGCAATATGAGATGAAGTGGCCTCGTTTTTCAAGTGCTGAAGCAGACTCTGAACGAAGCATTATCTTTTGTGCACATCCCGGTATATTATGCACAGCAACGCCATATCACAATTGGCTTTTAAGGTTTCTTTCACTTTCAAAAGAGGATTCAGGAGAGGGGGTGGCACTCAAGAAACCCAAAACCTCACTTTGGCACGTGGATTGATATGTGCAGTTCTCTGGATCAAAGCTGGCTTACTCTCGGTAAAATTTCATTATCACGTGGAGCCCCTTTGATTAACCAGTGCTTATATGAGAAGCCCTTAACCTTGACCTGAATTCTAACCTACACTGGGGAAGGAGGGGTGTGCGTGTGTGAGTCAGATCAGGATCAGAGACAGCAGGAAGAGCGAATGCTATCGTCAGTGCTGTTACCTCGTGCTTCCTTTGCCCTAGGATGCTGCTTAGCGGGGGTGTTTTCAGTCGGCTTTGCGCCGTGTCCTCTGAAGGAGCCTGACTGGGAGACGCTTGTCGAGGACGGTCAATTCTGGGTAGCTGAGGCTCTGAGGAAAGAAAGCAGCCTGGGATGTAGTAGGAGGCGCACAATATATTTTGCTACTACTGTGCCATCAAGCTTTGATGAGCGAGTCTGTTTATGGACATCGGTTTATTGTAAACGGCTTACAGGTCTTTTATTATAAGCGCTGCAACCCCAGAGTCGGTCACGACTGGACCTAATGGTCAGGGGTCCCTTTACCTTTACCTTATATAACTTCTATTAAAATCAATCAGGCAAGCAAGCAGCTCTGGGGAGGGGGGAGAAGCTCCTATACCAAGCAACTCATGGCTGCCTTCTTTACCCTTCAAGTCTCTAAGCCTGTACTCACAACTGCCCCTTGCTCTCCTCCTGAGTTAGTGGCAGGAGTGGGATCTCAATGTGTTTAGTTATGATGGTGCCTGCTCATCACACTCTGATGCTCTTACTGCCTGGGTTTGGATAAAGTGTCTTTCCCCCGGCCTCTGTGCTTGGGCTCCTTGTAATATTGGTGTGTGTTTGTGCGTGCACGCATGGAAAAAGAACATCTTCAATTTGGCGAGAAAATCAGGAATGTCAGAGCTAGTTAGGAACAAGCAAACCTGGGGAAAGGCAAGGATGCTCATGTTGGTGGTGGGGGACTTGTAGGACCTGCACACCTACTTGCGTCCCACCTGCTCCCCCTAAATAAGTCAGAAGTGTCCAGCAGAAAGATTTGCCCAGCGTCCTCACAAAGATATTGACCACATATCTTGGGGAAGGGCCATAGCTGAATGGGAGGGCATCAGCCTTGCCTGCAGAAGGTCACTGGTTCATTTCCCAGCAACTCCAGATAGGGCTGAGAGACAACGCCATCTGAAATCCTGTCAATGTTGACAAGACTGAGCTAGAGGGACAATGGTCAGATTCAGCAGAGGGCAGCTTCCTATCTTTTTATATTGTTGGTGGAAATAGGATGCATAAAGCACTAAAGCAGTTATCAAAAAGGCCCAGTGACTTTAGTTCTTCAAGGCAGATGAAGTTCTACCCAATGTTACCTGGCTGGCACTAAACAGTAGAATGCAGCTCACAGCAGCACATTCTGTGGCTTATGAAGAAACACACAAAACAAAACAAAATCACACCTCTTATTATATTGATTAATCTTTCTGACCGCTGTGAAACATTCCTCATGCCAGTTGTCATGTTGACTTTGGGGACATCATTATATTTGCTGCAGGTGGGAAATTATTCGCCAGTCTCTGCATGTGTTAATATTGATTCAAGCTGTTACCAGCCTAATTAAGGAAAGGAAATATCATCTGTGTCCAGCATTTGGAGATGTTCAGCTTGGCAAATTCAAGATCCCCCTTTTCTGTATTCACTGCAAATGATGGGCATTCTCTTGTGTCTAGTGTCCATCATCTGTATATTGCCCTTCACTTCTGTGAACTGGCATTAACTTACAGTTGAGTTCAGATATATTTTTTTCTTCACCTTGTCCTTTACCCCCAATTTGTCCTCCCAATTAGAGCCTGAGAAATGTCTCAGTCAGGTGTTCTTGTTCTGCATCCTGGATCTATAAATATTGTTTGCTAAGCGGTGGCACTGAAACTTATTTGGGAAAGTGATTTGAAATATTAATTTCAGTAACTCAACACTCCTGTGAGCTGATACTGAGTCAGCTCTTAATTTTGGGTGAGCCTTGTAGGGGATTGCTTTAATCTAAAGATCTGGTGAGGTTTTGCCATTGCTGCCTTTCCCCTGACTTACACTTACTAGTCAGTGGTGGGCATAAGGACTCTTCAGTAGGAGTCATATAGTCCCCATGATTCTCAGTAGCTCTTGGCAGCACATAGGGTCTAGCAGAGGCTCCAGCTGTGAGCCCCTCACTGCAGCAAGATAAAGACAGTTCAGGAAAAGGGAGAGGGTGCTGTTGGCAGAAGATTTGGTGTGGGGAGGTTTATAGACCCCATGATGCTTCAGATAACACCATCAGGAACATGGTGGACCTGAACTTTAGCCTGGCACATCATTCGATCTACTGAAAACAATTTATCTTGGAAATTGTTTTAGTTAGTTAATCCATTCCAAATCAGTCTGGGAAGAACTCGCCCATTACTGCTTGACAGCAAAGGAGCTGACACACCCCACATGCTTTCACGGGATACAAGCAGAATGCCTGTGAGACAATGGAAGCAAATCGTCTACCAACAATAGCTTTAAACTCATGCATAATTCCCCTAATTTTCTCGACTCGTTCCAGGCATACCAATTAGTTGGGAGATAAGATAGCGTGCCTGGCTGAGTTATTGACAAGGTCACAAAGATCTCAGTGCAGGCGATCTGAAGATGCTGCAGGTATATCCATGTTTACCTCCATCAGTGCCTGGTGGCAGTAATTGGCTGGATGAGGTCTATAAGCCAATAAGCTGAAGTTGAATCCTGATGAGATGGTGGTGCTGTTGGTGGGCTATTCATGAGTCAGGGGAGTCTGGGGAGACAACCTGTTCTGGAAGGACTCAAACTGCCCCCGAAGGAGCAGGCATGTAGCTTAGGTATGCACTCTTGGATCCAGCTTTGCCACTTGTGGCCGGTGCGTCTCCCTGACTGTGAGCTTCAAGTGACAAATTTTATCGAATGTTATGCAATAAATTCCATTACAAATCGTGAAGAGGGGCAGACTCAAGGCCTGCCCATCACTTTTGATCATCCAATGTTTATTGGATGGATTTCCCCCCTAAATTGATTTTTGAATTCTGAATTTATTGTTATTCACGTTTTTACTGTATTTTATGCTATTTTTAGTTGCATCAATTGAGTGTTTTAAATTTGTTGTTAGCCGCCCTGAGCCCAGTTTTCTGAATCGGGAAGGGCAGGGTATAAATAACAATTTATTATTTTCTTTAAAACACACACACAACAAAAGGTGCTTGGGGTGGGTGCTAGAGAACAAATCCCCTCCTCCTCCCTCAAGCAACAAACCCCCCTGCCGGTGACTCTGTACAACAGCAGGAAGAGGAGAAATAATTATTTCTCCCCTTGGCCCCCTCCCACTGGTGCTGCAGTAAGTTTAAAAATCCAGACCCACCCCCGTCACTTAGCAAGGTAACAGCAGCATGTGGAAGAAGGGGCGAATTCTTCTGCACCCTGGGAGCATCCCCACGTCCCTCCTTTGAAGTTACACTGGATTTCCAAGGCTTCCCATGTGCTGCAAAGCACACCCTGTGGTGATCCTTTCACCTTCTGGATCAGAGATGGAAAGGATCAGCACCAGGCAGGCTTTGCAAGACATGGGCACCCTTGGAATTCCAGCAGAGCTTCAAAAGATGGGAGCAGAGGTGCTTGTAAAACTCACCCGGTGCCGATTCCCTTCAACACAGATCAGCACAGGGTGGGTTTTTCAGGCCTCCTTGCACCCCTTGTACATGTGCTTCTTTCACATGTTTGCTGCTTGCAGCAGGTCTGATTTTCATGCAGTTGTTTACTTGTTGGTTATACTTCCATACCGCCGCTTATACTTTCAAAAAGCTTCTGATAAAAGCCGCTCATTCTGAGTAAGCTTAGCAGACATGGGATAAGAAGACAAGTCGTCTTATGGATCAGAAACCAGTGAAAGAACAGGAAGCAGAGAGGAGGGATAAAGGGACAGTTTTCACCGCGGAGGGGTATAACATGCAGGGTCCGCTAGGGAACTGTTTTGGGTTTGTAACTCATTGTTAGGAGAAATGTGTATGTGGGGTGGGTGGGTAATCTGGATTATACCCTGTGCCCTTTCTAAACCTGTCATCCTGTGTGCATGGCAGAGGGAAGCAGCCAAACCAGTTCCTTTGTGAAGGTGATGACTTTGGCTGGCAAGTTAAGTACCGCAGTTTACATATCCAAAGAAGTTGCTCTGTGCCGTAGAGCAAATGGGTGGCCATTCCTCACCCTGCTGCTACACAGCAGAACAATAGGCAGAGTTGTGTGTGAGTGAGCTGGAAGCAGGTTGGAAACTGGAGACAAAGAGACATGTTTGCTCTGTGCAGTTTGCAATGGCTTATCGGGAAACAAATATCGGAGGCATGGTGCCTAGCCTGATTAAACTGTCGATCCAGTGTGTGGCTGCTTTGAAAAAGCCAAATTCCATGCTAGGGAACATTAGGAAAAGGGGATTGAAATTAAAACTGCAGATATCACAATGCAACCGCACTTGGAATACTGTGTGCACTTGCGGTCACTGCATAATTATTATTATTATTAATAATAATAATAATAATAATAATATCGCAGTTGTAGGAAAGGGCAACCGAAATAATCAAGCGATCGGAGCAGCTCTCTTGTGAAGAAAGGTTGCAATATATGAGGCTTTTTTTTTACTTCAGAAAAAAGCAAGTAAAATGAAAATGCTACAGTTTATAATTACGCATGCTATGTACAAAAACACTCTCTCCTAACAATAGAATCTGGGGCCATCCAACAAAGATGAATGTTGAAAGATTCAGGACAAAGTAAGTACTTATTCACATTAAACTTCCTAGTAAAATTATGGGATTCTCTACCAAAAGATGTAATTAATGATATCCACCAGCTTGGATCCACCAGCTTGGATGGCTTTAAAATGGCATTAGACAAATTTATGCTATCTGTAATGCTAATCATGATGATTATGTACTTATCAGAAGTGGTATGTCTCTCTGTAGCAGTTGATGGAGATCAAGAGGGGGGAAGAATACTGTTGTGTTCATGTAGTACTTCCAGGCTTCTTGCGGGCACCTGCTTGGCCACTGTGAGAATAGGATGCTGGAGTAGATGGGTCTGTGGTCCAACAATGCCTTCCTTGTCCCTGCCATAATGGGCCAATGACTATTCAAGGATGCTCAGCAAATATATTCTGTTCCAAGAGGAATGAGCATTTTTACAACATTCAGGTTGTTTTCTCAGAGAAAAGCAGATGCAGGTGATTGACGGCGAAAGATAGACTGAGTGTCAATAGATTAATCATGTTATGATTTGTGTGAAAGACAGGCAGCGGCTAATCTCCAAGGCGATGTTTGAAGATGGGATTTTGAAAGAGAAAATTATGCAGTGTATCTGTTTGAACAAGGGAATTAGATATCCTCCCTTTTCATTTCTCATTTCAGATGCTTCTGATATGAAATGAGTTTGAAACAATGGGCTATGCAGAGGTAACACCCTCCCACCCGTCTAGACTTCATAAACCAACAGTTCACAACACTCTTCATTTAATATCTGCCATGATATTTTTCACTGTTTCCTCTGAATAGCAGCTGAGAATGCCTGCTTTTTGCTAAAGTTTCAATTGAGATAACGTCCTAGTTCCTGTCACGTTTGGCAGTTTGTTTCGTTAAGCCATTGAACTTACAAGCAGTAAGTAACATTCACTTGCAAAACTACATATGTTTTCGGATGGGGGTCAGGAATCAGGCTTCATTTACCATAAGCAGAGACATAGGCTTGGTTCAGATGTAACAGGAAACCAAGGTTTTGTAGCACCCTGCTTGTGGTTAACGCTTAGCTGGAATGAAATATTCAACGCAGCAATAGAGAAATTAAAATAATAATTTATTTGTCAGGCAAATAAATGATAGCCACAGTGGTATATGGTTACCAAAGCTCTGCTCCCCTCCAGCCCTGATGGCCAGCACTTATATTTCCTCAGCCCAGCCCCCTTGCTCCTCCTTTGGCTGCCTCTGTCCAATCAGCCTGGTTGAAATTCCTATTGGCTGTTTGCTAGAACCAATCATAAAAGATACACCCATTTCCTATTACCTTTTATGGGAGACAAAGAGCTATATTTCCTTCTATCCATAAATGGCAGACAAGTAGCCATATATCTTACATTTGCCTCGACAAGGCACCTTAATTACCAGATCACCTTTTGCCCCTGTTGCCCCTGCATTCCAAAACAAATGGCTAAAACAAATGGCCCATGGTATTAAATTCTATCTAAACAGAGATCTTGGGTTCACATTCTCACACACCATCAATGAAATAAGAATCTAACATAAGAATCTAACATTTCTTACTTTCTAAATCCTTTGCATAATTACATTAAGCCAACAAATCTCATACATAACATAGATAGCTTTTCAGAAGAAAAGGCCTTTGCAAAGTAAAAAGGAACTCAGTAAAAACAGCTTCAAAAGAAGCCTCTTCAGTTTACACCCCCCTTTCCCAGCCAGCTGCTTTTCCCATTAGCTCTTCCCAAAATTTATTGCCCTTTAACTCTCTCAGTATACCTTAAACCTTAGGAAAATATGGCTAGAGTCTGATGGGAGGCACATGGTACTATTTTCTGTTAAACAATAAATCTTACTATTTACCAACTCTTAATTAGTGTTTTTGCAGCTTGATTGTATTCTGTAATATGTAGGGTCAGTGTAACATTTGCTCCCAGCCTGTAATTCCCTTTTACAACTTTGAGAAACTTGTCTCCTACTGCTATAAATGGGGGGCTTGTTCAGGAGAGCAGGAAGATAAACAACTGCCAAAGTACTTAGCCAGCTGGTTTCTGCCTGGCATGAAACATACAAACATTTGCAAATATATCTTTAAGCTCATTTTAAAATACAGACCTTGATCAGATGCCTCAGTTTCCCATTACCACAAATGGGTCTGCACAAGCCTCAGATTTGCATGCTCCATCATCTTTTACAGCTGGGGGGGGGGAAGACATTGTAGTCTTTCATTTCCAGTTTTAAACAAAAACACAGTTGCCAGTGGTGAAAACTGTACTTTGTTGAGTTGAGCAAACCACTGTTCTCTGAGCTTGGACAACACAGGAAACTGTGTCTTGTTTAAAACTGGAAGAACAAACTTTCACACTCCTCATCACAGCTGCTCCTGCAGGCCGGATTAAGAAGTACTGCATAGATGTTGCAGTAGAGGTCATTTTGTTGGTGTCTCATTACAGAATTAGATCAGCTAGCTTTCTAGATTGTGGCCAGGCAACATCCCTGTCAACACTATTGGCTCCAATGAGCAGGGGAAGCACTCTTATAGGGTGTACTTTCTCTCAGTTGTGGGAGGCAGCTATTGAGTTTGCCTTGGCAAGTGGGGGAAGGTGGAAGAAGAGCCAACAGGCAGCCCAAGTTCTAACTGCAAAGTGAAGACTAGGGGGGAACATAAACCCATTACATGGGAGTGGGCGGCCTTGTCTGACTACATTTCATGGAGAGACAAGACAGCTGCTGGAGAGTCATCACAGGCTCCCCTTTCAAGCCTGACAAATAAGAACAGGCAGTTTTCTTGAATTGTATTTCTCCATCCTCAGATTTCCTGGAGGGTGAGGAGACTCTGTCCTTCATTTTATAATATGAGAGACTCACATGCCCTTTGCAATTGTTTCGAGTTACAAAACAGTAATGTTTAATTACTTATTTGCATCTCTTTATATAAGTACAGTGGTACCTCGGGTTAAGAACTTAATTCGTTATGGAGGTCCGTTCTTAACCTGAAACTGTTCTTAACCTGAGGTACCACTTTAGCTAATGGGGCCTCCCACTGCCGCCACCCCGCCGCCACACGATTTCTGTTCTCATCTCGAAGCAAAGTTCTTAACCCGAGGTACTATTTCTGGGTTAGTGGAGTCTGTAACCTGAAGCGTCTGTAACCTGAAGCGTCTGTCACCTGAGGTACCACTGTATTTATAGTCCATCCTCATAAGATATCAGGGCAGAGGTGTTGCAACCCTCCGTTCACTACAACCTGGTAAACAACAAACATCTCAGCTGGTTTATCATGACAAAAAACCTTGAGGTTACACATTTCATAAATTACCCACTGCCTGCCACTTATATATCTTTTCCAGTTTCTAAAGTATATGTTAAGGGATTCTTGACTCTGCAAAGCTGTTTATATACTTAAGTGAGTTTGGATTTCCGTACGCACTGAGGCTAGTTGTTTTGAGCTGAGTTCCTTCTCTTAATTGTTATCCTTTCACCACAGCGGGTTTTGCATTGATGGCCACAAAGTAAAATGCTTAAGCTTCCCCACCCTAACTGGTCCAGCCCCAGGACAGAGAGCTAACAGCAGGCGGCCTGCAAAATGATCTAAATAGCTGCATAAAATAAAGTTAGGGCTGACAGACTGAAAGGGGTGGTCAGGGCAAACTTGGATTTGATCAAATCTTACATACCTTAATGTTCAATTTGCTTATGCACATCCAAGGCTTAAGGTCAAACAAGAACTGACACCAGAGATGTGTGACTAGAATCTTTCACAGGCCAATTTCTGCTACTCAGCGGCGTAGCGTGGGTTGTCAGCACCCGGGGCAAGGCAAGTAATTTGCGCCCCCTAACCCGGGGCAAGGCAAGTAATTTGCGCCCCCTAACCCCTAACCTGCCGCCGCTGCCAGCTTCTTCTTGCTGCTGCCTGGTCTGGTCTGGTGTGGTTCTCTCCCGCGCTCAGCGCTGCGCTGGGCGGCCGCTGCACTGTCCCTCCCCCAGATAGTCCCTCGCTCTCTCTCCGCACCGCACGCCTGGCACCCACCCCTCCACAGTGGGCGGCGACCCAGCGGCTCGGATCGGATTCGCACAGCCAGCACTGCAGTGAGAGAGAGTGAGTGAGCCAGGTAGGGGCAGAGAGCTGCGAGTGTGAGCGCGCCCCCCAGGTGTTGCGCCCGATGCGGCTGGGCCCCCCTGCACCCCCCACGCTACGCCACTGCTGCTACTACAACTACTACTAATTAGCAGCCCCACGTGGCTGCCTTGAAGATGACACACAGAGAGAGCAAGCCTTTCCTCTTTCGCCCTTTAAAAGATCCGAATAGCCTTCCTGCTGAAACTGCATCTTAATTGCAGAGCAGAAAAAGTAGAGAATATCTCCTCCCCTTGGTGCTAGTAATAGCAGTATGGGCATGATGTTTTATTTGGCCCCAATTTTTATTTTTAACGAGAACGATAATTGTATAAAAGTAAAATAATCCAACAGATATAAGAAACTCCTCTCGCAACACTTTCTCCCCCTGATGGTTCTCTTCGGAAAAACAAACAAAAAAACACACAAACCCAGGCTTAAAAGCTAGCCGCTTTTTTGTTTTCATGAAAGTAGGAAGAAATGACCGACTTCTAACTTTCAAGAACACTAAGCATTGCAAAAACAACAAAGAATATTTTTGTCTGAATGCTTTTAAATCATTTCCTTTGCAAAAAACAACACCACCCCAAATGTTGAGGAGCAGCAGCCTCTCTTCCCAATTTTCCAGTAATAGCCTTTGCACTTGAATTAAGTGTAATTGCCCAGGATTACAGCCTCTCTTGGCTGAGAAGGCAGAAGAATCTCCAGATAACAGTGTCTTGAACTGCACAGTGCAAAGGAGGGGCATAGCATAGCTTTTCCTCCCTGTTAAACAGCTGGCACAGACTTTGCCTTTCACTGTTGAGATAAGGCCTGCTATATATCCATCCAAATAGCCGTGTGGATGCAGCACTAATCTGTGTTTTAACACACACGTTCACAAAGGTGTTTAAATATAGAAAGACAGGCGACTCATGGCCCCAGAAAACAGTATTCAAGGCAATCTGTGCCAGTAGTGATGTATGGAAGTGAGAGCTGGACCATAAGGGAGGCTGATCGCTGAAGAATTGATGCTTTTGAATTCTGCTGCTGGAGGAGACTCTTGAGAGTCCCATGGACTGCAAGAAGATCAAACCTATCCATTCTTAAGGGAATCAGCCCTGAGTGCTCACTGGAAGGACAGATCTTGAAGCTGAGGCTCCAATACTTTGGCCACCTCATGAGAAGAAAAGACTCCCTGGAAAAGACCCTAATGTTGGGAAAGATGGAGGGCGCAAGGAGAAGGGGACGACAGAGGACGAGATGGTTGGATAGTGTTCTTGAAGCTCCCAGCATGAGTTTGACCAAACTGCGAGAGGCAGTGGAAGACAGGAGTGCCTGGTGTGCTCTGGTCCATGGGGTCACGAAGAGTCAGACATGACTAAACGACTAAACAACAACAACAAAGTGCCAACGTTTCATTAGGCGGAAGGTGGATAGAGGAACTTGGCTTCTGCTTTTATGTAAAGGCATGGAAATCGGTTGGGGGTTTTTAAAGGCTTTTCTCTCTGTTGCCTAGCACTGAGATGGTGCTTTAAAATGCTTGGGATGGCAGATAAGCGGTGACTTTAAGACTGGCCAATAGCAGGAGACTCACAAGGGAGGAATGTTTTGGCCTAGCGGGCCCCCACAAACTCTTTATTTGTATTTACAATGGCAGTTTCTCCCTATGTACTACATTCATTGCGCTTACAAGTTTAAAGCTGCTGCATTGCCTCTTGGGAATGGGGAAAACCATACTTCCACGTTAATCAAGTGAGCTCCCCTATTTGAACTGCTCACTCCATGTCAATCATCCGTGGCAACCGTCCTTCCTTACTCTTCCCTATTCTCACCAAGATCTCTCTGAACTCAGTTCCCCTCACACTAAGAACTCCACCTGTTCACGCTGAGCACTGGCTATACTAATAGCAAGAACATTATGACCTAGTGAGAGCATATCCAGAATGCGCTCGGCACTGTTCACGGTCCTCATTATGGCCCCATATGCACCATACATTCAAAGCATTTCATACTGCTTTTTAAACAGCCGTGCTTCACACCAAGAATCGCGGGAACTATAGTTTCTTAAGGGTGCGGAAAGTTGTTTAGAGACCCCAATTCCCCCTGCAAAGCTACAATTCACAGAGTGGTTGAACAGTCAATCCCTCTTCCCAGGGAACTCTGGGAATTGTAGCTCTCTGCAACCTGAACAAATCAGGGCTCTTCGTGGAGGGCGGACCATGAACTGTTTAAAGTGGTATGATGCTGCTTTAAATGTACAGTGCAAATGTGGCCTTATTAGTTATAATTTGTGGGAGCACAAAGACCAAGAAAGGCAAGCTGTGTGATAAGGAGGCACATGAGATACTAGTTAGGACTAGAGAAGAGGAGATGCATGTTATGGTCAGAGCCTACTGCCTGTAACAATTCTTAATTAAGAAAAATAATAAGTATTTTTTAAGATTTTGTACAGCATCCTCTCCATCAGCCCATTAAATGATTAAGAATAGGATGCAGGGAGTGTTGAGTTAACTAGGACAACTAGAAACACTCACATGTGTTTATGCGAATCCGTGTAACTAATTTACACATTCTCTCAGGAGGGGGCTTGCAAGCATTTGAGAATTGCAGAGCTCCCTGTCTGGATAATGGCTAGGAGCTGAGTTTATTGCAAGTAGGTATATCCTTCCTCTGCATTCCCCAGGTAAGAATTTCACCAGGCAGTGTTCCTTTATTCCTTGGTGTTTAATTATATTGCTCGTATGTGCCCAGAGGAATTTGGCAGCATGCATAAAGGAGAAAAATCATTTTGTGTGTGTGTGTGTGTGTGTGTGTGTGTGTGTGTGTATTATTTATGATAATTATTAGCGGGATTTTCATACTGCATGGCCATGGGGGCTTATATGAAATTCATATTCCAGAGACTGCATTGTACAAAACGAACCCAAACACCTCCTTTTCTACAGCTGTGCATTCCTTGCAGTGTGGTCCCTGTCTGTTTCTTAGCAATATGTCAGGCCTTTGCAATCTATTGAATAGCTTGGCAGTTGCACGAGGCTGTCTGCCTGTTAGAACCATCTGTTGCTAACTCCATCCTGGTGTGAAATCCTACCGTTTCATATGTCTAATATTTCAGATATTTGCCTGCTGGCTGCCACGAGAGTTCTGAATGAACAAGGACTTGCGATCTGGACGGAGACTCTGAATTCCTTTCTCTCAAAGGCTTTGGGAACTGTGACTTCCTGGGTTGCTGTTGTTGTTTTTTAAAAAACTATGCCAGCAGACTGTTCTCTGGTGGAACAAACTGAACAACCCACTGGGAGTTGGCTGGTTTTTTCTATTATTATTATTTGTGCCTAAGACAATTTTCCTTCTGGAATTTGATTAGCTTGTCTGCATGTGGTGGAGACTGTGTGTTATGGAGAGTTACCGCTGAAAGCAGCAGCTCCTTCGCCATCTTCTCTCCCCTTCATTTGTAACGCCCCATGCCATTGGCTACTGCTTACCGGGGACAGGGAGACTCAAGGCATGATGATGCCATGGTGCATGTTTTGTAGTGCTACATGGGAAATGGAAACTGAGGGCTCACCCACACTTATATTTGCCCCACATTTCTAAGTGAAGGTCCATAGAAGCACAGAATTGAAGAGTTGGAAGGGACTACGAGGATCATCTAGTCCAGGGTTCCCCAAACCTGGGTCCCCAGCTGTTTTGGGACTACAGTCCCCATCATCCCTGACCACTGGTCCTGCTAGCTAGGGATGATGGGAGTTGTAGTCCAAAATCAGCTGTAGACCCAAGTTTGGGAAACCCTGATCTGGTCCAACCCCCTGCAATGCAGGAATCCTTTTGCCCAATGTGGGACTTGAACCCACAACCCTGAGATTAAGAGTCTCATGCTCTACTAATTGTCTGGGTGCTTTTTCTCTTTTGCCCAGGCATCAGTGTGGTGTAGTGGTTAAGAGCGGTAGTCTCATAATCTAGTGAACCAGGTTTGTGCCCCGCTCCTCCACATGCAGCTGCTGGGTGACCTTGGGCTAGTCACACTTCTCTGAAGTCTGTCAGCCCCACACACCTCACAGAGTGTTTGTTGTGGGGGAGGAAGGGAAAGGAGAATGTTAGCCACTTTGAGACTCCTTCAGGTAGTGATAAAGCAGGATATCAAATCCAAACTCTTCTTCGTCTTCTTCTTTCCCTGTGAAAACCTGCTCTTTACTGCTGGGTCAGAGAAAACGACAATCTTGCAAAAACCTGAATTGCCATTTGTTCTGATTCAGCGTTAAAGAGTGGGTTTTCCCAAAGAAAACCCTGTTGGGGCAAGGTGGCAGGCTGCACATCTCTCCATGCAATGGGCAACAGAGGAGGAATCTTTCATACCTGATAACAAAAGTGTGGAGGTCGGGCATGAGTGATCCCTCTTTCTCTCATAGAATTGTAGAGTTGGAAGGGACCTCACCTTTCTGCACGTTACTATAACAGCTGCAAGCAGAGCTCCTGTTGCTCTGTCCCAGCTCCTGCCAACCTAGCAATTCAAAAGCACGCCAGTGCAAGTAGATAAATAGGTACCACTGCGGTGGGAAGCTAAACAGTGTTTCTGTGTGCTCTGGCACTTAGCACAGTGTTCCGTTGCGCCAGTAGCAGTTTAGTCATGCTGGCCACATGACCCAGAAAGCTGTCTGTGGACAAACGCCGGCTCCCTCAGCCAGAAAAGCGAGACGAGTGCCGCAACCCCATAGTCGCCTTTGACTGGACTTAACCACCCAGGGGTCCTTTACTATTCTCCTACAGCAGCTATACATGCCAGTTCTGTGAGGAAGTTTCTAGGCACAACAAGCTCTTGCTTACCTGGCTCCTGCTGCCCCTTGGCCTCCAGTTTGCTGTCCTTCGCCGCATCCCCGCTGCTGCTCCCATGCTGTGCTGGCTCAAGGGTCTCTTGCTCTGTACTTTTGAGAGGTTCATTTACACTGAAGAGTTGTCCCTCCTCAAGGATCGGCAGCACGGCAAAAGCCCTTTTCTTTTTATTCTCTTTTCTCTCGCCTCGGATGTGACTCCATGGGTTTCTAATCCAAAGGGGGCAGGGATTTATTTAATGTGTTTTATACACACACACACACACACACACACACACAAACATATAGGGACATGGGTGGCGCTGTGGTCTAAACCACAGAGCCTAGGGCTTGCCAATCAGAAGGTCGGCAGTTCGAGTCCCTGCGATGGGGTGAGCTCCCGTTGCTCAGTCGCAGCTCCTGCCCACCTAGCAGTTCGAAAGCACGTCAAGCGCAAGTAGATAAATCGGTACTGCTCTGGCGGGAAGGTAAACAGTGTTTCCGTGCGCTGCTCTGGTTCGCCAGAAGCAGCTTAGTCATGCTGGACACATGACCCAGAAGCTGTCTGCGGACAAACGGCGGCTCCCTCGGTCTATAGAGTGAGAAGAGCACCGCATCCCAGAGTCGTCCGCGATGGGACCTAATGGTCAGGGGTACCTTTAGCTTCACACACACATATATATGTGTGATATATATGTGTGTGTGTGTGTATACACATATATATACTTATGTGTGTGTGTATATACACATATATACTTATGCTTATATCCCGTTTCATGTAAACAAACAAACAAACAAAATATTGTTTACTTAAATGTCTACATTTTGTATTTACGCTTGCTTTGCCATTTACAAAGAACACATCTCATACAGTCATTCAAAAGATTAATGAAAGCCAACGCAGAACATGAGCTGAGAGAACATTTAACCAAAATATAAAAATAAAATAAGCAATTTAAAAATAACTGCACATTTTAAAAAAAGTATGTGTAAATGTGTACGACTGTACGACTCACTTGCAAGTAGTGTTGTCAGGTACCCTTGTAGGGATTTCGTACAAGTATTATACCTGGCGTTCCTTAATGAAGAGACGCTTAATGGTGGCCAGTTATTCACCAGGCGGATGGTTGGGCTGTGTTTATGCCCCTGCCCCTGCATTGCGGAGCCACAAGGGCCAAGTGGGTATGCCACAGAGTGCATTCACAGTGTGTCAGAGAGATGGAGGTCCATGCATGGAAGCACAGATCTGGAGGGCATAAGCAGAGTCCTGCTGGATCAGAACAAAGGCCTATCTGGTCCAGCAGCCTCTTCTCACAGTGGCCAACCAGATGCCTGTGGAAAACCTGCAAGCAGGACCTTAGCACAAGAGCACTCTTCCTTACCTGCAAATCCCAAGAGGCTAAGGTGAGTTTGCATTTCGACTAAAGAGTAATTTCTGACGTTCCGCCCTCTTATTTCAATGCTGTCATCAGCGCTGTGCACACACTTCTATAAATAGCTACTACATAATAATTGCTTTCTAAAAAAGTTAAATTCAGATTTTGGAGCATAGCAAATAAGGATCCTATGTATATATGGAACATACCCAGCTACACCTACTGCCATAGTATAAAAGTGTCACACTGTGTGTGTGTGTGTGTGTGTGTGTGTGTGTGTGTTTAACAAATTCATTTATCCCCCACAGCCCAGACTTGATAATGAGGAAGACTGCAGAAGAAATAGCTTTCACGTTATAACTAATTGCAGTTGTTTTCAGTGTAAAATATTCTGCAGGGAGAAGCTTGTGGGCCAGTTGATAAATGCACTGGACTTCGGAGACTTGAGATCAAATCCCAGTTCAATTACAGAGTCACTTGATAACTTTGGACAAGTCACGATTTTCCAGCCTCAATTATCAACCCATTAAATGGGAATAACAATGGCCAACCTTATGGGGCGTGTTATAGAGAAGTCATACAGGGGCATATGGAACACTGGGATTTATAATGATCATAAATTTAAACAGACTGCTCTTCAGGCTAGAGGAACGCTGGGATCTCTGCAGCATGAAATGTTAGCTAGATTACATGTGCAGTTGTCAGGTAGGTGACATGTTAGGTGACACTTTAGATAGATGGCGTGCAAATCTAATACACCTCCTGCTTTACAGAGATGCTTCAAGGTTCTCCAATGCTTGGAGGAGGCTTTGAAATGATGAATGAGAAATGCATACCTGAGGTGTGTGTGAATACATCTCCATCTCTTTCAGTGTCCACAGACAGCAGTCGCAAGAAGGCCTGATCCAGATTGGGACCACAGCACTACACAAGCGGCCGGGGGCAGGGGGAAGAGATGCTAACTCTTTTCCTCACATCACTTAACCAATAAAAAATTCATTTCAAGCTATTTGCCTTGATGTAGAGCAAACCACACACAGCAGCACATAGGCTATGCCTTTATATTTCCAATGCAGGCAATAGCAGCATCGGGGGCAGGGTTTTCATTGGCATATGACACAGGGGCAGCAGCGGGGCAGAGGGCTGCACAGTTACTGGCCTCCTGGACATGGGCATTGCTGCTGTTTACCTGGTTGGGGCAGGGGTGAGGTCAGGTGCACTGGCGAGAGTCCCCAACCTCACCACTGCCCTGCCTTGCTCTCTCTGTGCAAGCAGCAGCAGCACCACTGTCAAGAGGGTGGCTCAGTGGTTCTGCCCCACCATATGCATCACTAGGGGAGAAATTTAAACCAACAGGCAGTGCCACCGCCACCACCACTCTGGACTAGATGTAAAAAAGAAGGCAGGCAGGCAGCGTTCAAAATTCGGCAGGCACATTTTGCACCTGGCTATCAGCCACTTCTCCTGCCAACCTAGCAGTTCGAAAGCATGTCAAAGTGCAAGTAGATAAATAGGTACCGCTCCGGCGGGAAGGTAAACAGCGTTTCCGTGCGCTGCTCTGGTTCGCCAGAAGTGGCTTAGTAATGCTGGCCACATGACCCGGAAGCTGTATGCCGGCTCCCTCGGCCAATAAAGCAAGATGAGCGCCACAACCCCAGAGTCGGCCACGACTGGACCTGATGGTCAGGGGTCCCTTTACCTTTACCTATCAGCCACTTGCGACCAAGTGAAGATGCCCTGGTGTCAGGATGCCACCTGACGTCTCCACCGTCTGGAGGCGCATGCCTGGGGATTCTTGGATCTTGACTGTTTTCACACACTAACAACACATCCTCTAGAATTCTGGCCATGATATTTTATCTGCACAACCAGAACGAATTCCAGGAACCCAAAAGCTGTATTGAAAAATGCAACTTTCAAGTCATCTGGCCCCCAAATGGCAACTAGACGTTCTGTTTTGGCGACCGTAAACCCATTTGGTGTGTAGCTTATATATCTTGAGTTTCTCACACTGCAGGCAGGTGGGGGCAGGTGGTTTGAGGTCACTTAAATCCTCTTCAGAAATGTGTGCATCAGTTAGGAGCATAAATAATAACCTCTCCTGAAGTGCAGAGCCTACGTGACTTGGCAAAGTTCACCCGCAGATAAAACTATGCTACAGGACATACAGTTAAGAGGGAAATGCCAGGGTAGTAAGATCACCGTACCACTATGTGTCTGCTTTTCTTATTCCTGGGAAGCCCTCCAGTGCTTTTCTTGAGCAAAATGGCAGAGAGAGCAACGCATTTAAATGCCAGTTTGGAACAAGAACTTGGGGAGGGGAAGCACTGCAGGGTCATTTTGTACATAAAAGCAACCCCAAAACAACTGCCTTGGGAGCAGGATGTCTGTGGGATCCCTGGCTAGGCTGTGCTCTTGAGGTAGTGCTGTAAATTTGCTTTCTGCAAGGTTGCCAGCTTGGAAGCGCTCTCACTGTCAGAGAAATCTCCTCAGCTGCTGCACGCGGAGTTCCAGGTCCCACAGTCAGCAGCACGTTCAGAGCCGAAATGCAAGTTTACAAAAGGTTGAGAATTTTTCAGATTTTGCTGTTTGGGATTTGTTGAATCCTCTTGACCTCAAGGTTCATCACTTAAATGTCAGGATCAAAACCCACTGCAGAACGCAGAACGCCTCTTTGTGCGTAAACAACCCACAGTTAGATATAGAACATTGTCTCAGTGTTTGTTTGTTTTTTAAAATATATATATCTATGAGCTGTGCAGTTAGTATTCAACTTTATATGTGTTTTTTAAATGTTTTTTTAAATAAATAAAAAAACCTTAATGTGCTGTCTGCCTACTGAGCCCACGGAAAAAGCTCCATTTGTTTCTTGTGGGCACAGCATGCGTGGTACAACACATGCTTGACCTGCTTTCCTGAACAAAGAATTTACACAACCTGGCTGCTAACAGTGGCGGACTTTGAGCTGCAGTGTGGTGCCCAGTGTGGCTGAACCAGTCAAGCTATCCTAAAACGGCCTCTTTTAGTGGCAACATTAACTTGAAAACCTGATGATTTTCAAAGGTTGTGCTATAAAATTTGCCAATGGCTTTGGTAACAGCGCAGTCTATTTTTATATATCCTGTACAACCGTTATAGGCAATGCAGTGTTTTGTGGCCCCTTCAGTGGGAGGTCGTTTCAGCTGAAACGCAAAGGATTCCACCTCACAGTTTGCTATTCCCCTGCGTACACAGCAGGGGTCAGCAAACTTTTTCAGCAGGGGGCCGGTCCACTGTCCCTCAGACCATGTGGTGGGCCGGACTATATTTTGAAGAGGGAAAAATGAATGAATTCCTATGCCCCACAAATAACCCAGAGATGCATTTTAAATAAAAGCACACATTCTACTCATGTAAAAACACTAGGCAGGCCCCACAAATAACCAAGAGGTGCATTTTAAATAAAAGGACACATTCTACTCATGTAAAAACACGCTGATTCCTGGACCGGATTTAGAAGGCGACTGGGCCGGATCTGGCCCCCGGGCCCTAGTTTGCGTACCCATGGTACACTGCATACATTTAAAACACATTTTCCCCTCAAAGAATCTCTGGAATTATAGTTTCTCAAGGGTGCTGGGAACTGTAGCTTTGTGAGGGGTAAACTATCCCAGGATTCTTGTGATGGGAAGTGGGGCTATGCTTTAAATATATGGTGTGTATTCAACTCTTCCTTGCAGGAAAGATGGACCCATAAGGGTTTTGTTTTGTCCCTTGCTGGATGTACCTCCCTCTTATCTCCATGCTAGGGAGAACATGTGGAGGAGTAACAGCAGCAAACCTTTGGGGAAATGGGGCCTCCTAGGGGGGAAAAGGGGGGGAAACTTCATGGAGTCCTCTGTGTCTCTGAATGAAAATCATATTTGTATGTCTGTTCATGGACTTAATTCAAACTTCTCAGAGCACATTTGTTGGCACCGTTTCCTTAAACTGACCTTTTCCTTTGTAAACATATGGAGCCGATTTTCCCTTGATGCAACTGAGTTTGCGAGAAAGAACACAAAGGACTTAGAACGAAAGGGCTCCATTTGTTGACACTGCGGGTGCACACACAGCCTCGGTTGTTTTCATAGAGAGGACACCCTCTCAAAATGATAAACCAGGCACCTTATGAAACCTGGGTCAAACCTTTGGCACAATAAGTCTGAATCATGTCAGCTCTATAAAGCATTTTGATAGCCTGCCTGGGTCAAATTAATTTTGTATATTGATTTTGCCCCTAGTTATGTAGGTTAGTACATTATTTGTTCTCTTTAAAAGGATATTCTATGGCCTTAATGAATATATTCTTTACATAAATGCTCTATAAAAATAATAATCACAGGGTCTGCAAGTATGTATTGATTCAACGTATTCTTTATCAGCTCCAGAGCAGTTCTTCAAGACACTTGAACAAAGTGAAAGGGTTTGCAGCTGAAACATGCTTTGCATACATGCTAATATGGATACACAAGCATGCATAACATTTGCGTAGTGTTTGTAGGCATCTGGGGGCACAGTGGAGGGCAGAATATGTTGATTCCATAGCCGTGGTATTCCTCTACAGCACAGTTCTTCCTCAGATGTTGTTGGACTACAACTCCCAGCACCCCCAACCAGTTTAGCCAATGGTCAGGGTGATGGGAACTGGAGTGCAAAATCTGGGAAGCCAAGATGGAAGAATGCTGCTCTACAGGATTCTGCCAGGATACCACAGACATTGCGACAGACATGTTCAGGTATTTGACTGAACACATGAATATCCAGTCCATGACTGAGGACCAGCCTTGCCCCTCAACATTCCCAGGTGGGAAGACTGCTGTTTAGATCCTTGTACTCAACACACCTCTACAGAGTGGAAGAAATGTGAAGTGATATGGACACACCGCAAGAGAAAATGATTGAAACTGTAGCAAAGGAAAACTTACCTGGAATGGGCATATATTGATGGTTTTTTCAGGCTCCATCTCTTTGGATGGGCAGGGCCCTGCACCAATTTTCCTTCTGGGGTCCAGAGCCTGGCATTTCTGTCAGAGGAGCTGTGGAGGATGATGGATCCTGAACCAAACATGAGGTCTTCAGTGCTCATCACACTCTTGCGATGGACACTCCAGGAACGAGCGTGAAAATGGCGTCACCAGTATTTGCTAGGGAGCTGAGCAACAGGAGACAGAGACAGATATTTTGTAGAACACCTCCTCTCACCCCTCTCTTTCTCCCTCCTCTGATCACGAATAGAGACTTTGCATTCTGTCCTCTTTTCCTGGTGGTTGATTGGGATATATGAATCAGGCTTCTCCCACCTGCTGAGCTTGCCTGCCCAGGATGATTTGCTCTTGTTTCACTTACAATCAAAGTCGTTTCTTTTTATAAGAACTTCTAACTATGAACATTGTTACTGTCCCCATGCTATATTTAAACTGTAGCTTAATTGGTCAGACATTTAGTATTGTTGTGGTTGTTTTTAGCTGTTTTAAGCATGCTATGGGGGATGTGGGTGGTGCTGTGGTCTAAACCACTGAGCCTCTTGGGCTTGCCGATCAGAAGGTCGCGGTTCGAATCCCTGTGATGGGGTGAGCTCCCGTTGCTCGGTCCCTGCTCCTGCCCACCTAGCAGTTTGAAAGCACGTCAAGCGCAAGTAGATAAATAGGTACCACTCCGGCGGGAAGGTAAACAGCGTTTCCATGCGCTGCTCTGGTGTCGGTGTTCCATTGCATCAGAAGTGGCTTAGTGATGCTTGCCACATGACCCGGAAAAACTGTCTGCAGACAAACGCGGGCTCCCTTGGCCCGTAAAGCGAGATGTGTGTCGCAACCCCAGAGTTGTCTGCAACTGGACTTAACTGTCAGGGGTCCCTTACCTTTCCCTTTTAAGTATGCTGTTGATTTACTTGAGTTGCTTTAAAAGGTAAAGGTAAAGGGACCCCTGACCATTAGGTCCAGTCGTGACCGGCTCTGGGGTTGTGGTGCTCATCTCGCTTTATTGGCTGAGGGAGCCGGCGTACATTTTCTGGGTCATGTAGCCAACATGACTAAGCCGCTTCTGGCAAACCAGAGCAGCGCACGGAAGTGCCGTTTACCTTCCCGCCAGAGAGGTACCTATTTATCTACTTGCACTTTGACGTGCTTTTGAACTGCTAGGTTGTCAGGAGCAGGGACCAAGCAACGGGAGCTCACCCCGTCATGGGCTTATTTATTAATAGAAGTGGTTCATAATTTTCTGTAATCAAAATCATATCTAGTAAATCCCGTTATTTGTTTATTTATGGTCATGTAGATTCTTCAACTTACCCCATCTTAAATGACGGCAATCATGTAACAATACTTTCAAGTAAAACCCATATATATATATTTAGATAACCAAATGACTTGGGTTCAGGCTGCCTAAATGATTGCCTCCTTCCATATAATCTTTCCCAAATCCTAAATTCTGATGGAGAGGCCTTTAGAAACACCTTATGCCTTTGGCCCTAGGCAATACAAGTCTGACCTGTCCTGAAAAATTTCAGTGCTGGAAAGGTTGCTACTAGCTGTACTGGATGAGGCACCTATGTGTTTACATATTAGACATATGTAAGGAGATGGCAGCATCAGCTGGTCAGTGACAGTTGAAATTCAAGTTGCCTTTGCATTCCAGTCATATTCAATTCATACTATACACCCTGTGTCCAAACAGGGTCCTATAAATAGGAACACAGGAAGCTTATAAGACTTTCTAAGAAATAATAATAATAATAATAATAATAATAATAATAATTTATTTATACCCCGTCCCTCTGGCTGGGTTTCCCCAGCCACACTGGGCGGCTCTCAACAGAATGTTAAAAACACGATAAAACATAAAACATAAAAAACTTCCCTAAACAGGTCTGCCTTCAGATGTCTTCTAAAAGTCAAAATAGTTGTTTATTGCCTTGACATCTGCTGGGAGGGCATTCCACAGGGCAGGCGCTACTACCGAGAAGGCCCTCTGCCTGGTTCCCTGCAACCTCAGTTCTCACAGTGAGGGAACTGCCAGAAGGCCCTCAGTGCTGGACCTCAGTGTCTGCCCTGAATGATGGGGGTGGAGACACTCCTTCAGGTATACTGGTGTCATTGGTCTATTTGGTTTAGTTTTGGTTATACTGATTGGCAGTGGCTCTTCAGTTTCAAACATGTCCAGCCCTACCCGGAGATGCTGGAAATAAAACCTGGGATGTGGATATGTTGAAAACCAGGTATTTAGCCCAAGTGTCATTGAGCCTATTTCTTACCAGACCTTTTTTGGGGGGAGATGGCTAGATTCAGTTCAAAATCTCTGTGGCAGTAAGCAAGGTGACATGACGGCTAATCAATAGCCCTCAGTGTCTTATGGAAATATCTGGAAATCTTTCCTTCTTACTCGTATGGATTTGTGACTCTGAACCAACTGCCGCTTCCTGGAATGCTAAAGCAGACCACTTACCAGAACCTTCCAGAATCTTTCGTTCAAGCTTCTGTGATGCAGCCTGCTATCAAACTGCTCATATGTTTTTCTGTATACATTATATATTCTACTACAGTGGCTGAAAAAATGTTGCGTTCATTCATTCCCACACTGGTATTGTGAAGTTCCCATGAGTGCGTTCCCAACTTTCTCAGTGTCGCACACAGTGAAGCCGGGATAGGAATGCACCTCACTTTTTAAGCATGGTTGGTGGGTGAGGGGAAGTCCTCACAGTATCTCAGCAGATTGAACATATTAAATAAGATGAAGCGCAGGATGTCCTTATTTATAATGAGTTAAAGAAAATGTTTAAGACTTCATTCCCCCCCCCCAAACCAGAGGCATTCTTATTAGGACTCACGACACCAGAAATCCAAAAGAAACACAGACCACTACTCATGTATGCCTCAACTGCAGCAAGGATTTTAATAGCAAGAAAATGTAAAGCAAAACCGTCCCCTCAAAGATCAGGGACGGTTTGCTGCAGTGATGCGCAAGGCGACTGCAGCGTGTGACCTGCTGGCCAGTGAGTTTGCACCTCATTCCTTCCGCATTGGTGCTGCCACCACTGCGGCGCACTGGGGCCTGTCTGTTGACAGGATCAAGGATGTGGGCCGCTAGAAGTCTGATACTTATGTACGGAAGCGGCGCTGAAGTGCGGTTATTAATATTATTTTGTTCATTCCTAGGTCTGTCTGCCTTACACATCTGGATAGTCGGGTACAGCATTGTCCACTGGGCCAGCAGAAGGGCAATGGAGTCTGGATTCGGACGCAGGCTTGGACTTCCCAACCACGTGCATGTCTCCTGGGTGTCCAGACGAGGAATGTGTTGGGAGGAGTTTCTCATGACGGTGTGGGCGAAGGTGTCTGCGGAAGGCACGCCTGCGGCGACGGTGGTGCAGCTGGGCAAGAACGATTTGCCAGAAGCTCCCGGCTTGAGCTTGCAGACCTGCATGCAGGAGGACTTGGAAGAGTTGAAGGCAGCTCTTCCTGGACTCAAAATTTTTTGGTCGCAGCTTTTGCAGCGACGTGTGTGGCGAGGTAGCCAACGCCCAGCTGCCACCGAGAGTGCCCGGAGGCGCATCGAAAGCGCAGTGGCCAAGAAGTTCTGGCCTTGGGTGGGATGGTGATCTGTCACCAGGGCATTACCTTCCGTGATGCATCCCTTTACAGGTTTGATGGGGTTCATCTGTCTGTGATTGGGAATGATTTGTGGCTGACAGCAGTGTCAGCGGGGTTAAGGGGTTGGTTACAGGAACGAGTGGTTGGCGGCGAGTGCGGGTGTTTGTGTGGCGGATAGGCACTGGTTCAGGTGATAGGGATGGGAGAACAGTCTCGCCATCCCTACGTGAAGGGTATTCCGTTAAAGGAATCCAGGGACTCAACTTGGTTTAGTCAACCCCCGAGAGGGGGTTGTGCCCGTGCCTGAGTCCAGGGGAGCTCTGGGGAGTGAACAGAGTCTGTTCCCAGGCTTTTCACCTACCTCAGGTGTTCACCCTTGGCTGACCTATGATAGAGCTCTGGGTCAGCGCTACCTGCAAGGGTGCAGGGAGCTAGTCGAACCAGAGCCTATGCAACCACTCACTTTTCTGTAATCAATAAAGTTGTGGCCTAAATTCTGCCAAAAACCAAAACTAAAATTTGAGTCAATTGTGTGTTTATTTAGGGGGGAGGTCTCTGGGTCTGAACATGCAAAACTAATGAAATGTGTAAACTTGAAAAGTATAAATAATTTTTTTTAAAAAAGTTTCTATGTACTCCTCCTCCTCCCATGTTGTTGTTGTAATCCATTTCAACTGTTAACTTTATCAGGGGAACCATAACTCCAGGCAAAAGACTAAGAGTAGCCCTGATGGATCACGTCCAGCATCCTGTTCTCATAGAGGCCAACTAGATGCATACAGGAATCCCGCAAAGGGGACCTGAACGCAGTAGAGGATCTTAAACCCAGAATCTGGTATTCAGAGGCATTTTGCCCATGACAGAGGACTTTCAGTGTGAAATTGTTGAAAGTGTTTGAAAGCAGCTCTTTCTGGAGCTAGTAAAAAGGGCAAGACTTCTAAAATATATATTCCCTCAAGGACAGGATAAAAGGATGATTGTTGAGCATGGGGCTTTGTTTGTGCCTAAAGTTCAGCTTTCTGATTTTGAGTGATATGGAAAAAAAACATCCCATAGGGGACTAACCTTTGAGGCCCCTCTGTTGTAGTCTAGCAATTTCGAAAGCTACATAAGTGAGTCAGTGGAGGCCAATTCTCTATCTATCTATCTATCTATCTATCTATCTATCTATCTATTTATCTCCTGCCTGCCTGCCTGCCTGCCTCACTATTCTACATGTTAGGGTTCCCATAGGTAAAAACAAAAACGCCAGCTCTTACACTCTGTGTACAATACACCTTTATGGTTCTATATCTTGCTGCTGTAATAAGACTTCCTGGTATCTGCTGAAGATGGCACTTGCTATTTCTTCATTTCCATGGTGTTGTTTATCATGAGGTTTCTGGTGCCGTTTCCCACAACAGTAGCAGAACTGTCACATTCTGTCACTACCTGACAAATGGTAAATAGCCAGGACTGAAAAGAAGACCTGCCTGAAAAGGTTCAACATAAAAGCTAGTGTCAAATATGTTTCACACTGCCGCTTGTCCCCTCAGGGCTGGTCCACAATGAATATGACATCAATGGATCTATTGACACTTGGTGAATCACTGAAGAGTGTACAAAATGACTCCGCTGAAAGCGGTATGTCTGAGGGTTGCTTATCTCTCTGATACAATCAAACGCAGGCTGGTGGCAGCTATTGGAGAATCATCCTTGCGAACATATTTAATTGCTGAATGGCCTTAGACTGAGTGCTTTACTCCAATGCAAATGCAATGGGGAGCTTAAAAGTAGTGGAAAGAAAGAAAGGAAGAATTAAGGAAACCACATACAAAAAATTAACCCTTTGATGAGTGTTGAATGCAATTTATATTAATTGATGGAGAATGGTTTGGGGCATGGGTAGGCAAACTAAGGCCTGGGGGCCGGATCCGTCCCAATCGCCTTCTAAATCTGGCCCGCAGACGGTCCAGGAATCAGCGTGTTTTTATATGAGTAGAATGTGTGCTTTTATTTAAAATGCATCTCTGAGTTATTTGTGGAGCATAGGAATTCGTTCACCCCCCCATATAGTATGGCCCCCCACAAGGTCTGAGGGACAGTGGGTGGACTGACCCCCTGCTGAAAAAATTTGCTGACCCCTGGTTTTTGGAGGGAGGGAAATGTTGGAGAAAGTTTGGGCTAAGCAATATCTAAGTTATAGATCATAGGTATAGTACATTCAATTGTGAGCCACCCTGGTTATCTATGGATGAAGGGCAGTATAACAAACAAACAAACAAACAAACAAACAAACAAACAAACAAACACCATTAGAACCAAAATTTTAAAACTGAAATAGCCACCTATAGGGAGAGCTACTCTTGTACCAAGCACTTTTTGTGTTTCCTTCTGTTTCCTTCTTGCTCTTTCCTCTCTTTGCAACACTTTCCTGACCATCCTTTCCCCCTTTCCATTCCATATCTTATATACCCCATCTTTCAAATACAACTAACCATTAAGCCAGGGGATGCCATGAACTGGCAGGACAACAGGAAGGAGGGAGAAGAAGAGGATCTCAATGAGCGCTGTAGCTGGCACGGGCACACATTGGGGCAAGCTGGGGATGGAGAAGTTGGTGTAGGAAGTACTCTCAGGGTGACAGAGGATGGCGAAGGAATGGGGGTCAGTGTACAGGCACCAGAACAGCAGGACCCAGCACTAGAGGGGTGTCTCCATGAACATAGCAGGCTCTGACGCTAGGGAGCAGTGGGAGGGATGCTCTAAGACAGTGTTTCCCAAACTTGAGTCTCCTGCAGTTTTTGGACTACAGTCCTCATCATCCCTGACCACTGGTCCTGCTAGCTAAGGACAATGGGAGTTGTAGTCCAAAAAAACAGCTGGAGACCCAAGTTTGGCCATGCCTGCTCTAGGAGGATGAGGCAGGCGAGTGCCCACAGCCCAGCTCCCTAGGTGGCCAGGTGAGGCTTGCTAGGTCTGGGAAGAGGTGTGTGATTCTTCAGTTGGAGTTGACTCAGAACAGGTGAGGCTCACATGCCTCATCAAGCCCAGATGCCGCAATCAGCTGGCAAAGTACAGAAGGACAGCAGAGCTGTGTTTGCTCTACTTCCCATGTTGGTTGGACCATAGCTTGGATGTTCCAGGGAGCTCTTTGGGACTAGTGTGGGACTAACCTCCAAGTTCACGGACCCCTGGATCAGCTGCAGAGGCAGGAACTTGGCCTGACTGAACTTTGGTCTTTCTATCTGTTGGCCTGCCAGATTGCTGGATTTATGTGCTAGCATCTGCCTTGGGATCGTGCACTCCAGTGGGACTTGATTGCCAGGTAACCTGTGGGTCCAAACAGGCTGGGGGTGGGTGGGGGGAAGCCAGTGGTCTACCTGATGCTGTTGGACTCCCATCATTCCAGATGATTGGCCATGGCGGCAAGGGCTGATGGGAGTTGGAGTCCAACAACCTCTGGAGGGTTGCAGGTTCCCTATTCCTTCCTAGTACAAAATAGATTTGGATGTGCTCAGTGGTCATTCCCATCTAACTGCAATGTGCTGAGTCGTTGGGGGTGTGGGTGAGAATTGCTACCTGGGGAAGAAGGTAGTTGGCAGAAGACTTCCACATATGTAAACCATTTCAAGTTTTTTTCTATAATTAAGCGGTGTCATGCCCTCCAACATTTCTTTGATGAAAATAGGGACGTCCTATTCAATCCTACTACTACTAATATTTATACCCCACCCATCTGACTGAGTTGCCCGAGCCATTCTGGGAGGCTTTCAACATATATGAAAACATAATAAAACATGTAAAAAACTTCCCTATACAGAGCTGCCTTCAGATGTCTTCTAAAGGTTGCATAGTTACTTATCTCCTGGGGTTGAGGGTCGCATACACGCCAATATTTATCTGATGAAAATAGGGATGTCCTAAGGAAAAGCGGGACATTCCAGGATCAGATCAGAAACTGGGACAGCTTCTGTAAATCCCAGTAAATTCTGTACTGTCCCTGGAAAATAGGGACACTTAGAGGGTCTGTCGTGTATACATTTTATGAAATAAATGAATAAATAAGGAAATAAAATAGGGACAATATTCCCAATGGGAG